TTTATTTTATTTCTGATGCTCCCTTGGATTTGTGATATTGTTCGTTAATTCGTTAACCCGGTAAGGCAGAAATCTGAAAGTGACTCTATCATCTAAATATGTTGCACTTTATCATAATATGTCAAATTTCTGAATGCAAAACATCAACATGTACAAAGTTAAAGTTGTAAGATGCTCCATAGTGGCCCATGAATATTTATCTCCAGGGCTTCCTTTGTATTTAGAGCCACACAGCAAATATAGTAATTATCATGATGGACAGATATGGATACTCCAATCTTTTGCATTAATTTTTTTTGGAGATGACATGACATGGTTTCGTCTTTATCGTTTTATTTTCATCTCCATTATCATGATAGCCGTCATTCGTTTTTAAAACATGTTAAAATAATAACAAAAAGTGTGTTGTACTTGTACGTTAAATCTATAGTCCTCTGCATCGAGCAATGCCATTAGCATTACTCGATATATAGTCGTGTTCCCTAACGTGGCGCACTTCGAAGCTTACCCGACTTTCCTCGTGTAGTGTTGGCAAACCTCTTTGTTGACAAACCTCAAATTCATGCAATGAAATACTAGTACTTTTACCTTATCAATGCTTGCTATTTTACCTCTGTGAACAATTTCAGTTTCATAAAATTTGATCCGAAATTCAAAAACGGTGGTGTCCGGAAATTGGGCAAAAATTGGCGGAATGTTCCCTAACGTGGCGCACTTGAATAAATCTTTGAAAATTCCAAATTAACACTTACGAATTCCTATAAACTTGATAAATTCTGATAAATAATTAATATCTTTACTTACATACCAAGCCAAATGTTTGTCAGAAAATTATTTTCTTATTTTTCAGGGCATTTTCAAAGGGTTCACTTTGCACTTGAAAATAAAATCGGAAAATCACGCCAAAATAGCTTTTCCTTCTAACATTGTTACGGGTAAATAAACTCGCGATTTATGAACAGGACCGTTTAGAACTTGATGAAATTTCACTTTCTGTGAAATTTCAGTTTAAAATTTTGCTCTAGCTAGGCGCTACCGGCGAAAAATCCAAGTGCGCCACGTTAGGGGCCGCGCCACGTTAGGGTACATCAACAATATTAACAGCCATACATGTACATGTACATGTAATAACAAGTACATGGAGTACATGTACATACACCCATGAACGTGGTTACAATACAACATGTACATTTAGTCACACCCGTAAAAAATGCCTCATCAGAATTTCACAAAAAAAAATGCTTCTCCAGGGTTTAAGGAAGACAAACATTATTGTGCTCACATTTATCCGACGTTCCCGGTTTGGATGCCAAAATGATGTTTCTGTTGAGTCGAAAGGAGCGAATCTTTAGGTTGATTAAATTTCAGGCTCGAAGCAATCAACGCGGAAGTAGAACCATGGTAGAACTGGAAATCGAAGTGAAATGTAATATGAAGAGCGCCTCCAAGGGACAGCACGGCAAAGTTTGTCCTATGCATGGTACAGTACTATAGATTGTGTTCGTGACCATCTCTTCGAAACTTTTACTGACTTACTCTAAATCTGGACCCCCAAAAAATGCATCTAAAATTAATACAAAACAAAATAAGCCAATACCGAGGGCTTCATCAAGCGTCATCGCCAGTGCATTCCAATGTATTTTCAAGTTGTCTGCCCAACTCTCCCTTTGTAACTGTTGAGGGGGTAATTTGCACGGGTTCACATAAAGTTTCCTTGTTTTCCAAAACAAGGGATGGCCTTTTTGTTTGGCAGTGAACTCCTATTTTCCCATCTCATTAAAAAAAAAAGCTGCATTAGATAGGTATATATATTTTTTATTTCCATTGTACATTTTTGTATTTTTTGTATTAAAAAAAAAATATCCATGCATTCATTGTTTTTGAAGGGGGCGGGGTGTGGGGATGGATGGGTTGGGGAGGTTTCGAAAGTACCTCCGGCCTTTAAAAAACAAACACTTCCTATTGAGGATGTCCAAATGAGCCTGATTCCTGATGTGAGGGCGGTATAGGATCCGAAGAAGCTTCCATTTTCTGTTTCATTTTTCTTAAAAGTATACCGTCGCTCAATGCCGGAAATGGGATATCATAGCTCTTTTACTTTTTTTCTTCATTTTTTTTATAACTTCTAAACTGCATTAATTGCTGCATATTTCCCAATATAATTGTGTCGGAAAACATGCATTTCTCATATGAATCACCATTCAAAGGGCCGTTTTCATTAGAATATGAAAAGAAATGTAAACAAAATACATTAACAAATTCATTTAACTTTTCCCTCACGTTTCAACACGTTTTTGTTTTTAGAAATGGACTCGATTCGAGTTGAACATAGTCCAAATTAGTCACTAGCCGAGTCCGAGTCAAACCGAGTCCAAAAGGTATAACGATTCTGATGCCAGTCACGAGTCAAACAAAAAATAAACAAATAAACTGACTCGAGTCCTCCAAAATATACCCGCCTGAATCACCTGAGGGAGGGGGGGGGGTTGATAATTCAAATTACGTTTGCTGAATAATTACTCCTAAAAATTATTATGGGACAACTTTTCCTCCCATTCCCCATTTTAAATTGAATACATTTGTATTGCCAAAAATACAAAATAAATTCAATTAGATAAAAAAAACGCTTCTGTGCAATTTAAAAACTCCCCAATCAAATTCAAATACAGTCTCAATAACCGAACTATTTAATTAGGAATCGAAATGTTAAGTGTCATTAAAAAATGTCCAAACAATTAAAGTGTTGTCTGCTAAATGAGTAACGCCTACCTCCTGTAAGTCATTTAAAAAGTTGAACAAAACATACAGTTAGCACATCATTGATTAGTGTGAAGAAATCCCCGCTTTATTGAAAATAAACAAGTTGTTTTAGCCAAAATATACAGACAAACAAGTATAGTGTAGAGCATTGTAGACGAGTGTACGGTACTCGAGTGCACGGTCGATCTTTGAGACTTCGTTCAAGTGGCACTCAAGGGTATTTATTAGTATCTTCCCGTGTCAGGCTTGTGTGACTGCTTTTGTTTGGGCAAAGTCAATTGCATTCGCGCACTGTGTCGTGAAGCCCTGCGTATCACCCTTACACATGCACAAATGCAAAATACAAGCCTGCATACAAAACATGCACCACAGTTTAATAAGCTATAGCTGTAGCATTTAATTGTTCTAAAACACTGTTTTTCTTTCCAATTGGAAACTTTGTCATGAAATGCCTAGCTAGGACAGTGAAAACATTCCTATTGGCCAAGAACCGATCACGTTGCTTGAATGTACTCCTTTGATAAAAATCAGGTTAACATCTTACGTATATTTCAGTATTCACTATTTACATACTTTATCTCATGAAATCTATATGAACCAAATTCTACTCAAAACATATCTTTGATGTCGAGAAGAAACAGTAATGTATCATTGGACTTTTGGTTAAAAGATATATACAACAATTCTCTTAAATTCTGTTCATGATAACTCGAGTGTTACATGTATGTTGGCGACAATGCAAATATGAAATCAAGAGCTAAAACTTCCTTCCCTAAGCCGTTTTTTTTGTCACTGTAGGATTTCGTCTATATGATTATCATGAGTCGTAATTATCACATGATTTGTTTTCATGTAATGTTTTGATCAAGTTTTTAAAAATATACCAACCCATTCAATGAAGCAGCGGAAATCAACTAATAAAACTAAGTTTTGAAATGAGCTAAGTCAAATCAACAGAGAATGATCACATTTCGAGAAATTGTGTATTTACAGGCAGGCTAACAGCAATTAAACAAAATGTCTTAGACAGAACAATCGAACTTAATTTTGAATTTGACTCTACTTGAAATATTTATACAGTTTTTAAATTATCTCGAGATTTTTTGGGAAACTGTGTCAATTTTTTTTTTGACAGTTGAAAGAAATGTAGGCTATGCATGTATCTTGATCATTGAGTTAAAAATTAACCACCACTGTTTTTTTCTTTTTAATTGAAAGCTAATCCTTGTCATTAAATCCTTAGGAAAGCTGATACATTCCTATTGGTCAATAACCCATCACGTGGGTTTAATTGAAACCCTGTAACATTTGGGCCTTCTCATTTTCAGTATTCAATATTTACAAACTGAGTAGCATGTAATCTAAAACGTACTCACAACATATAATCGTAGATGTTGAGAAAATTCTAAATATATAATTGAACTGTCAGTTATTACATCAAACATTTCTCGTGACTTCTTTACAGTACATAATAACCTGAAGGTTATGCTGGTTTTTATTAAAGAAACAAAACAATGTTTCGTTTCATAGGAGCTAGCTCACATGATTAACATCATGAGTTGTAATAATCACTGCATTTGTTTCCATGGATTGTTTTTATTCCACTTTCTTCTCGAATTTCAAGGGTAAAAACAACATTTGCAAACATCAAAAAATAAAACTGCCAAATCATTTTGAAATACCTTGCTGGACTGTTAGTGAATGACAGTGTAAAGCATCCTGTAAAATCATGGCACCTGGTATACTGTCATTTTAAAGAAAAGTGGTATTTTTGTATCAATTTCCAACGCTGATCGGCCGATCAGAGTTGGAAAAAAACTGGCTTTTTTTCAAATACTGACCCCAATTGACCATCGCACTTGTTTGCAATCGATTACAAACCTATGAACGGGTACGAGCCAGCTAGACTGGTTCTCTGACCTTACAATTCCCCAATGTATGTAAACTGCTCTGTTTCTTCTTATATGGAGTCATGGAACCAGACTACAGGAAAATGATTGTTTTTCTTGGTTTTTATAGCATTTTCGAACCCAAAACCTCAAAAAAGTCAGTGTAACTATATTTGCTATATATTTCCAACCCCCCAATTCCATCCATTTCTGAAAATTACAGCAAAAGCAAATGATGTATATTCCCTTTCAATTTCTCTACATAACTCAACCCATTGAGGCAACTGAAACCAACTAATAAAACCTTGTTTTGAAATAAGCGAAGTCAAATTTCAGCATAGGATGATCATATTTTCTAAACTGCGTATTTACAGGCAGGTTGAATATAAATTACAATATGTTTTTAACCGAATGATCAACCTTAGCTCTACAAGTGTCGCAATTTCTTGGCAAAGGCTTGTATCATCTACCTGTTGTAAGATAAAAGTTTGCCAGAACTATTGCGATGTAGGCCTGCTAGGCTTTCGGGCCGAATTCATTTTTGTTGATGTCTTTCTGGAGTTTAATTGTTTATTTAGTCTCTCACAGTTGGTCAATGAGCGTATATTGTGCACAAACATAATTTTGTCAATGGGCTACGATTTGTTTTCATATCACATTGACACCCTCAGTTGTCAGAACCAGTATGTTGTTTGTTGAACAACGAAATACATCTAACGTATGAGAGAAATTGATATTGAAACAAAACTGTAATCGTGGTATTTCAAGTTTTCTTTGGAATAACGTTTTACTTTGTTTATCCTTATAGTACTTGAGCTGAGGATGAATAATATACATGAATTAAAAACCTTATTTGCTTTTAGGGTTTTTCTTCTTCAATTTGATTCTTAAAGCTTTTTCAAAATTATCACCGGATTTGATTCAATGTAAACTTTTTTTATCTTATCTTTTTTTCTTTTGAATGAACTGAAAAGGTGAATTATAATTATACTTGATGAAATTATGACAAGATATCTTCAACCGCCCACAGTTGTGGACAAAATCGACCGATTGATCAGAAAGTCAAAATGATACACCCCATGTAATCCAATACCGTACACGTTTTTGTATAATACGTGATGTATCAATATTCTTAAACTTTTAATTCATTGTTGTGATAGAACCGCTCTTTACTTTTTTCTATCAACATGCCTCAAATGATGAGAAATTGACATGACTGATTAGAAAGCTGTATCACACCTGGTGATACATTTTGACCGAGTACCAGTCAGCCACTGCCAGCTGCCCATGTGATGAGAATTTGATACCCCGCGGGTTATACAGACCCTGTGCGATGCACTGGAGGAAGCCACCTTGAGGGTCATAGTGGTGGATATGACCCGTGTTGCTACCATTATGCATTGCAACATAGATACCTGAGCTATCAGTGCATACACCGCTGCAGTGATGTACTGGTTGACCATTGATGGTGGGTTTGATGGTGCGTTTTGTAGTACCATTGCCATCGGTAATATCCACTGTCTTTGATTCATAGTCACTTATTATCGCTCGATCATTGCTGTCAAAAGCCAGAAAATAAGGTTTAATCTTGACTGGTATGGTATGAAGGAGCTCACCATCAGTGGGGCTGTGCACTGTCAATACCATCCTCGCCACATCTCCCACTGCAATGGTACCATCATTCTTGACAGCTACGCTCTGAAGGTCAACAGTGGTCTTACCGACCTCACTCGTTGGCACCGTTGGGAACTTGTATGCCAGCTTGTTGTCACTGTTGAACACCTTCACATGGGATGCGCTTTGCTCAACAACCACCAAGCGATTGTCGCTGCGTGTAGCTGCGATGCCGCGTGGACCTGTAGGGGGCATGATGTAAAAACAAACAATAGTGGTCAATTTCAATCTTAAATTGCAATTTATAAAAAAAATCCAAAATAAATCGGAGTGATAATTAATGTTTCCCTTGCCAAAACTATGCATTGTCAAATATACATACGTGTACATCTTAGGGATATCACTGTGTCTTAAGGTATCCTGTACATATTGATGTTTAAGCCTTTCAATAATTGCCTTATTTATCTTTCAGTGGGATAATAGGAAAAAACAAACTAAAAGACTCCTGACAACAATTGAGAAATTAACCAGTGAACCAGTGTATCAGGAAAACTTATATTTCATTCATTTTAAATGGATTTTCCTTGAACTTTCATCCTTTGAAAAAAATGTCACGAAACGAACAAACAAAATTCATGAAAAAACAAGAGCAAACTAATTAAAAATGCGTGGGGACAGGGCAAAAAACCAATATCAAACATGAGGTTTAATTTACAGTAGTGTTTGTTGAATTTCTGAAAAAAATAGCAAGGAAATTTAATGTTTGACATGGACGATGTATTTATATTTGAAAATCTCCATGTTAAGTAAACCAAGGTATTCACTAAAACATGTTTCGCATGAAATTTACTGTGATTTAGTTCGATCAGATTTCTTGAGGTAAATTAAAAACAGATAATGATGGGGAAAGAAATACATGTACGCGTGTATAATTTGAGAGATTGCAATGCACGGTTATAAAAACTTACATCCTTGCATCGGGATCGTGCTCTTCTGGTTGCCATCGATGCTGCAGATCACAACTCGTTTGTTATAGTAGTCAGTCACTGCAATCTCATCAGGTTGACGAGCAGTAATGTCCCAAGCCACATTGAACGCTCCTGGACCTCTTCTCATGCTACCAAACTCCCGACACAGCTCCCATTTACCTTCCGTCACCACCTCACCCAGACTGATGCCACCAACACCCTCACTCTGCTTGAACTTCAGGAATGCAAGCCTGTTGTCCACTCCAGGCATACTCTGATCTGCCAACAATTTCAAGTCTTTGCTGACTGTGGGATAGAGTGAGAGAAAGTCACCATCAGATGCAGTCTTTGTCACCTCTCTAGCTGTGTCTAGTGAATACTGAAATCTCTCCGCTGCCAAGCCCATAGTTTTCTCACATTCGGCCAGTTTTTGCTCACGATCTGTTTGGATGTTTTGGATGTCGTCAAGGATGCGGTTTTCTTGAGCCGTTACCTCTGCTCGTATCTCAGCTGCTCTGTCTTGCACTTCTGTCATGGCCCTCTTAACTGTGACACCCAAATCTGCTTTTATTCTTGAAGCTCTCTCTCGTGATTTCTTGAGTTCTGTCATTGTGTTTTCAAGTGGAGGTACCAGTTCAGCCAACAATTGCTTGTATGTGGATGTGGCCAGATTTCTGTCAATGTACGAGTGTTCTGGCTTACAGTGGTCAATGACGGTACAATCTCGGCAGATCAGTGTTTCACACGTCTTGCAGAAGAACCTTGTCACTTCGCCTTCATGTATTGGACATTTTGGATGTTTTCTTGGATTTTCCTTCATCAGTTTCACCTTTCCCTCACGTACGTCCTCCAAAGTAGCTATTACGTGGCTTGATGTAGTTACAAATCTTTTGTGTGAACTTTGACAACGTGAGCAGATATTCTGTGCACAGTCCAAACATCGATGTGTTGCTTCATTGCCATCATCACACGTCTCACATAGCAGCTTTGTGTCACCCGAAAACACCAACTTTTCCTGCAGTTCCAATTCCTCAACCAGACCAATCAAATGAAAGTTGGTTTTCAGACCCTGCACACCCACCTCAGGAAGCTTCGTCTCCTGCCGACACACAGGGCAAGGAATTTCTGCAGCACCCTGATGCTTCGTGCTGCAGTATTTCAGCAGACATTGCGCACAAAAGCTATGTAGGCATTCCAGTATCTTGGGCTGTTGATATCTCTCTTGACATATGCTGCACTCAAGATGATGTCTGCTGATCGTCTCTAGAGCTGAGCTTACTGCAGGTCCAGTCGCCATTTCTGTCTAATAAATGTGAAGAAAAGTAGTTTATTTAAAACATAAGAGTGATACAAATGCATCATTCGCATGTTTCCTAATATGGGTAGGGACCAATAGTAATTGGCAGGATGAGTTTTTGTATAAAATGAATCGACGTGTGCAGGGCTCTCAAGATGTGAATTAAAAAAAAACAAGTGCAAAATCAAACCCTTATCCTTAAACTGCACCTCCTCTTTAAACCATCATATACATGTATTTTATTTTATCTGTGATGCTTCCTTGGATTTGTGATATTGTTGGTTAATCCGGGATTGCAAAACATCAACAAATGTGCAAATAAAGATTTATCATGGACAGATATGGATACTCCCATCTTTGGCATTATATTTTCTGAGATAACATGACATGGTTTCCTCTTTATCGTTTTATTTTCATCTCCATTCACATGATTAACAAGCTGTCATTCCTTTTTAAAACATGTTAAAATAATAACAAAAAGTGTGCTGTATACTTGTACGTCAAATCTATAGTCCTTTGCAACAAGCAATATGCTTGTACATGTATTAGCAATACTCGATAAACAGCCACACATGTACATGTAACAAGTAATAATAATAATAATAATAATTTGGGAGGCTAATCATCCTTACTCGCAGCTGAATTGCGAAGGACGCGGCTACAACATGGTCGGGCCGCTGGCACATAAAGGCGCCTATGGCTGCCGGCCACATCGACCCATACATGTATGACCAAGGATCGAGCTCAGCCTGAGATCGAAAGTGTGTGATTTTTTCAGAGGGAGGAAAACCGGAAGGCCCGGAGAAAAAGGAGAGGACCAACGCACAACTCTACTCACATGCGATCCGCGGCCAGGATTCAAACCGTGGTCACCTTGGTGAGAGGCGAGCGCTTTACGCACAAGCCACCCATGCCACCCAAGTGTCATGGAGTACACGTACATGTGTACATGTAGCTCTACTGAGTGGAGCGTTGAACTACGGTACCCTACATACAAAAGCTCCACCGATTTGCCAAACTTTGGCGACAGGTACACGGTCGACATGACGGTATGCATTTTGTGCATGCCCTCGCGAGGACAAAAGGCCCCAAAAAAACTGATAAAGAGAATACAAATGAGAAAGACAGTAACCCTGGATAGATCCACACATTCATGACTTTCCATAAGACCCCTAAATTGTTCCAAACAACCGGTGATTTTGAAAAAAGAACAAAATAGTCTTAACTTACTGCTCACAATTAAATGTGTCTGCCGAGTTGTATGGTCCATCACTGTCATAACTATAATTCATCGCGCGCGTGTGTGACATCACCATCGAAAAAAACAAGTTGCGCTTACTCAACGACTGTTTTATGTAGTCATATGTGCCCCGCGCCGTCTGACATGACAGTGTGGGCTTTTGGCGCGGGACACATGTGACTACATGAAACAGTCGTTGATTAAGCACAACTTGTTTTTCTTCGATCCAGCAACGGCAGTGACGTCACGTCAGACGCCCTCATTCGGCAAGTCGGAGCAAGGTCTGAGCTTCACCTCAAACACATTGAGCTGTAAGTTTTCTGACTATTTTGCTAGTTTTTTTCCAAAATGTCCGCTGTTTGGGAACGATATTTAAGGGGTCTTATGGAATGTCATGAATGTGTGGATCTATCCAGGGTTACTGTCTTTCTCATTTGTATTCTCTTTACCGTTTTTTTTTGGGGGGAGGGGTCTTTTTGTCCTCGCGTGGGTATGTACACTATTAGACCCGTGAACGTGGCTTGTAAACTACGCCACGCTGTTGTGTATTTCCGAACTTGGCGAAATTGTCCCACTGACTCCCTCCATTACACACACTGGACGTTATTTTGCAAATGTAATAAGTACTCACATATGAAGCTGTCTTGAAATCTGTTTGTACATCAAAACTTACATTTGACGAAATTTGAGGAAAATTCTGGCCCCGGTTCATGAAGTCCTGCTAGCTGCCATTTTCTCCCAACTGACGCATGCCCATTGCGTTTTATAGTACCGTCCTGTTTCGTATAATTAGACGGCTGTTTACTGTCGCAGCTAAAAGAGACATCGTTTTAGACAAGTTTCAAGTCCTTTCCTCTCTCACCACACCGTACGCGGGCGCACGTGCGCCCACGTGTGTACACGTGCGCACACGTACACGAGATGAGCCGAGCAGCCAATCGGGTGCGGGTTTTTTTTCGGGGTTGCGACATGAAACAGCCGTCAATCTGTCCAAGCGACTCGTCCGGGGTCATTTGTCAGGGTCACTTGTCGGGTTAAAAAAAAAACGAAATTTCTACACGTTCGTATGGGTCTTTATTGATGGCAAATTTCGTCGAAATTACACAGCCTGAACAATCGGACGGGCAAATTTAGATTTCTAGGTGAGTACTCAACATGCATACGGAATTATATATGGCAGTTTGGCAGATCGATTTTCGCTAGGTTAAAAAATACACAACAACGTGGCGTTGTATACAACGCCACGTTTACGGGTCTAGACTCTAGTACACTATCAATCATGCTACTGTCATGACGCCGTCACCAAAGTATGCCAAATCGACGGAGCGTTTGTATGGACATGATGGAGGGTACCGTAGTTCAACGCTCCACTCAGTACTCCTACTCCTAGAACTATGAGGCTCCACTACTTGGAGCCTCATACTAGTCTGATAGTTCTAGGAGTATCCACTCAGTAGAGCTAATGTTAGCCCGACTGCGTCTGGCCGTACAGTACTATCGCAAGCTCTGTAGTACGGCCAGACGCCCGATGCTTCCAAAAAGACTGAATTTTGTTGGCCGCCGATGTAGCGATTTTGCTACATCTTTCGATCGCGATTATCTTTTCATCCAGGACACAAATTTCCAAAGTTAAGGTTTGTAGTCGTAGAGCAACTCATACCTTTTCGAAAAAACGTTCTTTGGTCTCAATATTTTCATCCATCTGGCCACAAGACGAATTTCAGTCATCAGATTCCACAAATGTCGTCCCCCATGCGATCTCCCATGCGATTTCAAAATGGCGGCCGCGCTGTAATGTATGCAATATGCAGGCGCGCCCGCGCAAACTCATGAATATGCATAAACAGTCTGTGACGTATGACCTCGTGTTTTTGGACGTGCGTGCGGCCCCGTGCGGGGCCATACGTCACGAGGTATACGTCACAGACTGTTTATGCATATTCATGAATTTGCGCGGGCGCGCCTGCATATTGCATACATTACAGCGCGGCCGCCATTTTGAAATCGCATGGGGGATCGCATGGGGGACGATATTTGTGGAATTTGATGACTGAAATTCGTCTTGTGGCCAGATGGATGAAAATATTGAGACCAAAGAACGTTTTTTCGAAAAGGTATGAGTTGCTCTACGACTACAAACCTTAACTTTGGAAATTTGTGTCCTGGATGAAAAGATAATCGCGATCGAAAGATGTAGCAAAATCGCTACATCGGCGGCCAACAAAATTCAGTCTTTTTGGAAGCATCGGGCGTCTGGCCGTACTACAGAGCTTGCGATAGTACTGTACGGCCAGACGCAGTCGGGCTAAGCTAATGTACACTAATGTAGAGCTAATGTACACGTATGTGCACCATGTGCACATAGCCTACATACCAATGGGGGTCAGACAAGTCGACCGTTGAGACAACTCGACTCGGGACAAGTCGACCGTTGAGACAACTCGACCGTTGAGACAACTCGACCGTATGTGCGATAAATGGAAAGACAAGTCGACCGTTGAGACAAGTCGCCTCGCATGTTTTGGGCCTAGTCATGCTAGTTTGGGGATAGCACCGGGGATTTTGACGGCGGCTGATCGCCGTTAGGGAGTGATGCCACAGCCCTGTGCGCCCACTTATCTCATCCCCGGTCGGTCAACGTGGCCGTACCGTGCACGGTGGCATCGTTTGTGCCGGGCCTGTGCGCCCATTTGCCGCGCCGGTCGACGTGCCCGCGTACCAATCATGCCAATTTGTACATTTTGTCACACACGTAAAAAATGCCTCATCAGAATTTCACAACAAAATGCTTCTCCAGGATTTAAGGAAGACAAAGATTATTGTGCTCACATTTATCCGACGTTCCCTGTTTGGATGGTAAAATGATGTTTCCGTTGAGTCGAAAGAAGCGAGTCTTTAGGTTGATAATTTTCAGGCTCCATTAGCACTCAACACGGAAGTAAAAATCGACGTGAAATGTAATGAAGAGCGCCTCCAAGGGACAGCACGCCAATTTTTTTTCCTGCGCATCTGGTTGTGTGAGCATGGAGGAAGGAATTAACTGTGAGTGACTTCCTGCGTGGTACAGTTACAGTACAGTAGATAGATTGAGTTCGTGACCATCTGTTCGAACATTTTACTCTGAATATGGACCCAAAAAAATGAATCTAAAATTAATTCAGAAAAATAATATCGAGGGCGTCATCAAGCGCCATCAGCAGTGCATTCGAATGTCTTTTCCAAGCTGTCTGCCCAACTCTCCCTTTGTATTAGGGGGTAATTGGTTCACATATTGCGCAAGTTTCCTTGTTTATTAAATCAAAAGGGATGGCCTTTTTGCAATGCACTCCTCATTACCCATCTCATTAAAAAAAAATGAATTATATATGTATATGTATATTTTAATTTCCATTTTATTTAATTTTTTTTTTTAAATAAATTTAAAAATGCATTCATTGTTTTTGAAAGGGTGGAGGGGCGTGGGGATGGATGGGGTTGGGAGGCTTTGAAAGTACCTACGGCCTTTAAAAAACAAACACCTCCTATTGAAGAAGTTTCCATTTTGTTTTTCATTTTTTGTTTAACTTATACCCGCCCGCGCTCATAAACGGGATATCTGAGCCCCTTTTACCTTTTCCCCCTCATTTTTTATAACTTCTAAACTGCATTAATTGCCGCATTTTCGCAATATAATTGTGTCAAAAAACATGCATATCTCATATGAATCACGGATGTTTTAAAGTTTGATTCTCGAGTCATTCTCTATGAAAAGTCTATTTGCGATGAATCACACAAAACAGAAAGAAAAGTGATATCCCCATGAAACCACGCAGTTGCCTTTGACTTAATTCACTGTTTGCAGAGCTCTGATGAGACTGACCATCTGGCAAGTGGCTGTATGATGACCTCTCTTGGATTAACGCTCATAGAAAATTGACTTGTCAGTTCTTATTATTGTGCAGAATTTGGATATCTCATCATCATTCAAATTCAATTTGTTTGCAACTTGTTTGTTTTATGTTGCCACATCTACAGGGCAGAACGTAGATCGAGATTCGGAGGTGATTCACACTCACAATTGCAAATGTACAATATTGAAACCCGGCCAGTGCTTTTAATAACTTTCTTTTCGAAATTGCAAGAAGACCCTCCACATTTGCTGCTTTTGAGGAGAAACCGATGTTCACTTGTTTCGTAGTTACGTATCACACCACTCTTGTCTGACGTCCAAATTGCTTCATTTATTCAAAACTGAAAGACTGTTTGGCAAGTTTGAGATTTTGCCGTTGCATATTAGTTTGTTTTGTTTTGGTTTTGCCAGAAGCAACTTATTGACTCATGTTTTTCCATGTACTATATCGGGCTCATAATTAATATAACATTACACGTATTGTTCAGGGATCGACAAGACATCGAATACAGAATCAAAATGTAAAATCAAACTTTCAACCTGATTCCAGAAATGTTAATGTATCTTTTATCATTATTGACCACTCATCTAGTGTTTTCCCGCAGTCCATGGCTCCTCCTTCTACAGCAAATACAATTAGGGCGCGGTGCTGTCATAACTGTTTCGTATTGTTTAATCCGCAATTACCTGAAGTCTTTGTAATTTCAAACTGTGTTTTACCAAAGAGTGTATTTCCTGCTAATCGGTTAAACACAGAAAATGCAGAAATTCAAAAATGACCTGTCAAAATTCAAACGAGGTGAAGCGTCAGAGACACACAGCATTATTCCACACCATTCAAATGGACCGTTTTCATTAGAATATGAATTTTTTTTTAAAAAGTACCTTAACAAATTCATTTAAATTTCCCTCACGTTTCAACACGTTTTTGTTTTGGAAATGGACTCGATTCGAGTTGAACATAGTCCGAATCAGTCACTAGCCAAGTCTAACTCAAACCGAGTCCAAAAGGCAATTAACGAGTCTGATGCCAGTCACGAGTCAAACAAAAAATAAACAAATAAACTGACTCGAGTCCTCCACAATATACCCGTCTGAATCACCGTTGCTGAATAATTACTCCTCAACCTATTATGGGGCAATATTCCTCCCATTCCCCATTTTAAATTGAATACATTTGTATTGCCAAAAAACCCAAAACAAATTCAATTAGTTAAAAAAACCCCGCTTCTTTGCCATTAAAAAACTCCCCCATCAAATTCAAATACAGTCTCAATAACAGGACTATTTAATTAGGAATCGAAATGTTAAGTGTCATTAAAAAATGTCCAAACAATTAGAGTGTTGTCTGCTAAATGAGTAACGCCTACCTCCTGTAAGTCATTTAAAAAGTTGAACAAAACATACAGCTAGCACACCATGGATTAGTTTGAAGAAATCCCCGCTTTATTGAAATTAAACAAGTTTTTTTTTAGCCAAAATATACAGACAAACAAGTAGAGTGTAGTGCATTGTAGACGAGTGTACGGTACTCGAGTGCGCGGTCGATCTTTTGGACTTCGTTCAATTGGCACTCAAGGGTATTTATTAGTATCTTCTCGTGTCAGGCTTGTGTGACTCCTTCTGTTTGGGCAAAGTCAATTGCATTCGCGTACTGGTATCGTGAAGTCCTGTGTATCGGCCTTACACATGCACACATGCAAAGTACAAGCCTGCACACAAAACATGCACCACAGTTTAATAAGCTATAGCTGTAGCATTTAATTGTTCTAAAACACTATTTTCCTTTCCAATTGGGAACTTTGTCATGAAATACCTAGCTAGGACAGTGAAAACATACCTATTGGCCAAGAACCGATCACGTTGCTTGAATGTACCCCTTTGATAAAAATCAGGTTAGCATCTTACGTATATTTCAGTATTCACTATTCACTTACTTTATCTCATGAAATCTATATGAACCACAATCTTCTCAAAACATATCGTTGATGTCGAGAATATACATTAATGTTTAAAGGGAATATACAACATTTGCAAATATCGAAAAATAAAACTACCAAGTTTATACGAAATACCTTACTAGGATGTTGGTAAATGACAGTCTAAAGCATCCTGTAAAATTATGGCACCTGGTGCGAAGTCATTTTTAAGAAAATTGTATTTTTGTATACATTTCCAACGGTGGTTGGCCCACCACCGTTGGAAAAACCTAACTATTTTTCAACTTCTGCTCCAACTTTACACTTTTTTCAGTCCAAATTTTGTTTGCTATTGGTTACGTTCATGAACGGGTGCAGGCCAGCTAGACTGGTTCCCTTACCTTACAATTTTCCGGCATCTATAAATTGATCCATTTTATCTTTAGTGGAGTCAAGGAACCAGACTACTTGAACATTTTTGTTTTTCCAGCATTTTTGAACACAAAACTTCAAACATGTCTGTGTAACAATATTTGATCTATTATACTAACCCCTCAAATAGTTCATTTCTGAAAATTACAACAAAAGCAAAAGATATATACAACAATTCTCGTAACTTCTGTTCATGATAACTCCAGTGTTACATGTATGTTGGCGACAATGCAAATACGAACACAAGAGCTAAAACTTCCCTAAGCCGTTTTTTTAACTTCAAGATTTCGTCTATATGATTCTCATGAGTCGTAATTATCACATTATGTTTTCTATGTAATGCTTTTGATGAAGTTTCTTCTGGAATTTAAGCTTCTTAAATATACCAAATTACCAACCCATTCATTGAAGCAGCTGAAATCAACTAATAAAACTAAGTTTTGAAATAAGTTAATATAAGTCAAATCAACAGAGAATGATCACATTTCGAGAAATTGTGTACTTACACAATTAAACAAAATGGCTAACAGCAATTAAACAAAATGTCTTAGACAGATTAATCAAATTTAATTTTGAATTTGACTCTACTTGAAATATTTAAACAGTTTTTAAATTATTTCGAGATTTTTTGGGAAACTGTCAATTTTTTTTAAACAGTTGAAAGAAATGTATGCATGTAACTTGATCATTGAGTTACAAATTTACCAACACTGTTTTTGTTTTCTTTTAAATTGAAAGCTAATCCTTGTCATAAAATCCCCAGGAAAGCTTATACATTCCTATTGGTCAAGCACCCATCACGTGGGGTAATTGAAACCTTGAAACAAATCGGGCCTTCTCACTTTCAGTATTCAATATTTACAAACTGAGTAGCATGTAATCTAAAATGTACTCACAAGTTCACAACATATAATCGTAGATGTCGAGAAAATTCTAAATACATTTGTATATAATTGAACTGTCAGTTCAAACATTTCTCGTGCATGACTTCTTAACAGTACATAATAACCTGAAGGTTATGCTGGTTTTAATTAAAGAAACAAAACAATGTTTCGTTTCATAGGAGCTAGCTCACATGATTAACAACATGAGTTGTAATAATCACTGCATTTGTTTCCATGGAATGTTTATTTTATTCCACTTTCTTCTCGAATTTCAATTTCTCTACATAACTCGACCCATTGAGGCAACTGAAACCAACTAATAAAACCTTGTTTTGAAATAAGCGAAGTCAAAATCAGCATAGGATGATCATATTTTCCAAACTGCGTATTTACAGGCAGGTTGAATATAAATTAGAATATGTTTTTAACAGAACGATCAACCTTAGCTCTACAAGTGACGCAATTTCTTGGCAAAGGCTTCTATCTGCTGTTGTTAGATAAAAGTTTGCCAGAACTATTGCGATAGGCCTGCTAGGCTTTCGGGCCGAATTCATTTTTGTTGGTGTCTTTCTGGAGTTTCATTGTTTAAATAGTCTCTCACAGTTGGCCAATGAGCGTATATTGTGCACATAATTTTGCCAATGGGCTACAATTTGTATTCATATCACATTGACACCCTCAGTTGTCAGAACCAGTATGTTGTTTGTTGAAAAACGAAATACATAAACGTATGAGAAAAATTGATATTGAAACAAAACTGTAATCGTGGTATTTCAAGATTTCTCACGAATAGCGTTATATTTGTTTATCCTAATAGTACATGAGCTGAGGATGAAAGTTAATATACATGAATTAAAAACCTTATTTGCTTTTAGGGTTTTCCTTCTTCAATTTGATTCTTAAAGCTTTTTCAAAATGATCACCGGATTTGATTCAATGTAAATTTTTTATCTTATCTTTTTTTCTTTTGAATGAACTGCAAAGGTGACTCATAATAATTATACTTGACGAAATTAAGACAACCGCCCACTTTTGTGGACAAAATCGACCGATTGATCAGAAAGTCAAAATAATACTGGTAACACATGCAATCCAATACCGTACACGTTTTTTTTGTATAATACGTGATGTACCAATATTCTAAAACTTTTAATTCATTGTTGTGATAGGACTGCTCTTTACTTTTTCTATCAACATGCCTCAAATGATGAGAAATTGACATGACTGATTACAATGTTGTATCACACCTGGTGATGCATTTTGACTGAGGTCCAGTCAGCCACTGCCAGCTGCCCACCAGATGTGAATGTGATACCCCGCGGTTGGTACAGACCCTGTGCGATGCACTGAAGGAAGCCACCTTGAGGGTCATAGTGGTGGATATGACCCGTGTTCAAACCATTCGACATTGCAACATAGATACCTGAGCTATCAGTGCATACACCGTAGCAGTTACATACTGGTTGACCATTGATGGTGGGTTTGAAGGTGCGTTTTGTAGTACCATTGCCACCGGCAATATCCACTGTCTCTGATGTATTGTCACTTATTATCGCTCGATCATTGCTGTCAAAAGCCAGAAAATAAGGTTTAATCTTGACTGGTATGGTATGAAGGAGCTCACCATCAGTGGGGCTGTGCACTGTCAATACCATCCTCGCCACATCTCCCACTGCAATGGTACCATCATTCTTGACAGCTACGCTATGGAGGCCAATCGCGGTCTTACCAACCTCACTCGGCGGCACCGTTGGGAACTCGTATGCCAGCGTGTTGTCGCTGTTGAACACCTTCACCTGGGATGCGCTTTGCTCAACAACCACCAGACGATTGTCGCTGCGTTTCGCTGCGATGCCGCGTGGACCTGCAGGGGGCAAGATGTAAAAACAAACAATAGTGGTCAATTTCAATCTGAATTGCAATTTATAAAAATATCAAAAATGAATTAGAGTGATAATTAATGTGTCCCTGGCCAAAAAATATACATTGTCAAATATACATGTACATTTGTACGTGTAAATGTACATGTTAGGGATATCACTGTGTCTTAAGGTATCCTGTACATATTGATGTTTAAGCCTTTCGATAATTGCCTTTTGTATGTTTCAGTGGGATAATAGGAAAACAACTAAAAGACTCCCGACAACAGTTGTGAAATTAACCAGTGAACCAGTGTATCAGGAAGTGTATCAGGAAAACTTATATTTCTTTCATTTTAAATGGATTTTTCTTGAACTTTCATTCTTTGAAAAAAATTTCATGAAACGAGCAAACAAAATTCATGAAAAAACAAAAGCAAACTAATTAAAAATATGCGGAGACAGGGCAAAAACCCAATATCAAACATGAGGTTAAATTTACAGTATGCCTAGTGTTTGTTAATTTATGAAAAACAGCAAGGGAACTTGATTTTTGACATGGCCGATGTATTTATATTTAAAAATCTCCATGTTATGAAAACCAAGGTATTCATTAAAACATGTTTCGCATCAAATTTACTGTGATTAATAGTTTCATCAGATCTTTTGAGGTAAAGTAAAAACAAATGACAGGGAAAGAAATACATGTACGTGTGCATAATTTGGGAGATTGCAATGCACGGTAATTAAAACTTACATCCTTGCATCGGGATCGTGCTTTTCTGGTTGCCATCGATGCTGCAGATCACAACTCGTTTGTTGCCATAGTCAGTCACTGCAATCTCATCAGGTTGACGAGCAGCTATGTCCCAAGCCCCATCGAACTCTCCTGGACCTCTTCCATTTCTACCAAACTCCCGACACAGTTCCCATTTGTCTTCCGTCACCACCTCACCCAGACTGATGCCACCAACACCCTCACTCTGCTTGAACTTGAGAAATGCGAGCCTGTTGTCAACTCCAGGCATACATTGTGTACTCTGTTCTGCCAACAATTTCAAGTCTTTGCTGATTGTTGGATAGAGTGAGAGAAAGTCACTATCCGATGCAGTCCTTGTCACCTCTCTTGCTGTGTCTAGTGAATGCTGAAATCTCTCCGCTTCAAAGCCCATAGTTTTCTCATATTCGTCGAGTGTTTGTTCACGATCTGTTTGGATGTTTTTAATGTCATCCAGGATGCGATTTTCTTGCACCGTTACCTCTGCTCGTATCTCAGCTGCTCTGTCCTGCACTTCTGTCATGGCCCTCTTAACTGTGACTCCCAAATCTTCTTTTATTCTTGAGACTTTTTCTCGTGATTTCTGGAGTTCTGTCATTGTGTTTTCAAGTGGAGAGACCAGTTCAGCCAACGATTGCTTGCACTTCGATGTGGCCAGATTTCTGTCAATGTACGAGTGTTCTGGCTTACAGTGGTCAATGACGGTACAATCTCGGCAGATCAAAGTATCACATGTCTTGCAGAAGAACCTTGCCACTTCGCCCTCATGTACTGGACATTTTGGATGTTGTCTTGGGTTTTTCTTCTTCAGTTTCACCTTTCCCTCACGAACGTCGTCCAAAGGAGCTATTACGTGGCTTGATGTTACAGGAACTCGTTTGTGTGAACTGTGACATCGTGAGCAGATATTAAGTGAACAATCCAGACACCGATGTGTTGCCTCATTGCCATCATCACATGTCTCGCAGAGCAGCTTTGTGTCACCCGAACACACCACCCTTTCCTGCAGTTCAAACTCCTCAACCAGACCAATCAGATAAAAGTTGGTTTTCAGACCATTTACCCCAGACTCGGGAAGTTTCGTCTCCTGCCGACACACAGGGCAAGGAATTGCTGTATAGCCCTCGTGCTTCGTGCTGCAGTATTTCAGCAGACATTGCTCACAGAAGCTATGCAGGCATTCTAATATCTTGGGCTGTTGGTATCTCTCTTGACAGATGCAGCACTCAAGATGATGTCTGCTGATCGTCTCTAGAGCTGAACTTACTGCAGGTCCGGTCGCCATTTTGGTCTAATAAATGTGGAAAAAACGTATTTTGTGAAAAAAATACGAATGCTAAAAATGTATCATGACTTGATCATTCGCATGTCTTCTTATATGGGTTGGGACCAATAGTAATTGGCAGGATGTGCTTTGTATTTAAAACGAATCGCCAGGTACAGGACTCTCAAGATGTGAATTAAAAAGTCCAAATCACACCCATAATCCATAACTAAACATCCTCTTAAAAATATCACAACTTTTATTTTATCTGTGATGCTTCCTTGGCATTTTTAGATGTGGGTTAATGCGGGAAGGCAGAGAAATCTGAAAGTGACTTTAATCATCTAATGTTGAAATTCATCATTCCTGTCCAGTTTTTGAATGCAATCTATCATTTTACTAGTGATAAGATGCTCCATAGTTGTTCTATAAAATATGTGTCTCAAATACTGGCCTTCCTTAGTATTGAGAGCACAAAGCATTATGGACTTATGTACCGGTACATGCTACATTTCCTGAAAAAGGACATTCACTATGGAAGCTGCTTGGTTATTAACCAGAAGAAAAAGAAGCGAATCTCGTACATCATGCACTTTACAGGGGAAATTGTGAATGCTGACGACACTTTAAAAAAAAAAAACACACACACTCACAATTATCATTTTTGCAGTGTAAAATATTATTATTTCAGAACAAGTTAAAGAAGGCACTTTTGGTGTTCATCATATGGAAAGTGAAAATCACACGTCATACGGGGTAACATGTCGTGGTTTTCTCTTTATGTTTACGTTCTTCTACAAGCTGTCATTCGTTTACAAAAAGGAAGTGGATTTAAAAGTTATTTTTGAAGAGGATTTCCTAAAGTATCTGATACTAATTTATTAATTTCCTCACACCGTGGCTGCACCGGCTTTCTTTTAGCGTACGCTAGTTTGCCGGAGGAATCTGAGACGACCTCTGCTAAATTAACGTATTACTAAAAGAAAACGGGGCCGCCCAAATATTCACAGCCTTCTAAAAAGGATAAAGCAATAGCCAGGACCAGGTAGCATACATGAGCGCAGACACTCTAATAAAATGTGTCATGTAATTATGTCAATTAAAATATCGATATTATGTAGTCATGGTAGCTTAAGACACCTCTTTTATTATTTACAAATTGTGTTCATAAATCAAAACCCTGCCCTCTTTCCACAAAATTAAGCTAGCTGATATTCAACATGGTATGTTAGCGAACTATTTAGATGATTCCAAACACATAAAGGGACCTTTCATGCTTGCATATCATGTTTGCCAAATGTTTAGCAGGTGTTTAGGTTTTAATTTATAAAAAAGGCCTAAGTCTCAAAACATAAAACTTCAAGTGTCTTTTCTTTCTCTTATATTGAACAGGCCGGTGCTCCACTTCACGATTAGTTTTGCTTGCACCGGTACTTTGCAATCGGGTACTGCCATTACTAACACAGCAAGTAAGCCCAACATTACAGTAACATTCATACATAGTATTGAGAGAGTCCCAAATTTGCGAACTAAACAATAACATGCCTAACGAACGTTATAATTTCACACGTCGCACACACCCCCCCCCAAAAAACAACATCATCATTTCACAACAAAATGCCTCTCCAGGATTCACGGTTGACAGATATATTTTGCTCACATTTATCCCACGTTTCTGGGTTGAAGGGTAAAATTTTGTTGTTCCTGTCGAGTCAAACGAAGAGAATATTTCACTTTCAGTTGGTTTCCTGGACGCAATAATGAACGCGGAAGTACAAGTCGACGTGAAATGTAACATGAAGAGCGCCTCCAAGAGACAGCACGCCAATTTATCCTGCGCCAATTCTATCTGACTATTTGATTGTGTTCGTGATCCACCTGTTCGAACTTTTTTTGTTACTCTGAATCGTGCCAAAAAAAATGTATTATCAAATTAATCTTGCAATTTAACTTAGATGGCGTCATCAGGTTCAGTCGACAGTGCGTTCGAATGTCTCTTCCAGTGGTCCCCTCAACTCTCTCTTTGTTACCGTCGAGGGGGTACTTTGCACACATTTTCTTTTCTTTTCCCAGGGCACTTCTCCTTCCCATCTCATTCCACAGAACTGCATTAAATAAACTGTTTTAACTTTTGTTTTAATATTGTATTAGTGTTTGCCTTTTTCATTTTTGTTTATTATTGTTTTATAATCTATTTTCCCCTTGCTTATTTTTCATTATTTTTTTCCGTAGGGGGGGGGGGGGGGGGTGGATGGGTTTGATCGGTGGGGGTGGGGAGGTTTCGAAAGAAGCTCCAGCCTTTAAATAATTTAAAATGAACCTTATAAGGAATGTATATGATTTATGAAGACGAAAACTTTAAATTTTTGTCCACGTTTTTTTTTTAAACGGCTCATTGCGCTAATATATCTGCTGTTAATACTGTTTTGCTTTTAATCATTTTTTTTTTAAATCTAAATCTAAAAGAAAAGTACATGTATCCTCGGTGCCGTACTGAAAGATGTTTTCAAAGAGTCACCCTGGGTGATTCAAAATTAAGTTAGCAATATAATCACTCCTAAACGTAATAGTACATTTTTTCCCTTCGATTTCTCATTTAAATTTAATACATTTGTATTTAGAAAAAGGAAAAAAAACCACAAAAATAAATAAGATATAAACCGCGTGATTACTTTGCTTTTAACTTGCATGGGTTATATTTATTTAGTATTGTGGGGCAAATGTTCTGACTGACTTACGAAATTCCTACTTTCTGTAATCAAATAGAGTGTCGATAATGGGACTATTTAATTAGGAATTTAAAGGATGAATGTCATTTACAAAAAGTCAAAACAATTAGAGGGTTGTCGGCGTAATGAGTAAAACATGCCACATGTAAGTCACTTTTAACAAAGCTTCATATGTAGACATATGAATAGTAAAGAAATCCTCGCTTTGTTGAAATAAAAACAAGGTTGCTAATTTGTCTGAAATTATTCCATGAAATGAAAACATTAGGCCAAAATATACAGATAGGCCTAGACAAGTAGATCATGAGACGAGTGTAAGGCGCTGAATGCGCGGTCGATCTATTTGAACTTCGTTCAATATTGGCACTCAAGGAGATTTAGTATGGTCCCGTGTCAGGCTGACCCTTTCTGTCTGCGCAACCTGAATTCAACTACAAACACGTACTGTTATCGTGAAGCCCTGTGTATCGGCCTTTCACATGCAGTAGGTAAATACACGACTCCAAAAGCCTGTTTACAAATGATGCACCACAGTTTACTAAACTAGATGTAGCATTAAAATAACCGATCACTTGGCTTGAATTTAACCCTTTAAACAAATGTTAGGTTATCTTACGTTTATTTCAGTGTTCTCCATTTACAAACTTATCCTCATGTTATCTATATGAACCAACATTTAGTCAAAATATATCGTTAATTTCGAGAAAATTACACATGTGTAATTAGACTTTTCGTCACCGACACCACGAAGTAACACCCATCTACATACCAGTAAAAACTAGCAATCGGAGAAAACGGCAACTAAAGTTGAACGCCTTCTAAAACAACACTTTGCGTCAAAACGACAGAGTATTTTCAGTTGGGTTTCTCGTTGTGGACACTTGATGAATTGAATTTATTAAATCTGCTGTTTTTCACTCGTTTGTGTATTAAATAAACAAGAAATAAGAGAAAAAAGATGAGTGTTAGTTCGTGAAACCGAAAAAGCTGCGAAACTGTAAATTTTCGTTTTCACGAAGTAACACTCTTCAATGTATTTAACACGAGGAAAGTGCAACTTCAGGTCAGCGCGCGCGCGCTCATACAACTTGTTACAAGAAGAGTGTTACTTCGTGAAAACGTTTTTGCTCACTTATGAGCAGAGTGCGCGCCATGCATTGCAATGGAAAATGGAACTCGAGTGTTACTTCATGAAAACGAAAATTGTCACTTTTGCGCAAAAGTTGCCATGGATACTTAGCGTAATTATTAAAGTAAAGCTCTTGAAGCTTTGAAACTTCGTGCAATGGTAGGCCTTGATGAATAATGTTTAAAAGTCCAAAAAACTGAAAATCGACAAAAATATGGTTTAACACGGTAGAGTGTTACTTCGTGGTGTCGGTGACGTTTTGTTTAAAAGATAAATCAATTCTCGTAACTTCTGTTCATGATGCATAAAGGACTGATATTAAAGGACTGCACAAAGGACTGATAATGATATTACAATAATCCTCAGTTGTCAGATCCAGTGTATTGTTTGTTGAAAAATAAAATACATCTGACGTACCAGAACAATTGATATACATTGTACAAACAAATCGTAATACAATGTAATGGTATCCCAAACGTTCTCTCCAATAACGATTTCAGTTATTCATCTCTATAGTACTTGATCTTAGGATGAATTTTTATATACATGAATTACAAATCTTATTTGCTTCAACCACGCTTACGGTTAGGGTTTTTCCTTCAATATCATTCTTAAACAATTTTTTTTTCAAACTTTCACTGCATTTGATTCAATGTGATATTTTGTTTTCTCTTACTTTTTTTGGAAAATTCAAGTCTATTACCATCAACCAAGCCATTTTTTTCAACAGGAGCAAAGTGAAATCAACGTAGAATGAAACAATTTCCCATAATTGCGCATTTACAGGCGAGCTGACTAGAATTCAAATACCTAACATACTTATACTTAACATAGTTGGCATGTATTGCTTAAACTATGATCCATTGTAATTAGTGTATGCGCATCCAACTGGACATCTAGGCTAAACTTCAATGTATTGTTCAACCCTCCTGCTGTCTGATCAGTCACAGACAGTCAACAAATCAACCCTCTTTCTTATCATGCCTCTTATGGCTAGTCACCAAACAGTCAGATCATACATGTATTTCAAGCAAGCACTGTGACTAGTCAAATTAAGTCAACAGACACAAGCAGATAAGTAGTAGGCACATGTCTTATCTATCACCTACAGTCAAAGCATAGCTGTAGCACGACACATAAACTATCACAGCCAGTCAACCCTGCCTTATTTTGTCAGAGAGCACTCAATCGTTAAAAAGACTGATTTTGACTGAAAGGAAAACTTGCACAGAATGTTTGTTTGCATACATGTAGGAGGGATAATGACTAGCCAATATTATAACGAGTAGATCATTGATATCAGTATTATTCCATACCATTGATGGGGTCCATACCGTCAATTTTATAGAATTGATTGGATGGAATTGTCATAATCGGTATAAATTTGTTGCAAGAGCCGTAATACCGTATTGCGAATGCAAATCATAAGCAAAACTGCGATGTCATTTTTGGCAAAACATGTACTTTTTTGTTCTTGCTGTGCGTCGATATTGACAGTTGCCCGAGTTATTTAGAGCTTTTATTCGAAGCATTTTTGTTGTCTACGGTGTTTCTTTGCTTCTAATTACCAAACCCTTAGTTATCAGGAACTGCGCATTGTTTGTTGAGAAAAGGCAAAACTAAAAAGGGTGACTCATTATAATCCGAAACAGCCATTTATCAAAGAAAAATAAGGTTGGCTGAACATTGAAAATTGCCTTTTTGAAAGATGCAATTTACTGGAAATATAAACTGCTTACATGTACAGTCGAAAAATGGTACGTTTCCCCGGTGTTGTATTGAATAGTGTTTTAAGAAATTCATCATTTCTCTCTTTAAGTGATCATTGTGTTAAAATAAGGTTTAAACCAAAGACCCACACTGACAGCTCTAAATATACATGTACATACTTAATAAAATTAAGGAGAAAAATCCTTAACCGCCCACAGTTTTGAACAAAATCGACCGATCGATCAGAAAGTCAAAATAGTACATGGTTATCCAATACCGTGTGATTTTCTTTTTTTATTGTATGTTGTATCAATATTGTACAAGTTTATTTTTGTGATTAGAACCACTCTTATTTTTTTTCTATCGACATGTCTGCGATGATTAGACATTGACATGACTGATTACAATGTCGTATCACACCTGGTGATATATCTTGACTGAGAAGTGGTCAGCCACTGCCAGCTGACCATCAGATGTAAATGTGATTTCCCAGGGCGAGCGCAGACCCTGTGCGATGCACTGGAGAAAGTCACCTTGAGGGTCATAGCGATGGATATGACCCGTCATGGTATTGTCACCATTATGCATTGCAACATAGATACCTGAGCCATCAGTGCATACACCGAAGCAGTATTGCACTGGTTGACCATTGATGGTGGGTTTGATGGTGCGTTTTGTAGTACCATTGCCACCAGCAATATCCACTGTCTGTGATGTATAGTCACTTATTATCGCTTGATCATTGCTGTCAAAAGCCAGAGAATAAGGTTTAATCTTGACTGGTATGGTATGAAGGAGCTCACCATCAGTGGGGCTGTGCACTGTCAATACCATCCTCGCCACATCTCCCACTGCAATGGTACCATCATTCTTGACAGCTACGCTCCAGAGGTCAACCGCGGTCTTACCGACCTCACTCGGCGGCACCGTTGGGAACTCGTATGCCAGCGTGTTGTCGCTGTTGAACACCTTCACATGGGATGCGCCTTCCTCAACAACCACCAAACGATTGTCGCTGCGTGTAGCTGCGATGCCGCGTGGACCTGTAGGGGGCACGATGTAAAAACAAACAATAGTGGTCAATTTCAATCTGAATTGCAATTTATAAAAATATCAAAAATGAATTGGAGTGATGATTAATGTGTCCCTGGCCAACAAAAAAACATTGTCAAATATACATGTACATTTGTACGTGTACATGTTAGGATATCACTGTGTCTTAAGGTATCCTGTACATATTGATGTTTAAGCCTTTCGATAATTGCCTTTTGTATCTTTCAGTGGGATAATTTGAAAAAAATAAAAGACTCCTGTCAACAGTTGAGAAATTAACCAGTGAACAAGTGTAACAGGAAAACTTATATTTCTTTCATTTTAAATGGATTTTCCTTGAACTTTCATCCTTTGAAAAAAATGTCATGAAACGAGTAAACAAAATTCATGAAAAAAACAAGAGCAAACTAATTAAAAATGCGTGGGGACGGGGCAAAAACCCAATATCAAACATAAGGTTCAATTTACAGTAGTGTTAGCTCAATTTATGAAAAAATATCAAGGAAATTTGATTTTTGACATGGACGATATATTTATATTTAAAAATCTCCATGTTATGAAAACCAAGGTATTCATTAAAACATGTTTCGCATGAAATTTACTGTGATTTAGTTTCATCAGATCTCTTGAGGTAAATCAAAAACAGATAATGAGGGGGAAAGAAATACATGTACGTGTGCATAATTTGAGAGAATGCAATGCACGGTAATTAAAACTTACGTCCTTGCATCGGGATCGTGCTTTTCTGGTTGCCATCGATGTTGCATATCACAACGCGTTCGTTGTTGAGGTCAGCCACTGCAATCTCATCAGGTTGACGAACAGCAATGCCCCAAGCCCCATCGAACTTTCCTGGACCGCTTCCCATTTTACCAAACTCCCGACACAGCTCCCATTTGCCTTCCGCCACCACCTCACCCAGACTGATGCCACCAACACCCTCACTCTGCTTGAACTTCAGAAATGCAAGCCTGTTGTCAACTCTAGGCATTCTCTGATCTGCCAACAATTTCAAGTCTTTGCTGATTGTGGCATAGAGTGAGAGAAAGTCACTATCCGATGCAGTCTTTGTCACCTCTCTAGCTGTGTCTAGTGAATACTGAAATCTCTCCGATGTCAAGCCCATAGTTTTCTCATATTCGTCCAGTTTTTGCTCACGATCTGTTTGGATGTTTTTAATGTCGTCAAGGATGCGATTTTCTTGCACCGTTACCTCTGCTCGGAGCTCAGCTGCTCTGTCCTGCACTTCTGTCATGGCCCTCTTAACAGTGACACCCAAATCTGCTTTTATTCTTGAAACTCTCTCTCGTGATTTCTGGAGTTCTGTCATTGTGTTTTCAATTGGAGAAACCAGTTCAGCCAACGATTGCTTGTACTTCGATGTGGCCAGATTTCTGTCAATGTACGAGTGTTCTGGCTTACAGTGGTCAATGACGGTACAATCTCGGCAGATCAAAGTATCACACGTCTTGCAGAAGAACCTTGTCACTTCGCCTTCATGTATTGGACATTTTGGATGTTGTTTCGGATTTTCCTTCATCAGTTTCACCTTTCCCTCACGTACATCCTCCAAAGTAGCTATTACGTGGCTTGATGTAGTTACAAATCTTTTGTGTGAACTTTGACAACGTGAGCAGATATTCTGTGCACAGTCCAAACATCGATGTGTTGCCTCATTGTCATCATCACACGTCTCACAGCGCAGCTTTGTGCCACCCGGGCACACCAACTTTTCCTGCAGTTCCAATTCCTCCACCAGACCAATCAAATGAAAGTTTGTTTTCAGACCCTGCACCCCCACCTCAGGAAGCTTTGTCTCCTGTCGACACACAGGGCATGGGATCACCGTAGAGTCCTGGTGCTTCGTGCTACGATATTTTAGCAGACATTGCTCACAAAAGCTATGCAGGCATTCCAGTATCTTTGGCTGTTGGTATCTCTCTTGGCATATGCTGCACTCAAGATGATGTCTGCCGATCGTCTCTAAAGCTGAACTTACTGCAGGTCCAGTCGCCATTTTTGTCTAATAAATGTGAAGAAAAATATTTTATTTAAAACATAACAGTGGTACAAATGTATCACTCGTATGTTTCCCTTTATGGGTAGGGACCACTAGTAATTGACAGGATGTGTTTTTGCATTTGGAATGAATCGACGTGTGCAGGCCTCTCAAGATGTGAATTCAAAATAAACAATTAAGTGCAAAATCATATCCTTATCCATAAACTGCACCTCCTCTTCAAACTTTCACATATTTTAATTTATTTGTGATGCTTTCTTGGATTTGTGATATTGTTCCTTAATCCGGGAAGGCAGAAATCTGAAAGTGACTCCATCATCTAATGTTGCATTTTATCATTATGTAACATTTCTGAATGCAAAACATCAATGTACTGTACATGTACAAAGTTAAAGTTGTAAGATGCTCCATTGTGGCCCATGAATATTTTTCTCCTGGACATCCTTCGTATTTAACCACACAGCAATGCAAATATAGTAATTATCATGGACAGATATGGATACTCCAATCATTCGCATTATATTTTTTGAGATAACATCATAATATGACATTGTTTCGTCTTTATCGTTTTATTTTCATCTCCATTATCATCTTCATTATCATGATAGCATGTTGTTAACATGTTAAAAAAATAATAACAAAAAGTGTGCTGTACTTGTACGTTAAATCTATAGTCCTCTGCATCGAGCAATGCCATTAGCATTACTCGATATATTAACAGCCATACATGTACATGTACATGTACATCATGTACATGGAGTACATGTACATATTTGAACGTGGTATTACAACGTAAAAAATGCCTCATCAGAATTTCACAACAAAATGCTTCTCCAGGATTTAAGGAAGACAAAGATTATTGTGCTCACATTTATCTGACGTTCCCGGTTTGGATGGTTGAAAATGATGTTTCTGTTGAGTCGAAAGGAGCGAATCTTTAGGTTGGTTAAATTTCAGGCTCCAAGCACTCAACGCGGAAGTAGAAGTCGAAGTGAAATGTAATATGAAGAGCGCCTCCAAGGGACAGCACGGCAATTTTTCCTATGCATGGTACAGTAGATAGATTGTGTTCATGACCATCTGTTCGAAACTTTTACTTACTCTGAATCTGGACCCAAAAAAATGCATCTAAACTTAATAAATAACAAAATAAACCAATACCGAGGGCTTTTATCAAGCGTCATCGCCAGTGCATTCGAATGTATTTTCAAGTTGTCTGCCCAACTCTCTCTTTGTAACCGTTGAGGGGGTAATTGTTTGATTCTCGACTGCTGGACTATCAACAGGGATGGCCTTATTTGTTTGGCAGTGCACTCCTATTTTCCCATCTCTTTTAAAAAAAGGAGCTGCATTTAGATAGGTATATATATTTGTAATTTCCATTTCACATTTTTTTTTGTATTAAAAAAAACCACACAATTCTCCATGCATTCATTGTTTTTGAAGGGGGGGGGGCGGGGGGCGGGGGGATGCATGGATGGGTTGGGGAGGTTTTGAAAGTACCTACGGCCTTTAAAAAACAAACACTTCCTATTAAGGATATCTAAATGAGCCTGATTCCCGATTTGAGGGCGGTATAGGATCCGGAGAAGCTTCCATTTTCTTTTTCATTTTTCTTAAAAGTTACCGCCGCTCATTGCCGGAAATGGGATATCTGAGCCCCTTTTACTTTTTTTCTTCATTTTTTATAAATTCTAAACTTCAATTATTGCCGCCTTCCCCAATATATGTTGGAAAACGTGCATTTTTCATATGAATCACTGATGTTTTAAAAAAAAAATCTGTGAAAGTCCATTTGCGATGAATCACCAAAAAAAAAAGAGAAAAGTGATATCCCCATGGAACCATGCAGTTGCCTTTGACTTAATTCACTGTTTGCAGAGCTCTGATGAGACTGACCATCTGGCAAGTGGCTGTATGATGACCTCTCTTGGATTAAAGCTCAAAGAAAATTGACTTGTCAGTTCTTATTATTGTGCAGAATTTGGATATCTCATCATCATTCCGATTCAATTTGTTTGCAACTTAATTGTTTGTTTTATGTTGCCACATCTAGGGCAGAACGTGGATCGAGATTCGGAGGTGATTCACACTCACAATTGCAAATGTACAATTGAAACCCGGCCAGCGCTTTTAATAACTTTCTTTTCGAAATTGCAGGAAGACCCTCCACATTTGCTACTTTTGAGGAGAAACCTATGTTCACTTGTTTCGTAGGTACGTATCTCACCAATCCTGTCTGACGTCCAAATTGTTTCATTTATTCAAAACTGAAAGACTGTTTGGCAAGTTTGAGATTTTGCCGTTGCATATTGCTTTTGTTTTGTTTTGGTTTTGACAGAAGCAACTTCTTGACTCATGTTTTTCATGTACTATATCAGGCTCATAATTAATATAACACTACACGTATTGTTCAGGGATCGACATGACATCGAATGCAGAATTGAAATGTCAAATCAAACTTTTAACCTGCTTCCAGACATTTTAATGTATCTTTTATCATTTTTGACCGCCCATCTAGTGTTTTTACTCTCCACGCAGTCTATGACTCCTCCTTCTACAGCAAATACAATTAGGGCGCGGTGCTGTCAAAACTGTTTCGTATTGTTTAATCTGCAATAACCTGAATTCTTTGTAATTCCAAACTGTGTTCCCAAAGACTGTTTTTCCTGCTAATCAGTTAAACACAGAGAATTCAGAAATACACAAATGACCTGTGAAAATTCAAACGAGGTGAAGCGTCAGAGCAACACAGCATTAGGCCCTATTCTACACCATTCAAAGGGGCCGTTTTCATTAGAATATGTAACTAAAAATGTAAAAAAGTACATTAACAAATTCATTTAACTTTGTCCTCACGTTTCAACACGTTTTTGTTTTGGAAATGGACTCGATTCGAGTTGAACATAGTCCGAATCAGCCACTAGCCGAGTCTGACTCAAACCGAGTCCAAAAGGCAACGAGTCTGATGCCAGTCACGAGTCAAACAAAAAATAAACAAATAAACTGACTCGAGTCCTCCAAAATATACCCGCCTGAATCACCTGAAGAGGGGGGGGGGGGGTTGATAATTCAAATTACGTTTGCTGAATAATTACTCCTAAACGTTTTATGAGACAACTTTTCCTCCCATTCCCCATTTTAAATTGAATAAATTTGTATTGCCAAAAATACAAAGAATAAATTCAATTAGATAAAAAAAAACCGCTTCTTTGCCATTTAAAAACTCCCCCATCAAATTCAAATACAGTCTCAACAACAGGACCATTTAATTAGGAATCGAAATGTTAAGTGTCATTTAAATATGTCCAAACAATTAGAGTGTTGTCTGCTAAATGAGTGACGCCTACCTCCTGTAAGTCATTTAAAAAGTTGAACAAATACATACAGTTAGCACATCATTGATTAGTTGGAAGAAATCCCCGCTTTATTGAAAATAAACAAGTTTTTTAGCCAAAATATACAGACAAACAAGTATAGTGTAGTGCATTGTAGACAAGTGTACGGTATTCGAGTGCGCGGTCGATCTTTTGGAGTTCGTTCAATTGGCACTCAAGGGTATTTATTAGTATCATCCCGTGTCAGGCTTGTGTGACTGCTTCTGTTTGCACAAAGTCAATTGCATTCGCGTACTGGTATCGTGAAGCCCTGTGTATCGACCTTACACATACACAAATGCAAAGTACAAGCCTGCATACAAAACATGCACCACAGTTTAATAAGCTATAGCTGTAGAATTTAATTGTTTCAAAAACACTATTTTCCTTTCCAATTGGGAACTTTGTCATGAAATACCTAGCTAGGGCAGTGAAAACATTCCTATTGGCCAAGAACCGATCACGTTGCTTGAATGTACCCCTTTGATAAAAATCAGGTTAGCATCTTACGTATATTTCAGTATTCACTATTTACAAACTTTATCTCATGAAATCTATATGAACTAAAATCTTCTCAAAACATATCGTCGATGTCGAGAATATACATTGATGTATTGGACTTTTGGTAAAAGATACAACAATTCTCTTAACTTCTGTTCATGATAAGGAGTGTTACATGTATGTTGGCGACAATGCAAATATGAAAACAAGAGCTAAAACTTCCCTAGGCCGTTTTTTTGTCACTGTAGGATTTCGTCTATATGATTATCATGAGTCGTAATTATCACATGATTTGTTTTCATGTAATGTTTTTGATCAAGTTTCTTAAAATATACCAACCCATTCATTGAAGCAGCTGAAATCAACTAATAAAACTAAGTTTTGAAATGAGCTGAGTCAAATCAACAGAAAATTATCATATGTCGTAAAATTGTGTATTTACAGGCAGGTTAACAGCAATTAAACAAAATGTCTTTGACAGAACAATCAAACTTAATTTTGAATTTGACTCTACTTGAAATATTTCAACAGATTTTAAATTATCTCGAGATTTTTTTGGGAAACTGTGTCATTTCTTTTTTGACAGTTGAAAGAAATGTATGCATGTATCTTGATCAGTGAGTCAAAAATTTACCAACACTGTTTTTTTTCTTTTCACTTGAAAGCTAATCCTTGTCATAAAATCCTTAGGAAAGCTTATACATTCCTATTGGTCAATAAACCATCAAGTGGGTTTAATTGAAACCCTGTAACAAATCGGGCCTGCTCATTTTCAGTATTCAATATTTACAAACTGAGTAGCATGTTATTTAATGTACTCACAACATTATAATCGTAGATGTCGAGACAATTCTAAATATATTATGGAACTGTCAGTTATTACATCAAACATTTTTCGTGACTTCTTTACAGTAATAATAACCTGAAGGTTATGCTGGTTTTAATTAAAGAAACAAAACAATGTTTCGTTTCATAGGAGCTAGCTCACATGATTAACATCATGAGTTGTAATAATCACTGCATTTGTTTCAATGGAATGTTTTTCCATTCCACTTTCTTCTCGAATTTCAATATCTCTACATAACTCAACCCATTGAGGCAACTGAAACCAACTAATAAAACCTTGTTTTGAAATAAGCGAAGTCAAAATCAGCATAGGATGATCATATTTTCTAAATTGCGTATTTACAGGCAGGTTGAATATAAATTACAATATGTTTTTAACAGAACGATCAACCTTAGCTCTTCAAGTGACGCAATTTCTTGGCAAAGGCTTCTATCTGCTGTTGTAAGATGAACGTTTGCCTGAACTATTGTGGTGTAGGCCTGCTAGGCTTTCGGCCCAAATTCATTTTTGTTGTTGTCTTTCTGGAGTTTCATTGTTTAAATAGTCTCTCACAGTTGGTCAATGAGCGTATATTGTGCACATACATAATTTTGTCAATGGGTTTCATTTTTTTATTCATATCACATAACCACCTTCAGTTGTCAGAACCAGTGTGTTGTTTGTTGAAAAACGAAATACATCTAACGTACATGTATGAGAGAAATTGATATTGAAACAAACCTGTAATCGTGGTATTTCAAGTTTTCTCTTGAATAGCGTTTTACTTTGTTTATCCTTACAGTACTTGAGCTGAGGATGAATGTGAATATAAACATGAATTAAAAAACTTATTTGCTTTTAGAATTTTTCTTCTTCAATTTGATTCCTAAAGCTTTTTCAAAATTGTCATCGGATTGATTCAATGTTTACTTTTTTATTTTATTTTGTTTCTTTTGAATGAACTGAAAAGGTGACTCATTATAATCATACTTGATAAAATTAAGACAACCGCCGACTTTTGTGGACAAAATTGACCGATTGATCAGAAAGTCAAAATAATACAGGTAACACATGTAATCCAATACTGTATACGTTGTTTTGTATAATACGTGATGTATCAATATTCTTAAACTTTTAATTCATTGTTGTGATAGGACCGCTCTTTACTTTTTCTATCAACATGCCTCAAATGATGCGAAATTGACATGACTGATTACAATGTTGTATCACAACGGGCGATACATTTTGACTGAGTTGTAGTCAGCCACTGCCAGCTGCCCATGTGATGAGAATGTGATACCCAGTGGGTAGTACAGACCCTGTGCGATGCACTTGAGAAAGCCACCTTGAGGGTCATAGTGGTGGACATGACCCGTGTTAAAACCATTAGACATTGCAACATAGATACCTGAGCCATCAGTGCACACACCGTTGCAGTTACATACTGGTTGACCATTGATGATGGGTTTGAAGGTGCGTTTTGAAGTACCATTGCCACCGGCAATATCCACTGTATGTGATGTATTGTCACTTATTATCGCTTGATCATTGCTGTGAAAAGCCAGAAAATGAGGTTCAATCTTGACTGGTATGGTATGAAGGAGCTCACCATCAGTGGGGCTGTGCACTGTCAATACCATCCTCGCCACATCTCCCACTGCAATGGTACCATCATTCTTGACAGCTACGCTCCGGAGGTCAACCGCGGTCTTACCAACCTCACTCGGCGGCACCGTTGGGAACTTGTATGCCAGCGTGTTGTTGCTGTTGAACACCTTTACATGGGATGCACCTTTCTCAACAACCACCAAACGATTGTCACTGCGTGTAGCTGCGATGCCGAGTGGGCCTGTAGGGGGCACGATGTAAAAACAAACAAGAGTGGTCAATTTCAATCTGAATTGCAATTTATAAAAATATCAAAAATGAATTGGAGTGATAGTTAATGTGTCCCTGGCAAAAAAATATACATTGTCAAATATACATGTACATTTGTACGTGTACATATTAGGGATATCACTGTGTCTTAAGGTATCATGTACATATTGATGTTTAAGCCTTTCGATAATTGCCCTTTTGTATCTTTCAGTGGGATAATAGGAAAAAAAAAACTAAAAGACTCCTGACAGCAGTTGAGAAATTAACCAGTGAACCAGTGTATCAGGAAAACTTATATTTCTTTCATTTTAAATGGATTTTTCTTGAACTTTCATTCTTTGAAAAAATGTCATGAAACGAGCAAACAAATTTCATGAAAAAAACAAGAGCAAACTAATTAAACATGCATGGGGACTGGGCAAAAACTCAATATCAAACATGAGGTTAAATTTACAGTAGAGTTTGTTCAATTCATGAAAAAATATCAAGGAAATTTGATTTTAGACATGGACGATGTATTTATATTTAAAAAGCGCCTTTTATGAAAACCTAGGTATTCATTAAAACATGTTTCGCATGAAATTTACTGTGATTTTGTTTCATCAGATCTTTTGAGGTAAAGTAAAAACAGATGACGGGGAAAGAAATACATGTACGTGTGCATTATTTGAGAGATTGCAATGCACAGTAATTGAAACTTACGTCCTTGCATCGGGATCGTGTTTTTCTGGTTGCCATCGATGCCGCAGATCACAACTCGTTTGTAGAGGTCAGTCACTGCAATCTCATCAGGTTGACGAGGAGCAATGCCCCAAGCCCCATCGAACTCTCCTGGACCGCTTCCCTCTCTACCCAACTCCCAACACAGTTCCCATTTGCCTTCCGTCACCACCTCACCCAGACTGATGCCACCAACACCCTCACTCGGCTTGAACTTCAGAAATGCAAGCCTGTTGTCAACTTTAGGCATACTCTGATCTGCCAACAATTTCAAGTCTTTGCTGATTGTTGGATAGAGTGAGAGAAAGTCACTATCCGAGGCAGTCCTTGTCACCTCTCTTGCTGTGTCTAGTGAATACTGAAATCTCTCCACTGCCAAGCCCATAGTTTTCTCATATTCGTTCAGTTTTTGTTCACGATCTGTTTGGATGTTTTTAATGTCGTCAAGGATGTGATTTTCTTGAGCCGTTACCTGTGCTCTTATCTCAGCTGCTCTGTCCTGCACTTCTGTCACGACCCTCTTAACTGTGACGCCCAAATTTTCTTTCCTTTGTTGAGACTTTCTTTCGTGACTCCTGGAGTTTTGTCATTGATTTTTCAAGTGGAGAAAACAGTTCAGCCAATGATTGCTTGTACTTCGATGTGGCATCATCACTCTCAATGTACGAATGTTCTGGTTTGCAGTGGTTTATGACCGTGCAATCCCGGCAGATCAACACTTGACAAGTTGTGCAAAAGAATCGTGTCACTTCGCCTTTATGTTTTGGACATTTTGAATATTGCTTTTGGTTTTCTTTCGTTACTTTTATCGTTCCTTCACGAATGTCCTCCAAAGTAGCAATTTTGTGGCTTGATGTAGTAGCAATTCTTTTGTGTGAACTATGACAACGTGAGCAGATATTCTGGGCACAATCCAGACATCGATGTTTTGCGTCATTGCCATCATCACACGTCTCACAGAGCAGCTTTGTGCCACCCGAACACACCAACTTTTCCTGCAGTTCTAATTCCTCTACCAGACCAATCAGATGAAAGTTGGTTTTCAGACCCTGCACCCCAACCTCAGGAAGTTTGGTCTCCTGTCGACACACAGGGCAAGGAATTGCTGTAGAGCCCTCGTGCTTCGTGCTGCAGTATTTCAGCAGACATTGCTTACAAAAGCTATGCAGGCATTCCAGTATCTTGGGCTGTTGGTATCTCTCCTGGCAGATGCTGCACTCAAGATGATGTCTGCTGATCGTCTCTAGAGCTGAACTTACTGCAGGTCCAGTTGCCATTTTTGTCTAACAAATGTGAAGAGACATATTTTAGTAAGAAAAACAAGAGTGATAAAAATGTAACATAAGTTTATTATTCACGTCTTCTTATATGGGTAGGGACCAATAGTAATTGGCAGGATGTGCTTTGTATTTAAAACGAATCGCCAGGTACAGGACTCTCAAGATGTGAATTAAAAAGTCCAAATCACACCCATTATGCATAACCAAACATCCTCTTCAAAATATCACAACTTTTATTTTATCTGTGATACTTCCTTGGAATTTCTAGATGTGGGTTAATGCGGGAAGGCACAGAAATCTGTAAGTGACTTTAATCATCTAATGTTGAAATTCATCATTCCTGTCCAGTTTTTGAATGCAATCTTTCAATTTACTTGTGATAAGTTAGAGTTGTAAGATGCTCCATAGTTGTCCTATAAAATATGTGTCTTACATACTGGCCTTCCTTGGTATTGAGAGCACAAAGCATTATGGCCTTATGTACATGCTACATTTCCTGAAAAGGACATTCACTATGGAAGCTGCGTGGTTAATAACCAGAAGAAAAGTAAAGCGAATCTCGTACATCATGCACTTTACAGGGGAAATTGTGAATGTTGACGACACTTTAAAAAAAAAAAAAAAAAAAAAAACACACACACACGCCCACACACCCAGTCATGTTTTACTATACGCCTGAGGACAACCTATTGTGTTTCCCTTTGTCCCTCTAATATAACACTATCCCATAGACTAAGCACATAACCGTACAATCGAAGACTGGTTTTTACAATAGGCACCGTCGTCCGAGGATCAAAGGCCCGTTTGTGCTCCTTTTGTTGTCTGTCCTCGAGCGTAATACAATACAAGAGCACACACACCCACACACACACCCACACAATTATCATGTTTGCAGTGTAAAATGTTATTATTTCAGAACAAGTTAAAGAAGGCACTTTTGTTGTTCATCATATGGAAAGTGAAAATCACACGTCATACGGGGTAACATGTCATGGTTTTCTCTTTATGTTTACGTTCTTCTACAAGCTGTCATTCGTTTACAAAAAAGGAAGTTGATTTAAAAGTTAGTTTTGAAGAGGATTTCCTAAAGTATCTGATACTAATTACCTCACACCGTGGCTGCGCCGGCTTTCTTTTAGCGTACGCTAGTTTGCCGGAGGAATCTACGACCCCCGCCAAATTAACATTTACTAAAAGAAAACGCCGCCGCCCAAATATTCACAGCCTTCTAAAAAGGACAAAGCAATAGCCAGGACCAGGTAGCACACACATGAGCGCAGACACTCTAATAAAATGTGTCATGTAATTATGTCAATTAAAATATCGATATTATGTAGTCATGGTAGCTTATAAGACACCTCTTTTATTATTTACAAATTGTGTTCATAAATCAAAACCCTGCCCTCTTTCCACAAAATTAAGCTAGCTGATATTCAACATGGTATGTTAGCGAACTATTTAGATGATTCCAAACACATAAAGGGACCTTTCATGCTTGCATATCATGTTTGCCAAATGTTTAGCAGGTGTTTAGGTTTTAATTTATAAAAAGGCCTAAGTCTCAAAACATAAAACTTCAAGTGTCTTTTCTTTCTCTTATATTGAACAGGCCGGTGCTCCACTTCACGATTAGTTTTGCTTGCACCGGTACTTTGCAATCGGGTACTGCCATTACTAACACAGCAAGTAAGCCCAACATTACAGTAACATCATACACAGTATTGAGAGAGTCCCAAATTTGCGAACTAAACAATAACATGCCTAACGAACGTTATAATTTCACACGTCGCACACACCCCAAAAAAACAACATCATCATTTCACAACAAAATGCCTCTCCAGGATTCACGGTTGACAGATATATTTTGCTCACATTTATCCCACGTTTCTGGGTTGAATGGTAAAAGCTTGATGTTCCTGTCGAGTCAAAAGAAGAGAATCTTTCAGTTGGTTTCCTGGATCTTGGACGCAATAATGAACGCGGAAGTACAAGTCGACGTGAAATGTAACATGAAGAGCGCCTCCAAGAGACAGCACGACAATTTATTCTGTGCTAATTCTATCGGACTATTAGATTGTGTTGGTGACCACCTGTTCGAACTTTTTGTTACTCTGAATCGTGCCCAAAAAAATGTATTCTCAAATTAATTTTGAAATTTAACTTAGAGGGCGTCATCAGGTTCAGTTGACAGTGCGTTCGAATGTCTCTTCCAGTGGTCTCCTCAACTCTCTCTTTGTTACCGTCGAGGGGGTACTTTGCACACATTTTCTTTTCTTTTCCCAGGGCACTTCTCCTTCTCATCTCATTCCACAAAACTGCATTAAATAAACTGTGTTAACTTTTGTTTTAATATTGTATTAGTGTTTGCCTTTTTCGTTTTTGTTTATTACTATGTTTTAATAGCTATTTTCCCCCTGCTTATTTTTCATTGATTTTTTTTCGGGGGGGGGGGGCGTGGGGGTGGATGGGCTCGGTTGGGGGTAGGGAGGTTTCAAAAGTAGCTCCAGCCTTTAAATAATTTAAAATGAACCTTACAAGGAATGTATATCATTGATGTAGACGGACATTTTCAATTTTTTTCTTCACGTTTCTTAAAAACCCAGGCTCATGCGCTAATATTATCCGAGCTGCTGTTACTGTTGAGTTTTTAATTATTTTTTTGTTAAATTCTAAACTGCTTCAATTGCGGCATCTCGTCCAACGGTCGGAAGATATGCATTCCAATGTGCATTCCAATGTTTTTTATTGTTTTGTTTTACCTCAAGCCTTTCTTTATGCATCCATTTCCGATATTCAAAAGATGGCTGGAAACCTTTCCTCATTAAACCCACTGGTATTTATTCCGGCGCCTTTAATTGACATTTATACAATTCACTGTTTGCACAGCAGAGCTCTGACTCGGAGCTGCCAAGTACGTGACTGTATGATTACCAGATTAAAGCCCGTGGACAAAATTGGATTGGTCAGTTTTGATCATTGTGGAGGATTGAGACGTCTCATCCGATCATCTAAATTGTTTACAACTTGTTTGTTTCATATAGCTACTTCTTTATGCACTTAGCGATGTAGATGGGGATTTGGAGGTGATTCACACTCGCAATTATAAACATAAACAATAGTTAAGCCCGGCCAGTGTGTTTGATAATTTTCCCTCCGAAATTGGAAGAAAAGACACCCAACCTGTTGCTTTTGTGGAAAATACCCTGAAACTGACCTCTGTTCATATGTTTCTTGATTGTGAGTGTATCACACCAATCTTCAGTGCTTCGATTAAAAACTCAAAGACTCTATCCGAATTGGCAGGTTTGAGATTTTGCCAATAATTTGCTTCTGTTTTGGTTTTGGTTTTGCCAATAACACATTATTGACTCATGATTTTCTCTACTAAGTTCTGTCTTTACAGATGTAAACTGCAAGCCCAAATTCCCTCCATTATGCGTCTACAACTAACTTTGAGAGATTGACACGACATTGAATACATAATACAAATGTAAATTCAATTTTCTTGATCTTCAATTTCAGAAAGGGAAATGTAAATGCAATTGTTTTGAATCACTTGTTTACCATTCTGTTCCTTTTTTTTTACTCTCCTTTGCTCCCTTCTTTTGTTCGGTTAATAAAAGTAGTGCTGTCATAAATAAGTGTTTTTATTGTGTATAATGTTCAATTCCATTACTTTTTGTAATTCCACCCTTTGTTTCCAATGTTTGTATTAACTGCTCATCACTTAAAAACAGAAAATAAAAAAAATCACCGAAATTCTATAGAGGTGATATTTCATAGAAGCACTTCAGCGTTTTCCCATATCATTTAAAGGGTTCGTATTCATATAATTGCAGGGATGCAATTGTTGTATGAGCAGTTTTTGTCTATGCGAAATAACACGATCATAGGAAAAGTGGGTTAACTTTTTGGGGTAATAATTGATTTGTAAATACTGCGTCAATGCTGGCAGTCACCAGAATTATTTTGAGCTTTTGTTCAGAGTATGTATTTGTCTACGGGTTTCCTTTCCAAACTGACCCCTAAATTTCAGGAACTACATATGTTTCTTGAGAACTAAATTGCACTAAAAACGGTAAAACATAATAATTAGAAATGGATATTTGAAAAAAATTGGAGGTCATATAACCTCTCTGAAATATCCAATTTACTACAAAAATAAACCGCTTAAAGTGAAAAAAAAAAATACATGTATCCTCGGTGCCGTACTGGAAGGTGTTTTCAAAGAGTCATCCGGGGTGATTCAAAATTAAGTTTGTAATATAATCACTCCTAAACTTAATAAAGTACAATTTTTTCCTTCGATTTCTCAATTAAATTGAATACATTTGTATTCTGAAAAAGGAAAAAAAACCCACATAAATAAATCAGATATTAACCGCGTAATTACTTTGCTTTTAACGTGCATGGGTTATATTTATTTAGCATTGTGGGGCAAATGTTCTGACTGACTTACGAAATTCCTACTTTGTGTAATCAAATACAGTGTCGATAACGGGACTATTTAATTAGGACTTTAAAGGATGAATGTCATTGACAAAAAGTCCAATCAATTAGAGGGTTGTCGGCGTAATGAGTAAAACATGCCCCATGTAAGTCACTTTTAACAAAGCTTCATATGTAAGCAAATGATTAGTAAAGAAATCCTCGCTTTATTGAAATAAAAAATAAGGTTGTTTATTTGTTTAAAATTATTCCGTGGAAATGGAAAACATTAAGCCAAAATATACGGATAGACAAGTATATCATGAGACGAGTGTAAGGCACTGAATGCGCGGTCGATCTATTTGAACTTCGTTCAATATTGGCACTCCAGGAGATTTAGTATGGTCCCGTGTCAGGCTGACCCTTTCTGTCTGCGCAACCTGAATTCAACTACAAACACGTACTGTTGTCATGAAGCCCTGTGTATCGGCCTTTCACATGCAGTAGTTAAATACACGACTCCAAAAGCCTGTATACAAATGATGCACCACAGTTTACTATAAAAACAAGATGTAGCATTTAAAAAAAATCATTTTGGCCAATAACCGATCACTTGGCTTGAATTTTACCCTTTAAAAAATATTAGGTTATCTTACGTTTATTTCAGTGTTCTCGATTTACAAACTTATCCTCATGTAATCTATATGAACCAAAATCTAGTCAAAATATATCGTTGATTTCGAGAAAAAATAACACATGTATAATTGGACTTTTGATTAAAAGATAAAACAATTCTCGTAATTTCTGTTCATGATGCATAAAGGACTGATAATAAAGGACTGCACAAAGGACTGATAATGATAGAACAATAATCCTCAGTTGTCAGATCCAGTGTATTGTTTGTTGAAAAATAAAATACATCTAACGTACCAGAACAATTGATATACAAACAAATCGTAATAATGGTATCCCAAACTTTCTCTCGAATAACGATTTAAGTTATTCATCTCTATAGTACTTGATCTTAGGACGAATTTTTATATACATGAATTAACAATCTTATTTGCTTCAACCACGCTTACGGTTAGGGTTTTCCCTTCAATTTCATTCTTAAACATTTTTTTTTACAAACTTTCACCGCATTTGATTCAATGTGATATTTTGTTTTCTCTTACTTTTGGGGGGAATTCAAGTCTATAACCATCAACCAAGCCATTTTTTTTCAGTTGAAAAACAGCTGAACTCAGCCAAATTAACATTTAATTAACAGGAGCAAAGTGAAATCAACATAGAATGATACAATTCCCAGAATTGCGCATTTACAGGCGAGCTGAACTAGAATTCAAATACCTAACATACTTATACTTAACACAGTTGGCATGTATTGCTTAAACTATGATACATTGTCATTAGTGTATGCGCATCCAACTGGACATCTAGGCTAAACTTCAATGTATTGTTCAACCCTCCTGCTGTCTGATCAGTCACAGACAGTCAACAAATCAACCCTCTTTCTTATCATGCCTCTTATGGCTAGTCACCAAACAGTCAGATCATACATGTATTTCAAGCAAGCACTGTGACTAGTCAAATTAAGTCAACAGACACAAGCAGATAAGTAGTAGGCACATGTCTTATCTATCACCTACAGTCAAAGCATAGCTGTAGCACGACACATAAACTATCACAGCCAGTCAATCCTGCTTTATTTTGTCAGAGAGCACTCAATCGTGAAAAACAGTCACTAGACTGATTTTGACTGAAAGGAAAACTTGCACAGAATGTTTGTTTGCATAGGAGGGATAATGACTAGCCAATATTATAACGAGTAGATCGTTGATATCAGTATTATTCCATACCATTGATGGGGTCAATACAGTCAATTTTATAGAATTGATTGGATTCAATTGTCATAATCGGTATAAATTTGTTGCAAGAGCCGTAATATCGTATTGCGCATGTAAGTCATAAGCAAAACTGCGATGTCATTTTTGGCAAAACATGTACTTTTTTTGTTCTTGCTGTGCGTCGATATTGACAGTTGCCCGAGTTATTTTGAGCTTTTATTCGAAGCATTTTTGTTGTCTTCTAATTACCAAACCCTTAGTTATCAGGAACTGCGCATTATTTGTTAAGTAAAGGCAACAACTAAAAAGGGTGACTCATTATAATCCGAAACGGCCATTTATCAAAGAAAAATAAGTTTTGTTGAACATTGAAAATATTGCCTTTTTGAAATATGCAATTTACTGAAAATATAAACTGCTTACAGTCGAAAAATGGTACGTTTCCCCGGTGTCGCATTGAAGAATGTTTTAAGAAATTCATCATTTCTCTCTTTCAAGTGATCATTGTGTTAAAATAAGGTTTAAACCAAAGACCAACATTGACAGCTCTACATAGACATGTATATACTTGATGAATTAAGACGAAAAATTTTCAACCGACCACAGTTGTGGACTAAATTGACCGATTGATAAAAAAGTCGAAGAATTACAGGCAACACATGTAAACCAATACTGTATAGCCTAGGTTTTTTTTTTATTACTTGTGGTATCAGTGTGCCTTTTTATTGTGGCAATTAGAACCATTCTCTCATTTTTCTATCGACATTTCACCCATGCTTATAAATTGACATGACTGATAACAAAATGTCGTATCACACCTGGCGATACGTCTTTACCGAGTAGAAGTCAGCCACTGCCAGCTGCCCATCAGATGAGAATGTGATACCCTGTGGGTAGTGCAGACCCTGTGCGATGCACTTGAGAAAACCACCTTGAGGGTCATAGTGGTGGATATGACCCGTGTCATCACCATTATGCATTACAACATAGATACCTGAGCTATCGGTGCATACACCATTGCAGTATCTCACTGGTTGACCATTGATGGTGGGTTTTAAGGTGCGTTTTGTAGCACCATTGCCACCGGCAATATCCACTGTCTGTGATTTAAAGCCACTTATTATAACTCGATCATTGCTGTCAAAAGCCAGAAAATAAGGTTTAATCTTGACTGGTATGGTATGAAGGAGCTCACCATCAGTGGGGCTGTGCACTGTCAATACCATCCTCGCCACATCACCCACTGCAATGGTACCATCATTCTTGACAGCTACGCTCTGGAGGTCAACCGTGGTCTTACCGACCTCACTCGGCGGCACCGTTGGGAACTTGTATGCCAGCGTGTTGTCGCTGTTGAACACCTTCACATGGGATGCGCTTTGCTCAACAACCACCAAGCGAATGTCGCTGCATGTAGCTGCGATGCCACGTGGACCTGTAGGGGGCGAGATGTAAAAACAAACAATAGTGGTCAATTTCAATCTGAATTGCAATTTATAAAAATATCAAAAATGAATTGGAGTGATGATTAATGTGTCCCTGGCCAAAAAATATACATTGTCAAATATACATTTACATTTGTACGTGTACATGTTAGGGATATCACTGTGTCTTAAGGTATCCTGTACATATTGATGTTTAAGCCTTTCGATAATTGCCTTTTGTATCTTTCAGTGGGATAATAGGAAAAAAAATTAAAAGACTCCTGACAACAGTTGAGAAATTAACCAGTGAACCAGTGTATCAGGAAAACTTATATTTCTTTCATTTTAAATGGATTTTTCTTGACCTTTCATCCTTTGAAAAAATGTCGTGAAACGAGCCAACAAATTTCATGAAAAAAAAACAAGAGCAATCTAATTAAAAATGCGTGGGGACAGGGCAAAAACCCAGTATCAAACATGAGGTTCAATTTACAGTAGTGTTTGTTCAATTTATGAAAAAATAGCAAGAAAATTAGATTTTTGACATGGACGATGCATTTACGTTTAAAAATCTACATGTTATGAACACAAAGGTATTCACTTAAAATGTTTCGCATCAAAGCTAGTGTGATTCCGTTTCATCAGATCTCGTGAGGAAAATTAAAAACAAAAATATAATGACGAGCAAAGAAAATGTTGTTTGTGTGCATGATTCGGCAGATTGCAATGAACGGTAATTTAAACTTACATCCTTGCATCGGTATCTTGCTTTTCTGGTTGCCATCGATGCTGCAAATCACAACACATTTGTTGTTGATGTCAGCCACTGCAATCTCATCAGGTTGACGAGCAGCAATGTCCCAAGCAAGACTGAACCCTCCTGGACCGCTTCCCACTCTACCAAACTCCCGACACAGCTCCCATTTGCTTTCCACCACCACCTCACCCAGCTTGATGCAACCAACACCTTCACTCTGCTTGAACTTCAGAAATGCAAGCCTGTTGTAAACTCTAGGCACACTCTGATCTGCCAACAATTTCAAGTCTTTGCTGATTGTGGCATAAAGTGAGAGAAAGTTACTATCTGATGCAGTCCGTGTCACCTCTCTTGCTGTGTCTAGTGAATGCTGACATCTCTCCGCTGCTAAGCCCATAGTTTTCTCACATTCGTCCAATTTCTGCCCACGATCTGTTTGGATGTTTTTGATGTCGTCAAGGATGCGATTTTCTTGAGCCGTTACCTCTGCTCGTATCTCAGCTGCTCTGTCTTGCACTTCTGTCATGACCTTCTCAACTGTGACACCTAAATCTTCTTTCATTCTTGAGACTTTTTCTCGTGACTCGTGGAGTTTTGTCATTGAGTTTTCAAGTGGAGGAAACAGTTCAGCTAATGATTGCTTGTACGTTGATATGGCCAGATTTCTGTCAATGTAAGAGTGTTCTGGCATACGGTGGTCAATGACAGTACAATCTCGGCAGATCAACACTTCACATGTCGTGCAAAAGAATCGTGTCACTTCGCCTTCATGTTTCGGACATTTTGAATGTTGCTTTGGGTTTTCCTTCGTTACTTTCACCCTTCCTTCACGAATGTCCTCCAAAGTAGCGATGATGTGGCTTGATGTAGTAGCAATTCTTTTGTGTGAACTTTGACAACGTAAACAAATATTTTGCGCACAGTCCAAACACCGACTTGTTGCCTCATTGCCATCATCACATGTCTCACATAGCAGCTTTGTGTCACCCGAACACACCAACTTTTCCTGCAGTTCAAACTCCTCAACCAGACCAATCAGATGAAAGTTGGTTTTCAGACCCTGCACACCCACCTCAGGAAGCTTTGTCTCCTGTCGACACACAGGGCAAGGGATCACCATAGAGTCCTGGTGCTTCGTGCTACGATATTTCAGCAGACATTGCTCACAAAAGCTATGCAGGCATTCCAGTATCTTGGGCTGTTGGTATCTCTCGTGGCAGATGCTGCACTCAAGATGATGTCTGCTGATCGTCTCTAGAGCTGAACTTACTGCAGGTCCAGTTGCCATTTTTGTCTAATAAATGTGAGAAAAAATATTTTATTTAAAACATAAGAGTGATACAAATGCATCATTCGCACGCTTTCTTTATGGGTAGGGACCAATAGTAATTGGCAGGATGTACTTTTGTATTTGATATGAATCGATGTTAATTAAAAAGAAACAAGTGCACAATCATATCCTTATCCATAAACTGCACCTCCCCTTCAAAACATCACATATTTTATTTTATTTGTGATGCTTCCTTGGATTTTGTGATATTGTTGGTTAATCCGGGAAGGCAGAAATCTGAAAGTGACTTTATCATCTAATATTGCACTTTATCATTATGTCAAATTTCTGAATGCAAAACATCACTAAATGTGCAAATTTAGTTGTAAGATGCTCCATAGTGGCCCGGCCCATGAAATTTTTCTCCTGGACTTCCTTTGTATTTAGAGCCACACAGCAATAGGCGTGCATGCTAAGATCTCCTGAAAAGGAAATTCACTTTCGAAGGACTGCTATACAGGCCTATATATGCTTGTGCATAACCAGGAAAATCGAAATCCGTACATCATGTAATATATTCAGGGGAATTTTGGAGTAAAACTAGTATATAGGCACCTCGAGGTCATGGATTTACAGATGTACCATGATGCACCATTGACCTTTTGATTATTTTGTGTAGTTTGTGCACTTAGGTAGATTTCATAGCGGATATCAATTGGAAAACAGTCTTAATTTGAAATTCAGGAAACACATCATTGTAGGAAACGTACAAATGTAGTACAATCGCAATTGGTGCGTGACTCAATATAGAAAAGTGGCCAGTATAGACATGTTTATGGGGCTAACTTCACAATACGTTGTGTATAGACATGGATAAAGTTATGGAAAGATTTCCATATACGAAGTTCACTCAACACCCTGTGTACAAACCCTATGAGATTGGACTGAACAATTCTAAGTGTTTTCTAAGAAAATGCTTGTATTTTCTCACTGCTCAAATTGACTTTGATGACATGAAATTGCTATCTGGGGGCTTGTTAGTCAATACAGAGGAAAATTAGTGAACTTCGTATATGGAAATCTTTCCAAAGTTATAGTCATACCATATAGGTCAGCAATACTGCCAAAAGAAGACACGACCTTTTTTCATAATTACAATATATATTCTGTTTTCATAAAAAGGTCCTTAACGAGGTTGAAATTAGCACTTTTGTTGTTCCTTACATGTATGTAGAGTCTTCTCATAGATTTGTAACTATCATGAACAGATGGATACTCCATTCTTTCCCATTATATTTTCTGGAATAACATGACATGGTTCCTCTTTATCGTTTTATTTCCATCTACGTTTATAATTATATTGTTTTACAAGCTGTCAGTGTCATTCGTTTTTAAAACATGTTAAAATCCATAGTCCTTTGCATCGACATGATCGAGAAATGCCATTACTCTATATATATTAACAGCCATATAACGAGTACACGTACAACATGTACATGTACGTTATACATGCACATGTTCATTTGTCATGTTTGTACATGTATCATAAAAAAATGTATTTGGATTCCCAAACGTATAGTCGTGTTCCCTAACGTGGCGCACTTCGAAGCTTACCCAAATTTCCTCGTGAAGTGTTGCCAAACCTCTTTGTTGACAAACCTCAAATTCATGCAGTGAAATGCTGGTACTTTTACCTTATTAATGCTTGCTGTTTAACCTTTGTGAACAATTTCGGTTTCATGAAATTTAAGCCGAAATTAAAAAACGGTGGCGTCCGGAAATTGGGCACAATTTGGCGGAGTGTTCCCTAACGTGGCGCACTTAAATAAATCTCGGAAAATTCCAAATTAACATTTAAGAATTTCTGTAAACTTGATAAATTCTGATAAATCATTATTATCTCTACCTGCATACGCAGCCAGATGTTTGTCACAAAATTATTTTCTTATTTTTCGGGGCATTTTCAAAGGGTTCACTTTGCACTTGAAAATAAAATCGGAAAATCACGCCAAAATAAGTTTTTCTTTTAACTTTGTAGCGGGTAAATAAACTCGCGATTTATGAACGGGAGTGTTTATAACTTGATAAAATTTCACTTTCTGTGAAATTTCAGTTAAAACTTTTGCTCTAGGTAGGCGCTACAGGCGAAAAATCAAAGTGCGCCACGTTAGGGGCCGCGCCACGTTAGGGTACATCAACAATACATGTATACAGACACGCAAAAAATGACACATCAGAATTTTACAACAAAATGCTCCTCCAGGATTTAAGACAAAGATTATTGTGCTCACATTTATCCGACGTTCCCTGTTTAGGCTGGTAAAAACTAAAATGATGTTTCTGTTGAGTCGAAAGAAGCAAATCTTCAGTTCAGGCTCGAAGCAATCAACGCGGAAGTGGAAGTCGACGTGAAATGTAATATGAAGAGCGCCTCCAAGGGACAGCACGGCAATTTTACCTGCGCTTCTTGTAGGTCAATGGCCGAGTTCGGGCAGCCTAGTCTTGACACGGGTTGTATTGTTCTTGCGACCGACCGGCGAGAACACGTACACGACTCACGAATACTGCACTCGGAACAGGATACCTGTCTGGGTTTCGCTCGCACCGTGGAGTTAATATAGCTCCACGCACAAACAAAATACCCGTGTCAGGAACAGACCGCCCGAACTCGGCCTATGGTACAAGTTAAGTAGATGTTCGTGATCAGCTGTTCGAATATTTCACTCACTCTGACTCTGGACAAAAACTGAATCTAAAATCAATTAAGGAATAATACCGATGCGAGGGCGTCATCAAGCGCCATCGGTAGACGCCATCGGCAGTGCATTCCAATGTCTTTTTCAAGTTGTCTGCCCAAACTCTCCCTTGTAGCAGTTCAAGGGGGTAATTTGAACGGATTATTGTGTTTCCTTGTTTACCAAAGACAAGGGATGGCCATTTTGTTTGGCAGCGCACTTAGGGAAGATTCGAAAGTACCTACGGCCTTTAAAAAACAAACACTTGAGGACGTCCAAATGAGACAGATTCCCGATCTAAGGGCGGTATCATTTTTTCTTCATTTTTTTTAAAAATAACCCGCGTTCATTGCCTGAAACGGGATATCTAAGCCCCTTTTACTTTTTTTCTTAATTTTTTTTTTATAAATTCTAAACTGCATTAAATGCTGCATCTTACCCAATATGATGTCGGTAAACATGCATTTCTCATATGCTTTTAAGTTTTATTCTCAAGTCATTCTTTATGAAAAGTCTATTTGCGATCACAAAAAAGTGATATCCCCATGAAATCATGCAGTTGCTTTTGACTTTTATTCAATTCACTGTTTGCAGAGCTCTGATGGGACTGACCATCTGGCAAGTGGCTGTATATGATGAACTCACTTGGATTAAAGCTCATGGACAAAATACACTTTGTAGTTTTGATTATTGTGTAGAATTTGGATGTCTCGTCATCATTCAGATTGTTTGCAACTTTATGTTGCTACTTCTACGGCATTAACCGATGTGGATGGAGATTTAGAGGTGATTCACACTCACAATTGCAAATGTACAATTTTATTATTATTATTCCACACCATTCAAAGGGGCCGTTTCCATTAGAATATGATTAAAAAAAATGTAACAAAAATAAATTAACAAATTCATTAAACTTTTTCCTCACGTTTCAACACGTTTTTGTTTTTGGAAATGGACTCGATTCGATTTGAACCTAGTCCGAATCAGTCACTAGCCGAGTCTGACTCCAACCGAGTCCAAAAGGTATAACGAGTCTGATGCCAGTCACGAGTCAAACAAAAAATAAACAAATAAACTGACTCGAGTCCTCCAAAATATACCCGCCTGAATCACCTGAGGGGGGAGGGGGGATAATTCAAATTTCGTTTACTGAATAATTACTCCTCAACCTATTATGGGACAACTTTTCCTCCCATTCCCAATTTTAAATCGAATAAATTTGTATTGCCAAAACTACACAAAATATATTCAATTAGAAAAAAAAACCGCTTCTTTGCCATTTAAAAACTCCCCATCAAATTCAAATACAGTCTCAATTACAGTACTATTTAATTAGGAATCGAAATGTTAAGTGTCATTAAAAAATATCCAAACAATTAGAGTGGTGTCTGCTAAATCAGTAACGCCTATCTCCTTTAAGTCACTTAAAAATTTGAACAAAACTTCAAAGTTATAGCACATCATTGATTAGTTTGAAGAAATTCCCGCTTTATTGAAAATAAAACAAGTTTTTTAGCCAAAACATACAGACAAACAAGTAGGCCTATAGTGTAGTACATTACAGACGAGTGTACGGTACTCGAGTGCGCGGTCGATCTTTTGGACTTTGTTCAATTGGCACTCAAGGGTATTTATTAGTATCTTCTCGTGTCAGGCTTGTGTGACTCCTTCTGTTTGGGCAAAGTCAATTGCATTCGCGTACTGGTATCGTGAAGCCCTGTGTATCGGCCTTACACATACACAAATGCAAAGTACAAGCCTGCATACAAAACATGCACCACAGTTTCATAAGCTATAGCTGTAGCATTTGATTATTTTAAAAACACTATTTTCCTTTCCAATTGGGAACTTGGTCATGAAATACCTAGCTAGGACAGTGAAAACATTCCTATGGTAGCAGACCAGTAAATAAACTTCCATAGACCCCCATGGGTAAATGCTCCAACTTCAAAAATTCGGAAAAAATACTCACAACTCTCCAAGATGTTCGAGACACACATCAAATTAAAGCTAATTTCATCGTCTTTTATTTTCTTTTCAATTTTTGGGGGGCAACTGATGACTTTCAGGAGAAATTTCCATCTGAAGATGATCACCCCTGAAAATAGTCCTGAAGCCCATCGCCATTTTGAAAAACGATGCCTACACTCCATTGCAAAATAGAGCGCTTTTAGGGTCCAAATTACATCCAAATTACACAGAACTGCAAGCTCTCACTCCTGTGCACGGCTTCCACCCATATTTTTTACAAACCCTCAATTTCAAGGCCCACATCATGCCCAAATACTGACGATTTTGAGGGCATGCAAATCGTGATTTGGCCGGCGTAGGCAATTTCGGACCGATGTACTGGTCTGCACCCCTATTGGCCAAGAACCGATCACGTTGCTTGAATGCACCCCTTTGATAAAAATCAGGTTAGCATTTTACGTATATTTCAGTATTCACTATTTACAAACTTAATCTCACGAAATCCATATATACCAAATTCTACTCAAAACATATCGTTGATGTCGAGAATAAACATTAGTGTATAATTGGGCTTTTGGTTAAAAGATATATATACAACAATCATAACTTCTGTTCATGATAACTCCAGTGTTACATGTATGTTGGCGACAATGCAAATACGAAAAGAGCTAAAACTTCCCTAAGCCGTTTTTTTAACTTCAAGATTTCGTCTATATGATTCTCATGAGTCTTAATTATCACATGATGTTTTCTATGTAATGTTTTTGATGAAGTTTCTTCTGGAATTTAAGCTTCTTAAATGTACCAAATTACCAACCCATTCATTGAAGCAGCTGAATTCAATTAATAAAACTAAGTTTTGAAATGAGCTAAGTCAAATCAACAGAGAATGATCACATTTCGAGAAATTGTGTATTTACAGGCAGGCTAATAGCAATTAAACAAAATGTCTTAGACAGAACAATCAAATTTAATTTTAATTTGACTGTACTTGACATATTTAAACAGTTTTTAAATTATCTCGAGATTTTTGGGAAACTGTGTCAATTTTTTTTTTTGACAGTTGAAAGAAATGTAGGCTATGCATGTATCTTAATCATATTGAGTTAAAAATTAACCAACACTGTTTTTGTTTTCTTTTTAATTGAAAGCTAATCCTTGTCATTAAATCCTTAGGAAAGCTTATACATTCCTATTGGTCAATAACCCATCACGTGGGTTTAATTGAAACCCTGTAACATTTGGGCCTTCTCATTTTCAGTATTCAATATTTACAAACTGAGTCGCATGTAATCTAAAATGTACTCACAACATATAATCGTAGATGTCGAGAAAATTCTAAATATATAATTGAACTGTCAGTTATTACATCAAACATTTCTCGTGACTTCTTTACAGTACATAATAACCTGAAGGTTATGCTGGGTTTAATTAAAGAAACAAATCAATGTTTCGTTTCATAGGAGCTAGCTCACATGATTAACATCATGAGTTGTAATAATCACTGCATTTGTTTCCATGGAATGTTTTTTTTTTATTCCACTTTCTTCTCGAATTTCAATTTCTCTACATAACTCAACCCATTGAGGCAACTGAAACCAACTAATAAAACCTTGTTTTGAAATAAGCGAAGTCAAAATCAGCATACATTGTAGGATGATCATATTTCTTAAACTGCGTATTTACAGGCGGGTTGAATATAAATTCAAATAAGTTTTTAACAGAACGATCAACCTTAGGTCTACAAGTGTCGCAATTTCTTGGCAAAGGCTTCGATCTGCTGTTGTAAGATGCAAGTTTGCCAGAACTATTGCGATATAGGCCTGCTAGGCTTTCGGGCCGAATTCATTTTTGTTGATGTCTTTCTGGAGTTTCATTGTTTAAATAGTCTCTCACAGTTGGCCAATGAGCGTATATTGTGCACATACATAATTTTGCCAATGGGCTACAATTTGTATTCATTTCACACTGACACCCTCGGTGGTCAGAACCAGTATGTTGTTTGTTGAAAAACGAAATACATCTAACGTATGAGAGGAATTGATATTGAAACAAAACAGTAATCGTGGTATTTCAAGTTTTCTCTCGAAAAGCGTTTTACTTTGTTCATCCTTATAGTACTTGAACAGAGGATGGATGTTAATATACATGAATTAAAAACCTTCTTTGCCTTTAGGTTTTTTCCTAATTTGATTTTTAAACGCTTTTTAAAAATCATCACCGGATTTGATTCAATGTTTACTTTTTGTATTTTTTTTTCTTTTGAATGAACTGAAAAGGTGACCCATTATAATTATACTTGTTGAAATTATGACAACCGCCGACTTTTGTGGACAAAATCGACCGATTGATCAGAAAGTCAAAATGATACATGTAACACATGTAATCCAATACCGTACACGTTTTTTGTATAATACGTGATGTATCAATATTCTAAAACTTTTAATTCATTGTTATGATAGGACCGCTCTTTACTTTTTCTGTCAACATGCCTCAAATAATGCGAAATTGACATGACTGATTACAATGTTGTATCACACCTGGTGATACATTTTGACTGAGGAGTAGTCAGCCACTGCTAGCTGCCCGTGAGATGAGAATGTGATACCCCGCGGGTAGTACAGACCCTGTGCAATGCACTGGAGGAAGCCACCTTGAGGGTCATAGTGGTGGATATGACCCGTGTTGGCACCGTTTTGCATTGCAACATAGATACCTGAGCCATCAGTGCATACACCGTTGCAGTATTTCACTGGTTGACCATTGATGGTGGGTTTGATAGTGCGTTTTGTAGCACCATTGCCACCGGCAATATCCACTGTCTGTGATGAAAAGCCACTTATTATAACTCGATCATTGCTGTCAAAAGCCAGAGAATAAGGTTTAATCTTGACTGGTATGGTATGAAGGAGCTCACCATCAGTGGGGCTGTGCACTGTCAATACCATCCTCGCCACATCTCCCACTGCAATGGTACCATCATTCTTGACAGCTACGCTCCAGAGGTCAACCGTGGTCTTACCAACCTCACTCGGTGGCACCGTTGGGAACTTGTATGCCAGCGTGTTGTCGCTGTTGAACACCTTCACATGGGATGCGCTTTGCTCAACAACCACCAAACGATTGTCGCTGCGTGTAGCTGCGATGCCGAGTGGAACTGTAGGGGGCACGATGTAAAAACAAACAATAGTGGTCAATTTCAATCTGAATTGCAAGTTATAAAACTATCAAAAATGAATTGGAGTGATAATTAATGTGTCCCTGGCCAAAAAATTTACTTTGTCAAATATACATGTACATTTGTACGTGTACATGTTAGAGATATCACTGCGTCTTAAGGTATCCTGTACACTGTGATGTTTAAGCCTTTCGATAATTGCCTTTTGTATCTTTCAGTGGGATAATAGGAAAAAAACCCTAAAAGACTCCTGAAAACAGTTGAGAAATTAACCATTGAACCAGTGTATCAGGAAAACTTATATTTCATTCATTTTAAATGGATTTTCCTTGAACTTTCATCCTTTGAAAAAAATGTCATGAAACGAACAAACAAAATTTATGAAAAAAACAAGAGCAAACTAATTAAAAATGCGTGGGGACAGGGCAAAAACCCAATATCAAACATGAGGTTAAATTAACAGTAGATTTTGTTTAATTTATTAACAAAATAGCAAGGAAATTTTTTACATGGACGATGTATTTATATTTAAAAATCTACATGTTATGAACACAAAGGTATTCACTTAAAAATGTTTCGCATCAAAGTTAGTGTCATTCCGTTTCATCAGATCTCGTGAGGAAAATTAAAAACAAAAAAGATAATGAAGAGCAAAGAAAATTTTATTTGTGTGCATGCTTAGGCAGATTGCAATGCACAGTAATTAAAACTTACCTCCTTGCATCGGTATCGTGCTTTTCTGGTTGCCATCGATGCTGCAGATCACAACTCGACTGTTGAAGCGGTCAGCCACTGCAATCTCATCAGGTTGACGAGCAGTAATGTCCCAAGCCCCTCTGAACTCTCCTGGACCTCTTCCGTCTCTACCAAACTCCCGACACAGCTCCCATTTGCCTTCCGTCACCACCTGACCCAGACTGATGCCACCAACACCCTGACTCTGCTTGAACTTCAGAAATGCAAGCCTGTTGTCAACTCTAGGCACACTCTGATCTGCCAACAATTTCAAATCTTTACTGATTGTGGCATAGAGTGAGAGAAAGTCACTATCTGATGCAGTCTTTGTCACCTCTCTAGCTGTGTCTAGTGAATACTGAAATCTCTCCACTGCAAAGCCCATAGTTTTCTCACATTCGTCCAGTTTTTGTTCACGATCTGTTTGGATGTTTTGGATGTCGTCAAGGATGCGGTTTTCTTGAGCCGTTACCTCTGCTCGTATCTCAGCTGCTCTGTCCTGCACTTCTGTCATGACCCTCTTAACTGCGACACCCAAATCTTCTTTCATTCTTGAGACTTTCTCTCGTGATTTCTGGAGTTCTGTCATTGTGTTTTCAAGTGGAGAGACCAGTTCAGCCAACGATTGCTTGCACTTCGATGTGGCCAGATTTCTGTCAATGTACGAGTGTTCTGGCTTACAGTGGTCAATGACGGTACAATCTCGGCAGATCAAAGTATCACATGTCTTGCAGAAGAACCTTGCCACTTCGCCCTCATGTACTGGACATTTTGGATGTTGTCTTGGGTTTTCCTTCTTCAGTTTCACCTTTCCCTCACGAACGTCCTCCAAAGTAGCTATTACGTGGCTTGATGTTACAGGAACTCGTTTGTGTGAACTGTGACATCGTGAGCAGATATTAAGTGAACAATCCAGACACCGATGTGTTGCCTCATTGCCATCATCACATGTCTCGCAGAGCAGCTTTGTGTCACCCGAACACACCACCCTTTCCTGCAGTTCAAACTCCTCAACCAGACCAATCAGATAAAAGTTGGTTTTCAGACCCTGCACCCCAGACTCTGGAAGTTTCGTCTCCTGTCGACACACGGGGCAAGGAATTGCTGTAGAGCCCTTATGCTTCGTGCTGCAGTATTTCAGCAGACATTGCGCACAAAAGCTATGTAGGCATTCCAGTATCTTGGGCTGTTGGTATCTCTCTTGACATATGCTGCACTCAAGATGATGTCTGCTGATCGTCTCTAGAGCTGAACTTACTGCAGGTCCAGTCGCCATTTTTGTCTAATAAATGTGAAGAAAATTATTTTATTTAAAACATAACAGTGATAAAAACGTATCACTCGTATGTTTCCCTTTATGGGTGGGGACCACTAGTAATTGACAGGATGTGTTTTTGCATTTGAAATGAATCGATGTGTGCAGGAATCTCAAGATGTAAATTAAAAAGAAACAAGTGCAAAATCATATCCTTATCCATAAACTGCACCTCCTCTTCAAAACATCACATATTTCATTTTATCTGTGATGCTTCCTTGGATTTGTGATATTGTTGGTTAATCCGGGAAGGCAGAAATCTGAAAGTGACTTTATCAACTAATGTTGCACTTTATCATTATGTCAAATTTCTGAATGCAAAACATCAATATACATGTACAAAGTTATAGGATGCTCCATAGTGGCCCATGAATATTTTTCCCTGGACTTCCTTTGTATTTAGAGGGCACAGCAATAGGTGTGAATGCTAAGATTTCCTCAAAAGAAAATTCACTCTCGAAGGACTTCGTAATTATCATGGACAGATGGACATTCTTTCCCATTATATTTTCTGAGATAACACGACAAGTCGTAGTATTTCCATCTGCATTTACATTATGTGCCTATCAAATGTTTCCCCACCCCTCCCACCCCGCGCTGCCCCAGGTCCGATGTGCTGCCTTTTTAAGATGTCTAATTTTTGTGAAATTTTATGTTGAAATTTTGATACGCAAACGTGTGCAAATGTATCTGGAAATTTCACCAAAAAATGGACATCTGAAAAAGGCAGCACTTTCTGATTAGCCTATATAGAGGGCGAGAATGCTTCTAAAGCAAAAAAAAACAACAACAAAGTAAGCCTAAATGTGAAAATTAAAATTTGGCAAAATCGACACGTTTTTGTACATGTGGATGTGTGGCCTATGTTTACGGAGGCAGTTCAGTAAATAGGCCACATTTATGGGGCTAGTATTACATGTACATGTATGTATACATACGTTTGTCATGGTATGTACATGTATGTATTCCCAAACGTACAGACATGCAAAATAACACATCTGATTTTTACAACAAATTGCTTCTCCAGGATTTAACTTTAAAGAAGACAAAGATTATTGAGCTCACATTTACCCGACGTTCCCGGTTTGGATGGTAAACTGATGTTTCTGTTGAGTCGAAAGTGTAGCGACCGTGGACACTAAGTCAAAGAAAACTGATATTCTTTACGCGTACTTCTATAGTTCTATAATCAATGAAATCTGTTCACTTTATTCCACCAAATATTGGAGTACAAAGGGATCGTTACTCACAGAGTCGTTCACAACATGCACAAAAGTTCACGAAGTTCGGATCGGAAACCTCTTATAATCACACAGTTATCACAGCGACCTGGATCGCACTGAAATGTTCACAAGCATGAGAAAACTCTGGTGGTATCTTTAGAATCCTTTTCAGCTTGAAACTCCTTCAAGTTTGGACGGAATTCAGTTGTACGAGTACGGTAAAAGATAGGTATCAGCTCCACGGAGAAAACGCTAGAATCATGAGGTCGTAAAATCGCCCCATAATACTGTGCGCGACCATGCTTTCTATGCAAATGAAGTGCGGGCAAGGTTAAACTATTCACGGTGGGGCTAAAGGTTAAAGGGTAACAGTTGTAAACATTGATTAACATATAAGGGCGAGATTCTGGAAACTACATTCCGGCCCCAGTCGCACTGATAAAGGGCGATAACAATTCTAGTTTCCAATATCTCAGAACTATTAGTAAAACTCTAAACTACAACAAACTACTTATAAACTTATGAACCACTAAATAAATTTGACCGCTAACTTGACTTGGCCAATTCTGCGTAGTCGAAAGTTCGTATTCTACTGTCCATACTTTGAAGTTCATACTATCACTGACGTTCAAATATTTTGGAAAATGGTCTGAAACTTAACACAAATCAGAATGAATAAACTGTTCAAGTGATCTGCCGAGATGAAGTCACCAAATTACAGTCCATGTTTCGATGCATGTACAGCTGGTTCCGGTTCTCCTGGTAAGCAAGGTATTGTCACTGTAGTTTTCACTATTCCGGTAAAGTTGACAGATGAGGATTCATCAGACCGTAACCCTGGTTCGGGAGGCAAACAGGTACTACACCTTGCCCAAGGGTGACCTGAGACTATGCAAGGCAGGGGAGTCTATTCCCCTGAGATGTCCACTTGACGGACATCTGCATACCTTCCCTAAGAGTTCAAGTCTTGATGATTACTCGACGTCCTGCTCTAGAAGCAGACACAGCTTGGTAATAGGCCTGACCAAAACTGAAGTCTTGGTCTTCACTCTAACACTGCGTACGTGTCCTCGTTTGTCCATGAATACCTCCTGAACAAGTCCCATTGGCCAGGAGTTTCTCGGGGCGCTGTTATCAACGATGAGCACAACATCACCCTTCTCTATGTTTCTGCTAGGTTGGGACCATTTCTGACGTTGCTGTAGGGTAGGTAGGTACTCTCTAGTCCACCTCTTCCAGAAGACATCCGCCATGTACTGCATCTGACGCCATCTCCTTCGTGAGTACTGGTCCTCCTGGGAGAAGACTCCAGGTGGCAGTGTTGAATCAGGTTTCAGAAGTATCAGACTGTTCGGCGTGATGACACTCAGGTCATGAGGGTCATCCGATGCTCGTGTCAGGGGTCGGCTGTTAATTACAGCCTCGACCTCACACATGAAGGTGCGCAACTGTTCCTCACTTTGGCACGTCTTCATGTACTGCTCACTCAATATGGCGTGGAGAATTTTACGTATTGTTCTGATTTGCCTCTCCCACACACCTCCATGATGAGAGGCTGCTGGTGTGTTGAACTGCCACTTGATGTCATGCTGCAAGGCAAAATTGTTGATTTCGCCATGGTTCCACTCCTGCATTGCTCGCTGGAGCTCTTTGTCGGCTCCAACAAAGTTGGATCCATTGTCTGAGTGGATTTCTTTCACTTTGCCACGCCTAGCCATGAATCGTCTGAGTGCACTGATGCATGAGCTGGTGTCGAGGGAATCGGCCACCTCAATGTGAATGGCACGGCTAGTAAGGCAGGTGAATACTACACCATATCTCTTTCTGATAACTCGCCCATACTTGATATCGAATGGGCCGAAATAGTCCACTCCAGTATATGTGAATGGTGGGGCATCAGGCCGTACACGGTAAGCTGGCAAATCAGCCATCTTCTGTTTACCGGGTCCAGCTTGGTACTTTCGGCATATAACACATTGGTGTATTACGCTCCTGACTGCTACACCAGCTTTGAGTATCCAGTACCTTTGTCTGAGTTCCGCTAGGATGTGATTTCTCCCTTGGTGTCCGCTTCTCTGGTGGAGGTGTCTGATCACCAGAGTGGAAATGTGGTGGTCCTTTGGCAGAATCAGCTGGTGTTTGGCAGCTTCGGGGATTGATGCATGCCGAAGCCTGCCACCAACTGTTAAGAGTCCATCACGCAGCTCTGGGTCTAAGCTAATCAATGGACTTCCTTTATTGATCGGCTTTCTCTGGTGTTCTATTGGGGTAGCTTCTTTTCCAGCAGCCAAAGGGTTGTCTGGATTTTGGTCGCTTGTTTTCACATTTTTGAGAGCCTCAACTTCTCTGGGAAAAGCACATCCTTGAACATACTTCAAGATGGCCTTTTCGGCACACTGCATTTCTTCAACTGTTAGAGGCTTATTCTGCAGGGGTTTCTTGTTACAGTTGGTCTTCCTGTGCTGCAACATGGTCTTTAGGCGTAACCACCATGCTATCGCCCTTTTTAGCTTCGTCCAGTCTGAGTAGTGATGGATCAGCTGGTCTATGGCACTGGTCTCGTTGGATGTCATCACTAAATTTATGTTCACTTGGGAAGCACCATCAGCCACTTCGCAGTTGTCATTTTCCTCGTCATCTTCCATCTGAATTTGTTCGGCACCGGGCCAGCTTTCTTCTGGTTGGCTGAGGAAGTTTGGGCCTCCCAGCCACTCCGGTTTGTTGATCAGTTCTTCTGCACTGAGGCCCCGCGAAGCATGGTCAGCAGGGTTCAATTTAGTGGGGACATATCTCCACTGGCTGATATCGGACCCATCTCTGATCACGGCGATGCGATTCGCTACAAAAACTGGGAATCTGGTGGTCTCATTCATGATGTATTTCAGAACTGTCTGGCTATCTGTCCAGAATACAGTCTGATCAATGTTCACTGTGAGCTCTCTCTTCAAGAGGTCATCTTGACGGACTGCGGAGGTGGCTGCAGTTAGTTCCATCTTGACAATAGTGTGCGTCTTTAGAGGTGCAACTCTGGCTTTGGCACACACAAACTCGCAGTGGTATCTTTAGAATCCTTTTCAGCTTGAAACTCCTTCAAGTTTGGACGGAATTCAGTTGTACGAGTACGGTAAAAGATAGGTATCAGCTCCACGGAGAAAACGCTAGAATCATGAGGTCGTAAAATCGCCCCATAATACTGTGCGCGACCATGCTTTCTATGCAAATGAAGTGCGGGCAAGGTTAAACTATTCACGGTGGGGCTAAAGGTTAAAGGGTAACAGTTGTAAACATTGATGAACATATAAGGGCGGGATTCTGGAAACTACAGAAAGAAGCGAATCTTTCGGTTGGTTAAATTTCAGGCTCGAAGCAATCAACGCGGAAGTAGAAGTGGACGTGACGTGAAATGTAATATTAAGAGCGCCTCCAAGGGCCGAGTTTGGGCAGCCTGTTCTTGACACGGGTCGTATTGTTCTCGCGATGCGCGACCGAACGGCGGCAAGAACATACACGACCCACGAACACTGCACTCGGAACAGGATATGTACCTGTCTGTGTTTCGCACGAACCATGGAGTTAATCATTATAGCTCCCTGCACGAACAAAATACCCGTGTCAATTAACGGACCGCCCGAACTCGGCCTATGGTACAAGTTAAGTAGATGTTCGTGATCAGCTGTTCGAATATTTTACTCACTCTGACTCTGGACAAAAAACCTGAATCTAAAATCAATTAAGGATTAATACCGAGGGCGTCATCAAGCGCCATCGGCAGTGCATGTCTTTTTCAAGTTGTCTGCCCAAACTCTCCCTTTATTACCGTTGAGGGGGTAATTTGAACGGATTATTGTGTTTCCTTGTTTAGCAAAAACAAGGGATGGCCATTTTGTTTGGCAGTGCACTCCTCATTTCCAACCTCATTACAAAAACTTTATTAGATATGTATATACTTTTTTAATTTCCATTTTCCATTGTTTGTATTTTTAAAATAAAATGTCTCCATGCATTCATTGTTTTTTGAAGGGGGAGGGGTGTGGGGATGGAGGGGTTGGGGAAGATTCAAAAGTACCTACGGCCTTTAAAAAAACAAACACTTGATGACGTCCAAATGAGACTGATTCCCGATCTAAGGGCGATATCATTTTTTCTTCATTTTTCTTAAAAATTAACCCGCGTTTATCGCCTGAAACGGGATATCTAAGTCCCTTTTACTTTTTTTCTTTATTTTTCTTTATAAATTCTAAACTCCATTAAATGCTGCATCTTACCCAATATGATGTCGGAAAACATGCATTTCTCATATGATTTTCAGTTTCATTCTCAAGTCATTCTTTATGAAAAGTCTATTTGCGATCACAAAAAAAGTGATATCCCCAAGAAACCATGCAGTTGCTTTTGACTTTTATTCAATTCACTGTTTGCAGAGCTCTGATGAGACTGACCATCTATCTGGCAAGTGGCTGTATATGATGAACGCACTTGGATTAAAGCTCATGGACAAAATACACTTTGTAGTTTTGATTATTGTGTAGAATTTGGATGTCTCGTCATCATTCAGATTGTTTGCAACTTTATGTTGCTACTTCTACGGCATTAACCGATGTGGATGGAGATTTAGAGGTGATTCACACTCACAATTGCAAATGTACAATTTTTTATTATTATTATTCCACACCAATCAAAGGGGCCGTTTCCATTAGAATATGAAAAAAAATGTAAAAAAGTACATTAACAAATTCATTTAACTTTTCCCTCACATTTCAACACGTTTTTGTTTTTGGAAATGGACTCGATTCGAGGTGAACATAGTCCGAATCAGTCACTAGCCGAGTCTGACTCAAACCGAGTCCAAAAGGTAACGAGTCTGATGCCAGTCACGAGTCAAACAAGAAATGAACAAATAAACTGACTCGAGTCCTCCAAAATATACCCGCCTGAATTTCTTGAGGGGGGGGGGGGGTGATAATTCAAATTACGTTTGCTGCATAATTACTCCTAAACTTATTATGGGACAACTTTTCCCCATTTTCAATTAAATAAATTTGTACTGCAAAAAATACACAAAATAAATTCAATTAGATAAAAAAACGCTTCTTTGCCATTTAAAAACTCCCCCATCAAATTCAAATACAGTCTCAATAACAGGACTATTTAATAAGGAATCAAAATGTAAAGTGTCATTAAAAAAATGTCCAAACAATTAGAGTGTTGTCTGCTAAATGAGTAACGCCTACCTCCTGTAAGTCATTTAAAAAGTTGAACAAAACACACAGTTAGCACATCATTGATAAGTGTAAAGAAATCCCCGCTTTATTGAAAATAAACAAGTTTTTTAGCCAAAATAAACAGACAAACAAGTATAGTGTAGTGCATTGTAGACGAGTGTACGGTACTCGAGTGCGCGGTCGATCTTTTGGACTTCGTTCAATTGGCACTCAAGGGTATTTAATAGCATCTTCTCGTGTCAGGCTTGTGTGACTCCTTCTGTTTGGGCAAAGTCAATTACATTCGCGTACTGGTATCATGAAGCCCTGCGTATCGGCCTTACACATACACAAATGCAAAGTACAAGCCTGCATACAAAACATGCACCACAGTTTAATAAGCTATAGCTGTAGCATTTAATTGTTTTAAAAACACTATTTTCCTTTCCAATTAGGAACTTTGTCATGAAATACCTACATGTAGTTAGGACAGTGAAAACATTCCTATTGGCCAAGAACCGATCACGTTGCTTGAATTTAACCCTTTGGTAAAAATCAGGTTTAGCATCTTGCGTATATTTCAGTATTCACTATTTACATACTTTATCTCATGAAATCCATATGAACCACAATCTTCTCAAAACATATCGTTGATGTCGAGAATATACATTGTTTAATTGGACTTTTGGTTAAAAGATACAACAATTCTCGTAACTTCTGTTCATGATAACTCGAGTGTTACATGTATGTTGGCGACGATGCAAATATGAAAACAAGAGCTAAAACTTCCCTAGGCCGTTTTTTGTCACTGTAGGATTTCGTCTATATGATTATCATGAGTCGTAATTATCACATGATTTGTTTTCATGTAATGTTTTTGATCAAGTTTCTTAAAATATACCAACCCATTCATTGAAGCAGCTGAAATCAACTAATAAAACTACATTGTAAGTTTTGAAATGAGCTAAGTCAAATCAACACAAAATGATCATATGTCGTAAAATTGTGTATTTACAGGCAGGTTAACAGCAATTAAACAAAATATCTCTGACAGAACAATCAAACTTAATTTTCAATTTGACTCTACTTGAAATATTTAAACATTTTTTAAATATTTTGTCGATATTTTTTGGGAAATGTGTCCAATTTGTTTGGACAGTTAAAAGAAATGTAGTTTGTATCTTGATCATTGAGTCAAAAATTTACCAGCACTGTTTTTTTTTCTTTTCAGTTGAAAGCTAATCCTTGTCATAAAGTCCTTAGGAAAGCTTATACATTCATATTGGTCAATAACCTATCACGTGGGTTTAAATGAAACCCTGTAACAAATCGGGCCATCTCACTTTCGGTATTCAATATTTACACATGGAGTTGCACGTAACTAAAATGTACTCGCAACATCACAAGATTTGTTTTCATGTAACGTTTTTGATCAAGTTTCTTCTTGAATTTAAGCTGCTTAAAATATATCAACCCATTCACTGAAGCAGCTGAAATAAATTAAAAAATGTAAGATTTGAAATGAGCAAAATCAAATCAACAGAGAATAATCACATTTCGAGAAATTGAGTATTTACAGACAGGTTAACAATCAACAATCAACTCTAATTTTGAATTTGACTCTACTTGACAAATTTAAACATTTTTTGTTTATATTTCCTCAAGATTTTTTGGGAAAATGTGTCCAATTTTCTGGGACAATTAGAAATGTAGTTGATAATTGAGTTAAAAAAATTCCCAACACTGTTTTTTTTTTAATTGAAAGCTAATCCTTGTCATAAAGTCCTTAGGAAAGCTTATACATTCCTTTTGGTCAATAACCCATCACGTGGGTTTTATCATGTTTATAGGGTTTTATATGAAACCCTGTAACAAATCGGGCCATCTCACTTTCGGTATTCAATATTTACAAACTGAGTCTCATGTAACCTAAAATGTTCTCGCAACATATTATCGTAGATGTCGAGAAAATAGTTGTGTCAGTTATAACATCAAACATTTCTCGTGACTTCTTTACAGTACATAATAACCTGAAGGTTATGCTGGTTTTAATTAAAGAAACAAAACAATGTTTCTTTTCATAGGAGCTAGCTCACATGATTAACATCATGAGTTGTAATAATCACTGCATTTGTTTCCATGGAATGATTTTTTTTATTTCACTTTCTTCTCGAATTTCAATTTCTCTACATAACTCAACCCATTGAGGCAACTGAAACCAACTAATAAAACCTTGTTTTGAAATAAGCGAAGTCAAAATCAGCATAGGATGATTATGTTTCTTAAACTGCGTATTTACAGGCGGGCTGAATATAAATTAAAATTATGTTTTGTACCAGAACGATCAAGCTTAGCTGTACAAGTGACGCAATTTCTTGGCAAAGGCTTCTATCTGCTGTTGTAAGATGAAAGTTTGCCAGAACTATTGCGATATAGGCCTGCTAGGCTTTCGGGCCGAATTCATTTTTGTTGTTGTCTTTCTGGAGTTTCATTGTTTAAATAGTCTCTCACAGTTGGTCAATGAGCGTATATTGTGCACATACATAATTTTGCCAATGGGCTACAATTTGTATTCATATCACATTGACACCCTCAGTTGTCAGAACCAGTGTGTTGTTTGTTGAAAAACGAAATACATCTAACGTATCAGAAAAATTGATATTGAAACAAAACTGTAATCGTGGTATTTCAAGTTTTCTCTTGAATAGCGTTTTAATTTGTTTATCCTTACAGTACTTGAGCTGAGGATGAATGTTAATATACATGAATTAAAAACCTTATTTGCTTTTAGAGTTTTTCTTCTTCAATTTGATTCATAAAGCTTTTTCAAAATTATCACCGGATTGATTTAATGTAAACTTTTTTATCTTATCTTTTTTTCTTTTGAATGAACTGCAAAGGTGACTCATTATAATTATACCTGATGAAGTTAAGACAACCGCCCACTTTTGTGGACAAAATCGATCGATTGATCAGAAAGTCAAAATAATACAGGTAACACATGCAATCCAATACCGTACACGGTTTTTTTTTTGTATAATACGTGATGTATCAATAATCTAAAACTTTTAATTCATTGTTGTGATAGGACCGCTCTTTACTTTTTCTATCAACATGTCTCAAATGATGCGAAATTGACATGACTGATTACAATGTTGTATCACACCTGGTGATAAATTTTGACTGAGGAGTAGTCAGCCACTGCCAGCTGCTCATCTAATGTAAGTGTGATTCCCAGGGGTAAGTGCAGACCCTGTGCGATGCACTTGAGAAAGCCACCTTGAGGGTCATAGTGGTGGATATGACCTTTGTAATCACCAATATGCATTGCAACATAGATACCTGAGCCATCAGTGCATACACCGTTGCAGCATCTCACTGGTTGACCATTGATGGTGGGTTTGAAGGTGCGTTTTGTAGTACCATTGCCACCGGCAATATCCACTGTCTTTGATTCATAGTCACTTATTATCGCTCGATCATTGCTGTCAAAAGCCAGAAAATGAGGTTTAATCTTGACTGGTATGGTATGAAGGAGCACACCATCAGTGGGGCTGTGCACTGTCAATACCATCCTCGCCACATCTCCCACTGCAATGGTACCATCATTCTTGACAGCTACGCTCCGGAGGTCAACCGTGGTCTTACCAACCTCACTCGGTGGCACCGTTGGGAACTCGTATGCCAGCGTGTTGTCGCTGTTGAACACCTTCACATGGGATGCACCTTCCTCAACAACCACCAAGCGATTGTCGCTGCGTGTAGCTGCGATGCCGCGTGGATCTGTAGGGGGCGAGATGTTAAAAACAAACAATAGTGGTCAATTTCAATCTGAATTGCAATTTATAATAGAAAATCAAAAATGAATCTGAGTGATAATTAGTTGTGTCCCTGGCAAAGACTAGACATTGTCAAAGTTCGATAAAAATGTTTCAGAAATCACTTCGTCTGTAAGTTGGGATGTTTAACATTGTCTTTATATCTACACCACCGATAATGAAGGACGATTTGGTTTTAGTATCATTCAGTGGGATAATAGGAAACAAACCCGAAAAGACTTCTGACAACAATTGAGAATTTAACTGGTGAACCAGTGTATCAGGAAAACTTATATTTCTTTCATTTTAAATGGATTTTTCTTGAACTTTCATCCTTTGAAAAAATGTCATGAAACGAGAAAACCAAGTTCATGAAAAAAAACAAGAGCAAAGTAATTAAAAAAGGGCAAAAACCAAATATCAAACATGAGGTTTAATTTACAGTAGTGTTTGTTCAATTTATAAACAAAATAGCAAGGAAATTTGATTTTTGACATGGACGATGCATTTACGTTTAAAAATCTACATGTTATGAACACAAAGGTATTCACTTAAAATGTTTCGCATCAAAGCTAGTGTGATTCCGTTTCATCAGATCTCGTGAGGAAAATTAAAAACAAAAATATAATGACAAGCAAAGAAAATGTTGTTTGTGTGCATGATTCGGCAGATTGCAATGCACGGTAATTTAAACTTACGCCCTTGCATCGGTATCGTGCTTTTCTGGTTGCCATCAATGCTGCAAATCATAACTCGTTTGTTGTCGACGTCAGTCACTGCAATCTCATCAGGTCGACGAGCAGCTATGCCCCAAGTCACATCGAAGTCTCGTGGACCGCTTCCCCATTTACCAAACTCCCGACACAGCTCCCATTTGCTTTCCACCACCACCTCACCCAGACTGATGCCACCAACACCCTCACTCTGCTTGAACTTCAGGAATGCAAGCCTGTTGTCAACTCTAGGCATACTCTGATCTGCCAACAATTTCAAGTCTTTGCTGATTGTTGGATAGAGTGAGAGAAAGTCACTATCCGATGCAGTCCTTGTCACCTCTCTTGCTGTGTCTAGTGAAAACTGAAATCTCTCCGCTGCCAAGCCCATAGTTTTTTCGCATTCGTCCAGTTTTTGTTCACGATCTGTTCGGATGTTTTTAATGTCATTAAGTATGCGATTTTCTTGAGCCGTTACCTCTGCTCGTATCTCAGCTGCTCTATCTTGCACTTCTGTCATGACTCTCTGAACTGTGACATCTAAATCTTCTTTCATTTTTGAGACTTTCTCTCGTGACTTCTCGAGCTCCGTCATTGAGTTTTCAAGTGGAGAAAGCAGTTCAGCCAACGATTGCTTGTACGTCGATGTGGCCAGATTTCTGTCGATGTACGAGTGTTCTGGCTTACAGTGGTCGATGACGGTACAATCTCGGCAGATCAGTGTTTCACAGGTCTTGCAGAAGAACCTTGTCACTTCGCCCACATGGATTGGACATTTTGAAAGTTGTTGATGCTTTGATTTGATTTGATAAGATGAAGCCTTACCCTTACGAATGCCATCTAAGCTACTTATAACGTGAACTGATAACTGAGCAAACTTCATGTGAAATTTTGTACATTTGGAGCACATATTTTTGCAGCAGTCCATGCAGTGATCCGTTGCCTCACTTTCTTTCTCACAGACTTCACACAGCAGCTGCTTGCTGCCAGAACACACCGCCTTCTCGTGAAGTTTAAACTCCTCGACCAGACCTTTCAAATAAAAGTTTGTTTTTAGACCCTGCACCCCAACCTCAGGAAGCTTTGTCTCCTGCCGACACACGGGGCAAGGAATCGCTGTAGAGCCCTCGTGCTTCGTGCTGCAGTATTTCAGCAGACATTGCTCACAAAAGCTATGCAGACATTCCAGTATCTTGGGCTGTTGGTATCTCTCTTGACAGATACAGCACTCAAGATGATGTCTGCTGATCGTCTCTAGAGCTGAACTTACCGCAGGTCCAGTCGCCATTTCTGCGAGGAACAAAAATATAATTTAACAGCCGCTAGTCAACATAATAAAGAAGCGAATCACTTCAGTTTTTATTTTATTTTTGAATAGTTGATCAGTGCTGTCATTGTTATTAATCTCCAACTACTTTAATGATTGAAGCAATGCACTGGCTCTTGGCTGAGATTAGTGTACTATAACCAAAGCAGTTTTTCAATGAGTTTATATTTGCCAGCATGGTGCGTCACTCACCCTAATTACAAGGTTCACTTGTTGCATCTGCTGTGTGTTAGCTGGTCGTCTTGTGGCGTCAATAGAGTCTCTTGGTCGTACGTACTGCTCTTCATGGAACAACTGTCTTCCAGGCTTATAATACTGCACTACTGATGTGGATGATCCAAGGATAAATTGGCGGACAACAGTGTAGTGTGGTGCACTATAAACTGGTGTATGTGTACGGCACTGAGTACGCAGTTGATATCTGGACTTTGTTCAATTTGCACTCAAGTATATTTAGTATCCCGTGTCAGAGTTATTTAACCCTTTCTGTTTGCGCAACCTAAAGTCAGCTATACAATCGCATAATGGTATCGTGATGCCTAGTGCATGTATCGGTTGTACACAATGCAGTGGTTAAACGCAAGACTCCAAAGTACAAGCCTGCGTATAAATGATGCACCAGAGTTTAATTAAGCTAGCTGCAGCAGGGTGGCAGTATACTTTTGTTAAAAATTGCGCTCGTTCTCAAACTTTTTTTTTTCGAACAAAACACTCTATAAAGTTGACATATCCCCGATATTTACATTAATTCACACGTCTGAAAAGAAGATTGTGGTTACTAAATTATTAAAAATGACCTCATGTCTGGACGGATTCGAAAATGATTTGTATTTATTTCGTGTTGAAAGTCCAAACTCAAAGCACGGTCCTTGACATACCAAAACATGTGATATGTCTTCAAGTGACCCAGGAGAATGCCAACATACTCCGGCAATCTATTTTATTATGAAAAAGGAATGTTTAAAATGTTAACCAGTACTAACCCCTTTTGGTTTAATCAATGTATTTTGCATTTGTCAACATGGCTGAATGTAACAACGGGCGGAGTTTGGATCACCTCTGGATACCCTAGCTTTTCTGCAGTTTTAGGGAGGGAGCCATAGCTTTCCAACTCTTGTATTTACATAGAACTTACAAAAGACATCAAATTCAACTTGAACTTAACTTTGACTCATAAAAGGGTCCATTGAAATTACCATTTTTTTACCCAGTTAATTAGAAGATCAACGGTACAGAGAATCAATTGAACTTTTGAGGATAGACATTTTGCTATATTTCACGACAAACATCAAACGGTTGTAACTGGGATTTGCTAATACATATTTCATATATACAAACTTTTATATCATTGGACAATAATTGTGGCCCAGTATTAAAGTAAGGAGTCAATCCATCTGGAAGGGACAAATATTTCGTCTTGGGTCCCATATTCATAAGGTGATCCCAGGAAACACAGAGTCCTTGAATTTTCCATACAACGTTAACTCAATATAAAGTAGGCCTATCACGCTTTGTTTTTCAAACGATACATGTACATGTAATAGCCTCATCTTTAAAGAAGATACGGTATTAATTATGGAATGTAAATAACGCTTTCAATCAAAATGTTCCGTAAAATGAGCCTATTTTATTTCTTAAATTGGTTCCAATAGATTATTTTAAAGTCATTGGTTACCTCACAACATGCACTTAAGCTCATGAAAAACCTTAAGTAATATTACAAACAAAACGGTTTTTAAGTTCTCTCAGGTCCGTCAGGACATTGTGTCAAATTCGCTTTGACAATTAAAATAATTTAATATCATGCTAATTTTGTTTAAATTTAACAACACTATATTTTGTTCCGGTTGGGAGTCAACCATGTCATAAAATATTTAGGACGGTTAAAACATTCCTATTGGCCAAGAACCGATCATGAAAAAAGACGAACTAGACAGAAGGTTTAGACAAAATATTCTTTTTCTCTTCCTAAATAGGATCTTGTGTCAACACGGAGAAATCTTGGCGATAGCAGTTTCAGTCCAAAGAGCCCCATACCCCCCCAGATTGTGCTCGGAAACGATAGTCCTTGTCGACAAACTATCTCGAAAATTAAGTAATGCATTAAACTGAACGGTGGCCAGGTGATTTATCATGAATAATAGACAAACTAGACAGATGATTCGGACAAAATTTAGTTTTTCTCTTCCTCAACAGTGTCCTGTGTCAACACGGAGTAAACTTGGTGATAAGATGCAGTCAAAGTCCAAACAGACCATTTCCCCCTGATTTTGCTCGGAAACGATAGTCCTGGTGGACAAACTATCTAAAAAATTATGTAATGCATTAAATTGATCATGAACAGTGGCCAGGTGATTTATCATGAATAATAGACAAACTAGACAGAAGATTTAGACAAAATATTATGTTTCTCTTCCTCAATAGTGTCTTGTGTCAACACGGAGAAAACTTGGCGATAGGATGCAGTCCCAGTCCAAACAGACCATTTTCCCCAGTATTTGCTCGGAAACGATATATAGTCCTTGTCTACCAACTATCTCAAAAATTAAGTCATGAAAAATAGACAAACTAGACAGAAGATTTAGACAAAATATTATTTTGCTCTTCCTCAACAGTGTCTTGTGTCAACACGGAGAAAACTACGCGATAAGAGGCAGTCCCAGTCCAAACAGACCATTTCCCCCTGATTTTGCTCGGAAACGATAGTCGTTGTCTACCAACTATCTCAAAAATTAAGTAATGCATTAAATTGAACTGTAGCCAGGTGATTTATCATGAAAAATGGACAAACTAGACAGAAGATTTAGACAGGTGATTTATCATGAAAAATAGACAAATTAGACAGAAGATTTAGACAAAATATTGTTTTTCTCTTCTTCAACAGTGTATTGTGTCAATACGGAGAAAACTTGGCGATGAGATGCAGTCCCAGTCCAAACAGACCAATTTAATGTCATTTTTCTCCGAAAGGATAGTCCTTGTCTACACACCATCTCAAAAATTAAGTAATGCATTACATTGAACGGTGGCCAGGTGATTTATCATAAAAAATAGACAAACTAGACAGAAGATTTAGACGAAATATTGTTTTTCTCTTCCTCAACAGTGTCTTGTGTCAACACGGAGAAAACTTGGCGTAAAGATGCTGTCCCATTCTAAACAGACCTTTTCCCCCAGATTTAGCTCGGAAACAGTGTCTTGTGTCAACACGGAGAAAAACTTGGCGATAAGATGAAGGCCACGTCCAAACAGACCATTTTTCAAAGATTTTGCTCGGAAACATAAGTCCTTGTCTACAAACTATCTTAAAAATTAAGTAATGCATTAAATTGAACGGTGGCCAGGTGATTTATCATGAAAAATAGACAAACTAGACAGAAGATTTAGACAAAATATTGTTTTTTCTCTTCTTCAACAGTGTCTTGTGTCAACACGGAGAAAACTTGGCGATAGGATGCAGTCCCAGTCCAAACAGACCATTTTCCCCAGTATTTGCTCGGAAACGATAGTCCTTGTCTACAAACTATCTCAAAAATTAAGTAATGCATTGCATTGAACGGTGGCCAGGTGATTTATCATGAAAAATAGACAAACTAGATAGAAGATTTAGACAAAATATTCTTGTTCTCTTCCTCATCAGTGTCTTGTGTCAGCACGGAGAAAACTTGGCGATAAGATGCAGTCCCAGTCCAAACAGACCATTTTCCCCAGATTATGGACAAACTTTATACTGTTGGGAAGCGGATGAATGGGCCAACCAACATGCAAAAGAGCAAGGCTGTAGACATAAAACTTTTGGAGAAAACTGCAGATGTAGTACCTAATGCCACTTGCTTCGTTTCTGTGCAGTAAATCCCATAGCAAGGCCTGTCGGCGGCAACCCCATGGCTCTCATGTATCGCCACCTAAAGGTACCTTAACATTAACCGTTCTGGACAAACTTTATACCGTTGGGAAGCGGATGAATGGGCCAACAAGCATGCAAAAGGGCAAGGCTGTAGACCTAAAACTTTTGGAGAAAAATGAAGATGTAGTCACCGATGCTACTTGTTTTGTTTCTGTGCAGAACATCCCATAGCAAGGCCTGTCGGCGCCAACCCGCATGGCTCTCATGTATCGCCATCTAAAGGTACCTTAACATGGGCCCTTCTGGACAACTTTATACTGTTGGGAAGCGCATGAATGGGCCAACCAACATGCAAATCGGCAAGGCTGTACATCTAACACTTTTGAAGAAAACTGCAGATGCATTACCTGATGCCACTTGTTTCGTTTTTGTGCAGTAAATCCCATAGCAAGGCTAGTCAGCGCCAACCCGCATGGCTCTCATGTATCGCAGTCTAAAGGTACCTTAACATGTACTGTTCTGGACAAACTTTATACCATTGAAAAGCAGATGAATGGGCCAACCGCAACCAAATTTTCAAGGGTCTAAACCTGAAACTTTTGGAGAAAATCGCAGATGTAGTAACTGATGCCACTAGTTTCGTTTTTGTGCAGTAAATCACATAGGAAGGCCTGTCAGCGCCCACCCGCATGGCTCTGATGTATTGCAGGCTAAAGGTACCTTTTCTGGACAAACTTATACCGTTGTAAAGCAGATGAATGGGCTAACCAGCATGCAAAACGGCAAGACCTCATATCTAGACCAGAAACTTTTGGAGAAAACCGCAGAGGTAGTAGCTGATTCCACTAGTTTCGTTTTTGTGCAGTGGGTAAAATATCAAGGCCTGTCAGCGCCAACCTGCATGGCTCTCATGTATCGCATTCTAAAGGTACCTTAACACGGACAGTTCTGGACAACCTTTATACCGTTGGAAAGCGGATGAAGGGCTAATTTGTATGCAAATCGGCAAGGCTCTAGATTTGAAACTTTTGGAGAAAACAGATGCCAGATGTAGTACATGATGCGCTCAGTTTCCACTTAGTGCAGTAAACCCCACAGGAAGTCCTGTCAGCGCCGCAGCATACTGGCTCTCTATATCGCAGTCAAAAGGTACCTTAACAATTCCAGTTTTAGACAAACTATGCATTGTTCGAAAGCTGATGAATAGGCCAACAAACTGACAAAGAAGCAAACCTTTAGACTCAAGGCTTGAGGAGAAAATGCAAGATGTACTACATGATGTACAGAGTTTTCACTTTGTGCAGTAAATCCCGTAGGAAGGTCTGACAGCGCCCTAGCATACTGGGTCTTTATATCGCAGTCTCATTGTGAAGGAAGTGGCCTATGACCTATGTATAAAGCATCTGGCTGCAGCTGTTCAAGACTGCAGTTAGACATATATGCACAAATAATGTGCGCAAATGCTATCCGAAAACTTCCCATAGAAATGTGCGCACGTTCGATTCATACCGGATGTGATTTCTGTTTCATTGCGGACGATGTGCACAGCATTTTGAGCGTTGCATGATGCATTCCGACCTTTCGTGATTCGAATCGGAACCAGAGCAAGTGATGGGAATTGTAAATTATATACAACACATGAGTTTTACACAATTTCCTTATTACGTTTTTCAACGAGAAAAAAACATCTCTAAGGCCAAAAAAAAGTCTCCGGTTTCTGGTATGGAGCTTGCCCAAAAGGTGGTGCGGTGACGCGGCTTTTTTTTTTTACCTGATTTTTTTGCTTCAAATGTCGGCTGATGACTGCAAATGGTGCCCGACTAAACTTAGTGCAAATATATGAGAGCCTGAGCGGCCACATAAAGCTTATTCTCGACCATAACCCCATCTAAAAACACGTTAAAATTGTGCAGCAGCAGGATTCAAGTCAAACCAGTGAGTTTGGCGGTTTTGAGACATCATCTTTCATTGAAAAAGAAATCATTTTGCCGACGCGCATGGCTACGGCGACGCGCGCGCATACCAGACTACCGTAGACTTATTTTTTTGGGCCTAAACTGGAATAAAAGAGTAATGAATCAGTCTTAACGACCATTTCAAACCTTGCAGAGTCATGACCTTGATGACACTCAGGTGCTTGATGCTTGATGTTTGATGTGTTGACTCCGAAGAAGCACATTGCTTGTCCATGGAGAAGCAGTCGAGGTGACTCAAGTTGTGCAGTTGTGCAGGGACGGTAGAGAAACAAGTGCAAGTAAAAACATTCTCACTTCTTAGAGTTGCTGGTGGGTGGTGGTGGGACGCATGTCTCTCACCGCCGGAAGGGCCACTGCCTGAAAAGCTGAAACTGCCAAGCTGGCATATTGTGCGGACGAAGAATGAGAATCTGAATGCCCTGACTGGTTGATAGTAAAGATGATGTTGGGATCTGTCTAATGCTGGGTGAAGTTGGATACAAGATGGAAAGCTGACATTGACGAAGTTCACTGGTCACGCAAAATCCAACCAATCAGAGGGTGAATTCTTCAAAGTATTCCAGCGTCCTGTTTGCAGGGCGGGGGTACGAGCGAAAAAGTTATTCATGCCGTTAATTGAGAAGGGCGCCCTCAATAGGTAAGAATTTTATGTCCAACCACATGTCAGAGGGCGCGCCGTATATATACCGCGCAAGTCAAGGTCTCTTCGAAAAGAAACCATGCAAAATCAGTGCACAAAACTTATGAGAGTCCAGCAGAAAGTGAAAGTATTGTCGTCGGTTAAGTCTGTGATACTTCCAGAGGAAGAAGGTATTCTACGGGCCGTACACGAGTTGTTATCGCTGGTGTTGGTAAGAAGTTTTGTGGCCGTGGACGAACGCGTGTATACATGTAACTAGCTGGAGTTACCCAGCCCTGAGTTTTATCATTGGGTTGTCTACATGTATTTAGTATTAGGGCTGGAGCTAGTTTTTCTCGTAAACGATAGTATAGGCAAATTTTTTAGGAAAATGTTCAATTTTGTGCCCGTTACACACTAATTGCAACTGCAACTCACCCCAAACTTGCCTGGAATAACCATTAGCATTACACAGGTCCTTGAAGTAAAAAACGATCCACGATGAAGATTCAGCCTACAATTGCAGTGAAAACAGGAGGAATAACCGCTAACCTGACAACCTTGCTGGCGTGGCCAGGACCACAATTGGTTTGTGCACAAAAAAAAATTGTGTACAATAAATGGCGGTCGATTATCAGGCACAGAGCGCTGTCAACTACTCGTTTTTGCCGGCTGCGCTGGCTGTTGGCGCATGACGTCACGCGGAAGCATAACACCCAATGACTGTTTCATGCACAATCGGTTGCGGTTCCAGTACCAAAGCTGTGATGCGAGTGGTAAACCTCATATTAGTGCATGAAACAGTCATCGGGTGTTGCGCTTCCGATCATAATCTCTGCATGCACATTTCAAGTGTCCGGTTGGCTCAGTGCGGAAAGGGCATATTTTTCATTATTGACGGTGCGAAGAACTGATGCTATTTTTACTCCAGACACTGCATACAAAAATAAATGCTAATGTAATGCACAGGCAGGCACCAGACTATTTCTCATACATTTTCCAAAAAAATCTCACAAATTATGCAAATGATCCAATACCGGGGGAGAGAACACTAGTGGTTGTACGTACTGCTCAACACCCTGAGGACGAGGTTGGCTCTGGCTGTACTACTAGTACTACCGGTATCGCCACGATCGCAAGTTCCATGAGTACGGCCAGACAGGCAATGCTCCCCTAAATGCTACTGATTTTAATTAAAATTATCTTGGTTGGTTGTTGGTTCTTCTCCTAAGGACTTTCCACAAGGGAGTATAACTTAGGAGGCCAGAAACACCGGGGCAAACCCCTTCTCTCAGTGATAAGTGTTACTGGGTTCTTTTACGTGCGTTAAGCCTTATACAACACACGGGACCTCCAGCTTAACGTCCTATCATGCCTATCCGAAGAATGAAGCAATAATGGTTAAGTGCCTTGCTCAAGGGCACAAGTGTTCGGGCCCGGACTCGAACCCATGCCACTGTTGCCTCTGAAACACCAGAGCATGAGTCCAGTGCTCTTAACTGCTAGGCCATGACTATTCTCTCATCTACATGTACATGTAGAACTGAAAGTTCCAAAGTTAGGATTCATACTCTTTGCAGTGATACAAACATTGTATAAAATGTCTTTAAAAAATGAATACCGGTATTTGCATGTTTCAGGCGTTGTGTGCCCTCTGGGTGTCGGCGTTCAGCACGTTTGGCCCCAACTTATTGATGGAAGCTGCGGAATATCGAAAGTCGTCGGTCCCGGTTATGAGAAGACCCCGTGTCAAGTTGGTAAGATTTGGCCTCGTTTGAAATTCAAATAGAATGCAATATCCTGATGGCATTTTTTCCCACTGTTTATAAACTCAATGATTGGCAGTCATTGCAAAGTGAACATGGTGAAGAAAAAAAAAAGATTTTGAACTGAACTAACATCATTTGTGATGCGATCAAGAGTCGATTGTCGACCCCGGCCAAATTTTATTTTATTTCAGATTTTATTTCAGCTTCCTCCATCAGGTAAAGATATGAAAACATTGTTGTAATTTGTTTCGCTATGGCACTGAGCAGTTTCTGTTGAGTTTACGTCGTTATAGCTGTTACATGTAAGCTAAAATATGGCCCATGAACATGAACACAAAAAAGTCTGGAAAAATCGCCGAAAGAAAGTCGCAAAATTGGAGCATTTTAACTGTTTATTTTGTTAAAAAGGTATTTATTAATGGGAATAAAAATCAGTGTGAGGATCCGGTCTTCACTGCGTGATAATGACCAGGTGTGGGGGTGACCGCTGTTTACGGACCTCAACTTCGTCTCGGTCCATTAACAGCGGTCAGCCCCCCCCCCCGTCATTATCACGCAGTGAAGACCGGCTCCTCACACTGTTATTCCCTTACTATAGAGTAAGAAATGTCTTGTCTTATGAAAATTGTGTCATTTTTCGTTGAAAAGCAAACTGCAGTGATGGTCCTTTTTTTAATTTTTCAAGTTTGTTGAACTGGCAGCCACAATTCAGTAACACAATGCAAACAGAGGTACATGTACTTCCTGAAAAGGCAGGAAACGTCAAAGATCAATGCTGAAATCAGGGAAACGGAACTTAGCCATAGCTTCCTGAAAGTCAATACGATCGATTTGAACATTTGTTACAATGATACATGCAATCGTTCACATTTGAAGAAGTTTTAAAACTTTTTATGGGAAATGTATAAAACTTAAGATTAAAATCAGATGATTACAATTATTGTCTGGGTTTTTTTTGGTTCAATTAAGTATAAAATGAAGATTGTAGTACTTAAACAAACCAAATTCAGATCTTTTTTTACTCTTTGCATAGTATTGCATCATGTGTAAATGATGACCAATGTGCAAGTGAACATCTGCTCCACATTAACCAATATGCGCTACGCGCGTGCCAATCTCGTGAATACTCACGAGATAGAGATACCATAGAGGGCTGTTTAAAGCCCGAGTCCATCATTTGCAGCTATCCAAAAAAGTAATCTGCGTAATTATTCTTGAAAAACATACTGGTTGGAAGATAGTAAGGGGACTAAACTCCCTGTGAAATTATCCTTTCTGGCAAGCTCTCATTTTGAAGAAATCAACGAAAGAAGGCATCGGTGCTTCTTAAGAAGCACCGTAGGAAAATTTAAATTAGTTGTTCGTTTTGGTATTCGGCGCAGCGCGCACAAGTAATGGAACGACGCACAGGCGCGCGCGGTTGCTATAATTCGTGGATCAGTGCGCAACATCGCATAAAGCTGCAATTCAGAACAATTCGAAACATGATACTTTTGATTTTAAATTGAGATCCTAGAATGCTGTTTTTCTCGGAATATGAAGCTGAAGCTGAGCTTAAACTTCTAAAACTTTCAGTATCCTTCATTAGATTTTGAACACTTTTGTTGCTTCAAACGAACAAAATGCACTGATTACAAATGATGGACTATAGCTTTAAATAAACTTGAAGTAAAATTGTTAAACAAAATCGTTGGAAATTTGTAATTTGTTTGTTGATTGACTTTTTAACCCAAAACGTGTTTACGAATGGGAATAAACATGGGTTGGCCTTCAGCTCAGGCTTAAACGGACTTGTTTAAAACCAGCCAAGGACATACATGTATTTATTCCCTTATTATTAGACAGTCACTTAAATTGGTGTATCTGCAAACTGTCTCTTATTGTACTCGCAAGTTTTACTCGCAACTACGCTTTAGGCCTTGACAATTACAAAAGCGTACGGAATTCAGAAAAATGTTAATGTGTTGTTGCTCATTATATTTTGTATTTCAATTTCATCTTGAGCAGCTCATGGAGGCTTAGCCAGTTAGCCATCACGTCCAGTCTGGTCACCATGGCAACTGAACAACCTCAAGCCCCACCTCCAGTAACATCTAGGGAGTAGCATCTGGGCTTATACACCAGGTAAGCTAGTTATTATCACTAGTTAGACAGTCTACCAACAAGTAAACTTTATGTGTAAAACTTTATAATTTATTTGTTGGTAGACTGTGAATAGAATGTTTACCTTGCGACTTTTAAATGAGATACATTGTTATGTTCACACAAGAACGGAACCATGCGGACAAATGGTGGCAAATTGACTAAGAGCAGGTCACATGGCCAAATAATCTGTTGCTATTGGCCAAAAGTTACACATTTTAAGCCACCAACAGATGGCAGCATTGCATCATTTTGGACTTAGAACAAAATACTACTCAGTAGTAACCTGTGGTACATGTATGCATTTCTTTCCATACAAGTGTGCACACTTCATGTAGTATTCTGTGGTATTTGGTCATTGACCCCCAAAGAGCCCTCAGGACGTTAGGGTTAATATTGTTACCATGAACACACGCACCAAAAACAAAAATCAACACTTGTTCCTTGTATACAAATACGATTTTTAAGCTCTTAAAAAACAACATGATACATGTATGATTCAATACAGGCATGCGGTTTCAAGCATGACTTACAAGATCCGGCTATTTCACTTTTTTGAAGTAAACAATCTCAAACAATGATTAAGTGGACGAGTGACTATTTTCAATGTGAAATAAAAACATATCAGGAAATAAGTTTTCTCCTTGATATTATATATAGCGCATTTATACAGCCAAAAGAATCTTTAAAAATTCATTAGAGAACAGATAGGAACGTTGAAAAGTATAGTAATATTGATGTGTTTAAAAAGGAAAAGCTGTAAAAACAATTATTGCTTAACCCTAACCCTGCCAGACGCAGCACAGTGCATCAGGTGGAAAAGTTTGGTGCACTTTGATGGAAAATGCTACCAACACCAGTGCAGAAACCGGCCACTTCTGAGACACTGAGAGCTAGTCCCATGGAACAATGCCCGAGTTGTATCCTGCTGCGTTGGGGGACCACAGACTCTGAGGCAGTTTGGCCTCGAGACTTTTGACCTGATGGATCTTGCTACACTGGGCAGGCTTGTCACTTAGACAAGTGTTGCATGTTGCTGCGTTTGGCAGGGTTTCTAGCCAAAATACCCTGGAGGGTTAGGGTTAAAGGAGTAACAAGCTTGACGAGAATGGAGTAAGATCCACAATAAACAATGATAATTAATAATAATAATTGTGCTTATATAGCGCTTTCCATCGTATCAACAATCTTAAAGCGCTTTACAATTATTACCCCGTTCACCAGACCATTGGACCACAATGCCGATATCAGCGCTCAATCGGTCCTCGACCCTCACAGGTACCCATTTGTACTCCTGGGTGGAGAGGGCAATTGTAGTTAAGTGTCTTGCCCAAGGGCACAAACACCATGTTCCTGGCAGGGTTCGAACCCAGGCACCTTCGTACATGAGTCAAACACCGTAACCACTGGACCATGGCGTTCTACGTAACCACTGGACCACGATGTTCTACGCCATAATGTATTATCTACATGTATTATGTATTTCATTGATGAATCCCCAAATAACATCCAATTGCTTCATGAACTGGAGTGTATAAACGTATAAAAGTCCCTTTAATGCAGAAATATGCAAACCATATCATTTTCTAAAAACATAAAATATAAACAACTACCGGTAACTACGACATTAACAACACAAATCTACACTCTAACAGCTTTCTCTGCAAAATATAACACAGACTCGCTTTCCTGAAAAATTGTAAGTATTGAAAAGTATGATATACAATGTACAATGTACCACAAAATATGGCATACTTGTAAATCGTGGTTTCGTTTAATTCTATTTAAGGCTTGGTTTATTTATAAGGTCTATGGTGCACGCAACACATACTGACATGGATATACATGTATACCTACATGTATTAAGCGCCTAATTTACATCTGCTTGTAAGTGTCATAAATAAATGAGTCACTCTGCTCTTGAACTTAGCTACAATTGAAATAAACTAATAACATTAAGATTAAGAAATCAAAATTTTTAGATTAAACATGTTAAACAACCACGCACGAACGTCTTACGGGATTTTTTTCTCAATTAGTAATTGAAAAGGAGACTAATGCTTCCTAACTAATTACAAAGAGGAATGTAGTGACACTCCATTATGTACACATGTATTTCATTGATGAATCCCCAAATACCATCCCATTGCTTCACATGAACTGGAGTGTATAAACAATGTATGAACAATGTATACAATGTATGAAGTTCCCTTTAATGCAGAAATATGGACTACCTAATGGAAACTCTATCATTTTCTAAAGAAATAAAATAGTTCCGTAATCCCGGCACAAGGAGGATGGATACAATATTCTGTTCATGATAATTATTTTTAAAAAATGTAAATGAAACAAAATCTTGCCTTCAGTTTTGTTTACAATTAGACTCCTGCTACAGAATCTTGGACTCGGCTGTGATTTCAGTTCCTCAATCCCAGAAGAAACAGTTTGATTAATTTGATCCTAAAAATGCCTACAACTACGTACTTACTGTGATACATACACTTACATTTTTGCCAATCGTGTAATCTGGTATCCGAGTTACCTCGGATACAGGTAACTTACAATGTAATAACTACATTTTTGATATAAGGCCAAAAAAAATAGTTCTGCTTCCGATTACATGGCATTTGAAAATAGAGTAGGTAGGTAGGTAAATAATTTTTTTTGGCCAATTTGTTTTTGTGTACGATCATATGGAGGCGTCTGCGTGTTGTCAAGGGCAAAAGGTAGAAATTGATGGTTTTGGGTGTTTTTTCCCTCATTTTTCCCATAAAAAATTAGGGTAGGGGCTGTCTGAATAGGGTAGGTAGGGAAACTGGAAGCAGAACTTTTTTTTGTGTGGCCTAAATGAGAAAACAGGAAAAGTTATTACTACAAATTGTATGACATTTTCTTTACATGTTCATGTGTAACTGGGCTACTTCATGAATTGGTTACACTGCATAGCTTGTTAAAATAATCTAATAAACGACTTCATTGAGCATTATTTGTCATGTCGCTGTCATGACTTAAACTCTACGCAAGCATAAAAATGTATATGTCGCTAGTTTACATTTGGTACTCAAACGTCTCAGCAAAAGACATTGTCTGGAGCTAATGTCCCAAATTGTAAAGATTCATGATAAGGTCAATTTGATTTTGTTCATTGATTCAATCCAAAGAGTCTGCGCTTAGATCTTTTCAAAGTCTGATCCACCTGTGACCGACATTTTGTAGACGCTCTTCTGGCAGGTTTCCAATGATATGCATTCCTAAATTCAGAAAAGAAAGAGTAAGAAATGGATGGTTTTAAAACTTCATCCACCCATCCCATATTGTCTTGTAGGTCTGACATATGTGACCCGCTCTGCAAAAATGAGTCTGTTGTGGCAAAACTGACATTTTGAGTTAACTACATTAATAAAATGGGAATGATATAAGCTTTCATTTGGTATATCACGGACCTCTCTAGGACATTTGGTTGCATTGTTGTGCTTGTTTCATTCTGTAAAGTTTTTGCAAAGCTAGAAGTGTCTCAATGGAGAAAAAAGGCTTTAAAAAATGACAAATACACTGTAACTAACCAAGAAAAGCACCAAAGATTCATATATTTTTTTCTTTTTCTTACAATATTTACATTTCTGTGTAAGATATTTGAACTAAAACTATCAAACAACCAAAATAAAACTAAAACAAAAAATCCAAATTTTGAGCAAATTATTACTGTTTCCATTTCAAAATGGCAAAAGCTTGAATTCAAATTATGCGACATCAGACTCATTTTTGCAGAGCGGGTCACATATGTTCTCCGTTATTATATTAGTATCAAACCCGCAGTGTTGAGAATGTAACACGCCGCTTGCAGTGTCACATTGCTGGTATGAAATAACTCTTAAGAAGTGTAAATAGCCAATGAAAACCAACGAATTGAAACCTCACGTGGGTCAGCCACACGCGACCCAAGTCTAAATATACAATTGACAGGTAAAGTGGAAGCCAGGCCACCTCATAATAATCATTTGATTTTGTTCAATACATGTCTGTATAGGGATATCACATTTTGCAACACATGCCAACTTTGACACGAGCCAGTAACAAAACAAAAAATATTATACCCCCAATTTTTAAATATTTTGTAGAAAACGTGTGAAAGTTTTAATTTTCATCAAAGTTTGTCTCAAGTTCCCTTGATCCACAAGGTCAAATTCAAGTTCAAAATAAAGGTCAAAAGGTCACCATCCTTCAAATTACTCCGACATGAAAAGTAATGGTAAATTTGAATTCCTTATGATGTTACCTTTCCAAAGCAACCACGGCCAACAAAGTTGGCTCACAGGTTATGGAAATATGGTCATTTGAAAATTAGCGGCCACGCCCATTTTGACCAAAATTGCCAAACACTGGTGGGCGGTCGCGCGAAAACCGTTTGTCCGATGGCGCTAAAACTTAAAATTTCAGCTTTTTCAGCCTAAATTACCCTATACTAAATACATGTATGAGCAATTTTGAAGGGGATGGGGTTTAACCCATTGGGTGATTTGACACTAGTGATGACCATAGACACTAGAATGACCCTATTAAATAGTTGATACGAAAACAATGACAACCTGGTAAATCAGACGCTAATCAACCTCACCCGACCCAATCTTTAATTTGTCAGTTTCAGTCAAAACCAGTACCCTCTTGAAACAATCGTTGGACTTTTTGATAAGCATACTCACGTTAGCTTTGTCCAACAGTCCTCCAAGTTTCTCACTGACTGTTGCAAATGTTGGTCGGGCTGCAGGGTTCTTAGACCAGCAAGCACGCATCACCTGGTACCTGAGAAAACAAATGGGCATTACTGATTTGTTATTTTGCCCAATGTTGATCAATAAACCAATTTTTCTCAGTAGTTGGTCAATTTTTACCCTAAATAACCAACAATAAGGTAACTTCCTACCAATGGTAACTTCCTACCAACGCTAGGCAGTATTTTAGCCAACTTTATTGTACAGTGATGTTAGGACCAAAATGGACATGGAATGGGATTAGGTGTGAAATCTATTCACAATTCCATTCTAATGGTGCAATTCGAGTTTTGTTTTTAATTGTTCTCCCCTTTGATTTATTTTGTGCCATTAGATGTGAGGGTCTTATCCTTAGATCTGTTCCGCTCTTGACGAACCCTTATGTCAGTCTTAACATATATTACAGATAGTACATTATTAAGCGTCATCAAATAATCATTCAGATTTGACACATTAACCAATCACTGCTATAACAGAAAGCATTTCTGCATGTTTTAAAGAGGTTGTAGAATGCTCCAAGACATTTCCGTCATTTTTCAGGTATATATGTAGCCCAAGGTGTGATGAAATAAAAACGACTATTGTGTCTGTCATGAAATACATGCAAGTACAAAAGGTACTTTTGAGAGCTGTTTTTCAGGTCCTGTTTCGACCTGAACAGTCGTCGTTAGGGGAAGCAAAAAAAAAACATAGTAAATCATGACGTACATGTAGTAGGCCCTAAATGTAATAAACAGGACTCGTGTATACTACGCTGCATCGGGAGTCCTGTTTATAACGTCACGATTTATTATGTATAAAACAGCTCTCAAAAGTACCTTTTGCACTCATTTCATGACAAACATAATAGTCGTTTTTATTTCATCACGCCTTAGGCTACGTATACCCGAAAAATGACGGAACATTCAACAACCTCTTTAAAGTTCAATCATAAAGAATTTGGTTTATGTTTATGTAATGAAACTTACAATTGCATGCGACAGTGGTCGGGACGGGGCATCCGGTACCCTGACTTCACTTTGGAAACCACTTTCTTGGCACTCAGGGTCGGGTATGGGTGGCCACCTGTGAGGAACATTGGAATTGACAAACCAGCCTTGTAATCTAGTCAATCACAAGTCAGATCACAAGTCAAATTACAAGTCAGATCCCAAGTCAATCACAAGTCAAATCACAAGTCAGATCACAATTCAAATCACAAGTCAAATCATAATTCACAAGTCAATCACAAGTCAATCACAAGTCAAATCACAGGTGCAGGTCAGATCACAAGTCAAATCACATGTCAAATCATAATTGTCAAGTCAATCACAAGTCAAATCACAAGTCAAATCACAAGTCAAATCACAAGTCAAATCACAAGTCAAATCACAAGTCAAATCACAAGTCAAATCACAAGTCAAATCGTAAGTTGGTCGCGAGTAACCAAAGATGAACTGTGACAAAGGCACTGTCAAAGTAGACCATGTTACATTTCTTTACAAATTGGATGTTGCGGTCACGTGATTCCAACTTCCAGCAAATGGTTCTCTTCTGCACTGCATGTGTACATGTATCTCTTGAAATGTGATTGATGTTAACGTGGCGACAAACGTGGGCAAAATAACATGCAAAAGATGCTGAAGTGTCTAGGTTGCCTGTCTTGCCCGTTGGTATGATGTCGCAGAAAACATGCTCTACATGTACATTGCTCTGTAGCTTGTGAGGTTGACTTGTGAGGTTGACTGGAAATTGGTTGACATGTGATTGACTTGTGACTGTTGACTGACTCGATTCCAACTCCGCAAAAAAAAATACTTTGAGACTTGACCTATCAAAAAAATTAATAAGATTTCTATCATTTCATTTGAATACCTTCTTTGCAAGACAAGGTTTAAGCTCACTTTAAGATCATTAAAACCTGCTGATACAAATGTGGATTGATAACATGCCTAGAATCATCTTCATATTAGCCTAACAATGGGAGTGCTGTAAGGCCAACTGTTTCCCGTGCCATATTCGAATTGAAAGGTTCGGAACCAGTGCCTAGCTTCAAATGTGTGTACAACGCGCAATGGTCCATGACCTTTCCAGAGTTTTAAACATGGAGATCACTGGCCATACCGAGAGTAACTATTTCCCACAGCAGAACCCCAAAAGACCACACGTCACTCTCTGTTGTGTACACGTCATCAAGAACAGACTCCAACGCCATCCATCGCAGAGGGGAAAATCCCTGAGCATCAAAAGAAACAAAGACATATAAAATTGCATTACAAACGTCCAGATAGAATGCACGTTGAAGAACATTTGACCAAAAGCATTTAGAACACAAATCTCAATTACATGACGTATTATTACTTTGAAAATAAACCCTGATTATTATTTTGTGTTGAAATACATGTAGTGTCGTTGCTGCTATTGATTATGTGTTTTGTACTTGTAGTTGGAGAGCCTTTCGATAAACTTTTTTTTTTAGCTTCTTAGGTAATGCTGCAGGCCTGCATATGCTACAGTTATTATTGCTTTTTATGTTAGTTTATCCATTATCATTGCCTTTTTATTTTGTCCTTGCCCATTTCCTTTGGTTTTTTTTTTTTTTTGTAATTTTAATGTATTAATTTGTATTTTCAAATGGTCATGTATTTTGATGTTGCCTGTAATATCAAATACACATCAACAATAAAAGTTTAAACAAAAGATTCTTTTCCACTGTGTAATAAAATATGCACGCTTCAATACTCAGCACAACCTTAATTATAACACAAATTTGAATGTTTTTTAAATCAAAAGGAGAACACATACATGTTCAATCAAAGTAAGAAATACACAAGAGTGAAAAATCAAGAATGTCAAATCATATGATGCACACGAAAACCACAACCCGGTGTTGTCCTGTTATCTTAAATCAAAACCAAATGGTTTAAAATATCAAATATATTGCCCATTCTCGAATAAGCAAATACCTTACCGTGCTTTTGCGTTGGTATGTTCTCATTTCGGCAACATCGCTGGAGAATCCGAAATCGGATATCTTGCCCACCATATCCTCGCTAACGAGAACGTTGCGGGCGGCAAGGTCTTTATGAAGACACTAATGTGATTCAAACAAAACAAAGTAAACCTGTTAAACATGTACATGTAGCTCACCCAAAAGCTTGCACAAAATTCTTTTGAATTGATTCAGAATGGCCATTTAACCGGAAGTCTCTTCAAACACGCGTCTACTCAATGGGTTGATTTATCCCATTCATTTGCGTTAAGGGGTCATCCTACATGATAGCACTGCCCGGCTCCGAGTGACTGTCAGTCTGTCAGGCAATCGGTCAGTCTGTCAGTCAATCAGCAGTCAGTCGGTCAGATAGAAATCAAGATCAATTCCTCATATAAACTCGTCTGTTGACCCGGTATAGGCATCAACTAGATTTCCATGTGATTCTTTAACCCTCCCTTTGCTTAAGAGGTCACCAATGGTCAAAATTGTCTTCCTCACCTCCTGGCCTACTGTGTACAAACCAATGGGGGTCTTGACCAATATTGACCCAAGTAATAAGCAGGCAGACAATGCATGTTACCATAGGAGGGTTAATACTATAAACTAGTCCCAACTATAGTACAGACTGTTCCGACTATGCATGCTATAGTATAAACTGTCCCAACTATAGTTTGCACCATTGCTATAGTTGGGACGCAATAGACTCACCCCTTGTGAAGCCAAGTAAGCCATGCCTTCGGCCACGCCCCTGGCCAGACTTAGCAGAGTCTTGGGTGTGAGGGATGCGCACACAGCCCCTCGTAGGTTGTCATACACGTGTTCGGATCGGCTATCAGTCAGAATCTCCTTCAGGTTCCCATTCACCACGTGTTCCATGATGACATAGATCGGGTCTGTGCATACGATTGCCAAAATATTAACAGTTGAACAAGTACTGTACACAACTGTTTCGCCAATTAAAGCTATGGGGAGCATACATGTATATTAACCTCTACTGAATAAGCTACATGTAGTTCCATCTTTGCGTTCACACATCGTTATATCACTGAGCGGTAAACAATTTCACATATATGCCTGAAAAGTCATAACGGTGCCAACATAAGTGCAAACAACTCCTGGACTGCAAAAGGTGTTTCAAAACTTACGGCCTCACGTACAGTCATGTATGGACTATCCTGTTTTCGTAATGCGTGAATAAAAAAGTATAATTGCATATTGGAGATTCGATTACCACACTGCCAGAGACTTGGGTTCTTTTCCAATGTAGTTGCTGTGTTTACATGTATCACCAAAATAAAAAATCGTCAAATCGTACCAGTTAAGTGCGCCAGCACAGTTTTGATTTTAAGACATTTCCTTAAAAAATATTCAGCCCATTTGTTGACAATGCCATTACTAAATCATGTAGTTACTATTTTAAGGGCAGCAGTTCAAAATCAACTTTTTGACAAGTGAACCAAATTATCACGCCCGTATTGTTACCTTCGTTGATGCAGTATCCAAGAAGCTTGACAATATTCGCGTGACCACTGAGAGGTTTCATCGAATTCAACTCTCGAATCAGGTTCTCTTTCTCCTTTGGATCGCTTTCATCTACATAACATAATACATGTACATGTATGTAAAATTTAAGCACTGACATGCATCATAAAACAGTAATTCATATCAATAATGTTCAGAGCGACTTCACATCTCAATACTTCCAGGATGAGGAAATGTATTGTACGAAATGTACACGTACATGTAGATGGCACTTTGGGACTCACGAGAGGTCCACTATGCGGGACTTGGTTACTGAGTACAAATATGAGTACTTGTACACTGTTCTTCGAAGTACAAGTACAGGTCTACGAGAACGAGTACTTGTACAGTTTCCGAGTACAAGTACTTATATTCCGAGTACCGGTACAAGTACGAGTACGGGTTCGAGTTATTCGTTTTCCATATACAGCCATATGGCAAATGGTTCATTATGCGTAATTGGCCCATGCCCAGTCAGACCGATACAGACCCATATACAGATAGCTGTGTTTTTCCGGACGTGCAAAGAGAAAAATCAGGAAACTTTTATTTCTCTTCAAGCAAATCAACCATTTACAACTGAAAGTATCGATAATAAAATAAGGTTGTGGTAAGTCAAGCTATACCATTTTTTTTGAAGTACTGCCATTCGAGTAGTTTGAGTACTGCTATTCAAATGCGAGTACTTTGATGATTGAGTACAATTTTGACATGTCAAGTACGAGTACTTTGCTGCCCGAGGACAAGTTCCGTAACTTCGAGTTAGAGTACTTTGACATTCGAGTACGAGTACGAGTACTCTAAAAAAAGTACTCGAGAAGTACTCAAGTACAAGTACGGAGTACGAGTACCCAGTACTACATCACTGGGGGCTATATGTATACAGCTCGATGCTGGCATTTTGGAGCAAAGAAGCTAATATCAATTACAGTAACCATCTCTGCCCTCACACGTACCCATCGACTCCTGTGTGGCCGTGTGGAGATGAAATGAGTGACGAAGCGCCTCATTCAAGGGCATGCGCACCATAACCCCAGGCTGGACTCGAACCCACAACCTGCAGATCGTACCCGCAGGCCACGATACCACGGTACTGCATTATACGGTACTGAGTATTGGCATGCCTCTCACCTTTTACAGTTTTAACAGCCACGCGGGTGACAAGGCCTCGCTGCTCGATGCCCACGGCTCTTGCAAGTAGCACCTTCCCGAAGGTGCCCTGCGTGAGTTCTTGAAGGAAGGTCAACTGATCTCGCGAGATTGCTGCGCGGCAGTCCGGGACGTTACCATACGTAGACTCAACCGTATCACTTTCGACTGCGCGAATGGTTTGCATAGGGATCCCTGCAAATAAGCATTTCATATGAATAGCCTTTTTCAGAAGCACTCCTTGATATACATGTACATGTACATGTATATCCAAATAAATAAGTCAGATTGGGGCTGAAATCTCTTTCATGTGACATGCAATGTACATGTAATGCGAGAACATCACAAGTTTTATCGTGTGTGTCACTAATTCATCAAGGGTCCTCTCCATGTCAATTTCATTTTGGGCCTCTCTGTTCCATTTTGTAGAGATCTACTTCACTTGTAACAGCTAAACATTCATAAGATGGAATTTTGCGTCGGGGTGATGTAAATCAAAATAGGTTGTGCCCCTCACTGACATACAAACACTGTATACTCAGTGTGTTACCTCCCGAGTGAAAGTTGGAAAACATCACTATGACATGTATGAGGGGCAAAACCTAATTTGATTTACATCACCCCGATGCAAAATTCCATCTTATGAATACTTGATGCGGTACCCGCTGCTATGTACATCAGATTCGAACCAGCCAACCGATCCCGTTATCTCGGTGGTCGAGTGGTGAGACGTCTGCACTAGAAGGTGGGAGGTAGTGAGTTCGAGTCCCACCAGAGTGATGTTTTCCAACTTTCACTTGGGAGGTAACTCACTGAGTACATGTATACAGTGTTTGTACGTCGGTGAGGGGCAAAGCCTAATTTGATAAACAGCTATAAAACACACGCTGCAAGCATTTAACCCTGCACTTTTGTTTGCCCAGAAACAGCACATGCATCTTGAAACATCTGAGAAAATGGAAAGGGCATGCCCTCATTAATATTCTCAAAGGCATCCTTCATACTAAAAAGTACCATAACTTTGAAGACTAATTTAAAATTGAAACATAGCAAAAGCTTTTGTAGCAACTGCTACTTCATTGGATGCAGTGACTGATGTATCTAACTTTCCTAACAAGTACCTACGCTGATGCTCGTTACGCTTTTAATGAAAGGTCATCTATATGTAGGAGGGCACTTTAGCAGTTCAGATAAGTTTACCAAATTCAAACCTTGTCTACCTTAAAGTTTGTGACACCAATTGGCATATTGCTTGTTTTTCACAATGTATTTCTCAGATTACTCACCGACGTTTTCGTAGCATTCTGTATCTGCAATGGCCCGGACTGGCCCTCGTGCCTGAGCTCCACTGCAGGTTACAAGCAATTAAGACGGGGGTTTGAAATGTTCAAGGAATTGGGGGGTGGGGCTGGGATTCAAGGCTTGCCCTACATATTCTTGACTAAAATCGTCTAAAGATGGCTACTGGCCCTTTAAATCATGGATTGTCTAGCAGCTTAGTACACTAGGAATAATCTTGAAAGTTCAACCGTACATGTATATTCATAACGTAGTGTTATTTGGACAACACTTGTTTTGAAGCCAGTGTGGATGCTGTACAATGTTTAATTTTAGAGCTATCTCTCAGGAATACAAGGTTAGTTATTTTGATGTTATATCATAGGTTAGTAAATAAAAAGAAAACGACATTTTTACAGTCATTGTTATGTATTGAGGTCACATTGCTAAATTGCTTCAATAAAAGTGATAATTGTACTGTTTGAATCAAGAAGAAATGGTTTGGTACAATCAGGCAACTTCCATTGTGCGTTCTTGTCTTTAAACTTTATCTAGGCACACGCTTGATTAAATGTATGTTTTTTTAACACAAATTTTAACAAATTGGTTAAACAATGTTTTCTTTCTAACCAATCACATATGTACTGACCTTTGGGAAACATTTTGTTCTGTTGAGAAAGTAGAAACGTTGAATAAGTTTCAAAAAACGACATGATATATTACGATAGGCAGATTCGATGTTATGTATGTAGCAGTTCTTACCTAATTTTATTATGAATTTTCAACTCAGGTTTGATTTAGTAAAGAAAAATATTTGAAACTCTACTTTTCAACATAATTTCAGTTGGATTCGTTTCGATTATCACAAATGATAACAATTTCATAGGATAATAAAACATGAGACATGTCTGGTGACTTTGGTGTTAGATTTTAAGAGAAAAGTAACGGTCTGGAAAAAGTCCAGTATCTCTCATCAGAAAAAAAAAAATATACAGTTAGTGTGTATGCCACACAACTACTCTTGTTTTGTGCTCAAGGCATTAAAAATGACTATGAAATCTTTATATATTAATTGTTTCGAAAATTTGCATAGTTAAGGTCTTACCCTTCTTTTGCCGTGGCTTCTTTTGTTTACGGTAGAAGCAGCCGGCTGCCTGTATCGCAACGCTGATGAACAAAAGTATTCCCAGTACACTGATGGCAGTTACAAATGGCCAGCTTGTCAGTTTGCCGACGACTGAGGGGGCAACGGTTGCTACTACAAAAAATCAATGTATCAAGAGTATCGTTTAAATGTCATTCATATACATGTACTGTCAGTGTATCTTTGACACTTTATGTTTTTAGCCAGACTGGATATGAAGAGGATCATTTGGTTGAAAAAAAAAAAAAATCATTATATGCAAGCATGTAAATGCCCCCCCCCCCCCAAAAAATAAAACAAATAAATAAAACATATGGACCAGTCACCCGTAGAAGTTAACCAAACATTTTACAATGTTCACTTTTTTTTTACATTTGCAATTTGTTACGCATAGCAGGCATCTCGGGGCTTATGGTTTTGTTTTGCTGTGGTATGCATGAATTAACCATTTGGTATTTTTTTATCTCGCTTCAGGTCAGCGTTCTGCTATTGTCAACTTTGGAGAATGGTGATGGTGGACATTCAAGTTTGCAAGAGTTACAATGTAGGTGAGTTTGGATAACATTATATGATATATAACTTAAATGGAAATGAGATTATAAAGACCTTTCTTAGTGATATGTATCACTGTGCCAAATCTATATTGGGGAGACCAGCAGAGCTTTTGGGACCAGATTTAAGGAGCACACAAGATCAACACCCCCCCCCCCCTTCTCATAGCTGTGGGTGAACATTTAGTTCACCAGAAGCACAACAGCACCTTGGACAATGTACAATTCCTATCACGAGAGGTTCGCTTCTGGGAGCAATTGCCATAGAGATCAACCCAGAACCCAACACTCAATAGGGATGCGGGCCATCTGTGACGATCTGCTGTCACGTGAGCGGAGGGATTTAGCCACAACACTGAAAAAAGAGGTCGTGACGGCCTCGCAAGCTACATCCTGCTTAATAAAGAGACTCTGAAAGGTAACTTAGTTCTAAAACACAGTCTTGTTACACTATACTTATGAGGATCTCCTTCATTTGTTACTATTGTTTGGATTTTATCTCAACATATCTCATAAGGTTTGTACATACAGGAAAACCTCCCGAAGACTTGGCTCAGGTCATCGGGATTATTACTATCATAAACACCCTTTGTCCCTATTGCCAAAGTATGAAGCATTATAGGGCAGTCTTGTTGGCATGTACTTACACTGAACGTCTATGGGACCAAAGCATGCCATTTCGGTTGGGCGGGTCCAAGAAGTTTTTTGTGCAGAGCAGGTTATGTTGTTTCCATTGTCTTCTCTCCTCGGTGTGAAAGCCAGGGTACTCGTGAACATGAATCCACTGCCACATGATGCAGATACGGTTGTGGTACCTGGCAAAGGTGTGTCACCGTTGGACCAAGCCAGATTCCAGTTGTCCGGATATCCCATGTATGCACGGCACACCAAAACACTTGGTTTATTGGCTGTCATGATTGTGGAACCAGTAATGGCCAGAATGTCCGGTGGCCCTGTACAAAAAATGTAAATAAATGTAATTGCATACAGCCATTGACAATTTTTTCCTCTCAAAATGTGTTTTTTGAGCCATGTAAGTTTGTTTCCGTAGATGGTCCTCTTCCTAGGTTTGATACTAAATATTTTAGGTGCCTCAACTGTCATATCTCAACTCCTGTGGATAAGCCTCGTCCTAAACTATTTTAGTTTTTGAAATAAAGAAAGGCTGGAGTCATTGGTAGGGCAACTAAAAGTTGCTATAGGAACATGTTCAAAACCTTCGAAACATAATTCATCCTCTTTTAAGCTTTGTCTTTTGGACATACGGGGGGAGTTTCATGACTCATAGTTACGGTTACCTTTACGATTGAAAGTGTTGATTCATTATCAACAAGTTTTGAAATAGAATGCAGTTAAAATGCATACCATTGACGAGAACTGTGAGGACCTTTGACGGAAACGGTTCCTCTGACTCCGTGTTGTTCACCACGCACTTCACCTCCTGGCCGTGATGGGCTCTTGTGGGCGTGAATGACCACGTGTCTGAAACCAACCAATCATCGTCCCCAGAGGGCGGGCTTGAAATTCGCTGCGAAGCCCCATCCAAGAACCACTCAAAACTTGCTGCTGGCCTGATGTCCACTACCTCGCACTTGAAATATTGTAGCATACCCTCGTCCATACCAGGTGAAGCATCGCTCCCAGTCCAGTTTGCAACATACAACATCATATTAGATGCCTTTGGTTTAACTAAATGTAAATGAAAATAGCAAGTCCAAATTTGGCGTTTAAAATGCCAGAGATGTTTGTTCCTTTCAGCCTATAAGATAAATGTAAAATGTCGTAAACTAAACCTTTTTAAGGTGTGGTCAGGATCATTTTGGTATTTTATTTATGGGATTACGGATGAACTGTGCTTTCCCACCTTGAATTCTCAATTTCTTGTGCAATTTTCCACAATTGGCAAATAAGGGACAACTATACCATTGTATACATTTCAAAACATCTTTTTAACCATTGTTTGTGATTTGTGTTTTGAAAATGTGTCAAGTTACACAAATGACTAATCTTGCGATACTCTCAAGCATGCGCATATTGACATTCACAGTCAAGCAGCGCGCGGACATTCAAACTTCAATGTGATTTTCGAGTCAAAAGGAAACGAATCAAAAAAAAGAAAAAAAAAAGAAGATATTTACAGGAAGCTTGTTACCTTTCACATCAAGAGTAATGAATATGTTCACAACGGGATGTATCCCTGCAACAAACGCCATGCACTGCAGTAGCTCCCCGTGGTTGCTCTCAGAAATGGTTATTGCAACAGTACTGGTGCTAGTGGTGAAACCGTCGCTTTCTGTGAGATTGTTGTTTTTGTCTGGTGAAATCTCAAGTCCCCCTAGCATCCACGAGAGCGAGACGGGTGTTCTTAAGTCGGGTACCATGCACGTGAATCGATGATGCTCTCCCTCCGATACATACACTATATCTCCAATAGAAAGGTCGTATCCAAACCATTCGAATAACGCGATATGTGTAGTCACTTAAAAGGAAAGAAAATAAAGACAATAGAAAAAAGACAAAAGATGTTGGCCAAATTTTACATCTCGTCGGGGCGTACGACTTTCACAATGACATTTTGTTTTGTCGCACCTCACAGAAATAAATAGAAGTCTGTTGTGTTAAAATCTCGAATCATGTTGTTACTAAGTTACTTTTTCTTATCATTTTATTTATTCATGGCAGTCCATCAATTATCAACGATGGAATTTATAAAAACGGTTCCTCCCATAGAACGAAACATTCGTTTCAGGGTTTCTGAACCACGTTCTTGCAACCCGTCCTTCATTTTACGAGGAGTTTATGATGTTGTCACTACAAGTTTAATTTGCTTCTAATTTATGTGGCGACCAAAATATAAACTTTCAAAAGTCGTACCACTAAAATGGCTATGTTATTATACGCTCCAATAAAAGTAAAAAGTTAATGTTAATGACAGTTTATTCAAGCACTTGTCATGTTGATAAATTTTACAAGATGTCAGAAGTGCAAAGAATAATTTAGTCATCCTGATGAGATGATACTGCCTGTTAAGTCTGACAAGCTGTCTTTGGCTGTGGGGTGTTTTTCAATAGAAATCTTTTGAACAAAAATAACCTGGTTGACTTTGCTTGTATTCGTGAAAAACAAGTAAGTTTCCTGGATAATTCAATGAGAAAATTGTGTAAAGGCTACCTTGAGATCCAACGTCATCGATGGCGATATCTGACAAGCGACCGTTGACACGAATCGCTTCAAACGCAATGAAAAAGTTTGAAGATAAATTCGTGACACAAATCTCAGCCTCCAGCCAGGTGATTCTGTTCGTTTGCTCACCGCTTCTTGAAAAGAGAACTTCAGCTCCGGTGACTGATCCCCCAATAGGCACGCGAGACACATTTAGAGTACCTAAATGGTATAATTCATTTAAAAGCCTTTAAAAGGCATAGGCCGATACTTAAATATCAAAATAACTATTTTCAAACCTCAAAATTAGGCCTACATAAAGGAATGTAAAGGTCACGCAACGGCATATGTAATATTTGAAATGCTGCTCTGTGCTCAAGAAACTTTAAATGTTTATTTTATTTGTTTTTTAATAGTTTCTTTTAAATAATGCTCTAATACAATATAAATACTGATTATAACAAGAATTTATTTTGTTTTTAAAGCGTCAGCTTGAATGAGCCACAAAATAAATTTCACGTGAAGAGGAATCTTGATATATAGAAGTACTTTTGTGTAAATTAGAAAAAAATCAAAACAGTTTTCATTTTTTTCTAATTTACACGCTTTTTCATGACAACCGTTGTTGTTGTTGCGATGATATCATTCGCTGTCAAGTGGGCTTGTGCCTTAAATGACATTACAATTTGTTTATGTCAGCATTAAATTACGTACCCATATTGCTTCCATACATGTTGTACCAGAAACTGAAACACCACGCGTGGTTACCAATCTGTTCTTTGCTTGGAACAACTGCAGGGCTGATAAGCACAGCGTTGGTACCGTCAGACGAGTAGTATGGATGAAAGCTGGCATAACGGCCTCTGTAATCTGGCCAATATTAGTTGTGATAAATCGATAAAATATCATCAGAGGAAGCTTTGGTAATAAAAAGTTAAGAATGGACTTCAACGTTTATCAGGGATATTCAAAAACCATCCACATACATGTACCTCCTACAGTCTTGTCATAATCGGGACCAGTAGAAGAAGGATATGTCGAGCCTGCCTGGAGTCTCCAGTCTATACGGTCTTGTTTTGACTGCTTCCAACCACACCACCCTTCTTCAAAGGTACAGTTGAAACCTACTGTCGCTACAATATAGAGCACATAATATCCAATTCAACATATATGCGACCCTGTGATTGTAATGAGTTTGTAATACCCAATGATTTGTATATTCCAAGTATGGAATTTACTTACTATTGACAACCAGTCTGACTACAAGAGATGCCTGAGCTTCGAATGGCTCCTCGATACTTGCCACACACCGCAGCTCCAATCCATTGCTTTCTGAGGTAGGAGTAAATGCCCATCTGTCTCTTGTGGTGACCAACTCATCGCTTCCTGTAAAAGTAGGCCTATATGTATCTCTCCTGGTGTCACCAAGGTACCACTGAATTCCAGCTTCAGGCCACGTATCCTTTGTTTCACAAGTAAAGGTGTATGATATAGTTATTACAACATTTACTGTGCTACCAGGTCGAAGTTTGTTTCCACTGGGACCGGTCAGGGACATCAATGATGACTTTGGTTTCACTATAAAAGAGAAGCATACATCGCATTCATTTTGAGGCTATTAAAGATGTACATGGATAAATCGGCATTTCGCAATCACAGTATTTCCTCAAACCGCCCTGCCCATTTCTCACAAACACAATGTAAGACAATGTAGTGTAGGTCCTTTATATTTATTAAAAATTGCATCTCACCTTTTACAGCGATTGGTACAGTCATATTGTCCACTAGCTCACCATCTTTGTTAAAGGTTTCGCAATGTAGTGTCTTTCCATGGATATCTCCGTTAGGTGACACAACGATACTACTGGTAACGCTTAATCCGTTGATGGTGTCGACGCTTCTGTTACTGACTTGTTTGACTCGCCGGCCTGCCAAGGTCCAGACAAGTTCTACTTCCTGCTTTATGTCAGGTACCATGCATGTAAATACATGATCTTCTCCTTCCACAAGGACTACTTTTCCAGCATCAGAAGGAAAGTCTTCAGTTGAATCGAAAAGGAACATTCGAGGGATAACTGAGGAGAAGGAAATACTCCAGTGAATGTACGCAATTGAAGTAATCAATATTTACCTCTGAACTCTGTTGTTTTCTTTCGAAATAATCCAAGAATCACAAACATTACATTAAAGTACATGTCGGTAAACCAGAACGATTATAATCCGTTCAAGTATGACTAATTTACCCATCCGGAGTAGCGGTAAAAAAATCCTACCAGTATTAATGTCATCGATTGCAATGTCCGATAAATCGCCGCCACGAACTGCCTCAAGAGCAATTTTAAATTCTGAAGAAGCATTTCTCACACAACTCCTGGCTTTTAACCAAACCCTTGCATTCGTATATTGGCCTTCTCTCGTAAAGATGATTTCACCGTCACTGATTGTCTGATTAATTGGAACATGGTACACATTGAGAGTGCCTGTGAAAACGAAAGAAAAAGGTTGAGGGACTATTATGCGGTGCGGTATAAACGTTCCTTGTAGGAGCTTACCACACTAGGGGACCTGTTTATTATACATGTTATACAGATTAACATCTTATGCAGACTTGCGCGCTTTTGTCCCATTTAAACCTTATGCACTACCATAGGCCTATATGTTCTCTGTTTTCATAGCTATTTGATACATTTGGAATGTTGGAAAGTTGACTTAAAACCTCAAATGAGACATAAGTATTTTTTTGTTTTGCTTACGAATACAAACATGCCCCAAAACACAGTCAAAGGTGCAAAACGTGGATCGAACAGTTAAACAAGATACACTAGTTCATTTCCAGAATTATAATGATTAAATTATCGATTCATAGACTATTAATCGTAAAAAAAAGCCGTTTGAAACATGTTACTAGAACGGATTAAAATGCTTACCCATGTCCCTTCCATACATGTTGTACCAGAAGCTGAAGCACCATTTGTTGTATGGCTGTTCTCCACTTGGCGAAATGACAGGGCTGATAAGTATAGCGTTAGTGTCTCCATATCCACTGGATGCTTCATAATAGACGTATTGGCCACTTGCATCTGGACAGAGTGATTTTTTAAAGAGTAAAGAAAAAAGGTTACTTTGCGTATTTGTGTTGATGATGTAATTATGTCGACAGATTATCAACAATACTTAGCACTGAAACATGTAGGTGTTGGCTTCTTATTTTTAATGCAGATTCATTTGATTAAGTCAAGCCCAATATGCGGCCGAACATCCTACCGGTACATTAGAATATCCTACGCTGTCTGTATGCTGAACGCGCACACAAGCATGCCTTTGCACACAAATACCGCGTCTTGGAACAAGAATGATACTAAACTGTTCAATAGTATTTCCCATTCCCCATGGGCGGGTGGCACTTTTTGAGACCCGGCGTGAATGGGAGTAATAACGAATGTCGCGTGATGTGAGCTCCACCAATCAAATGACAAGAATCTGTATGTCGGTTATAGAATTAAGTTTAAACCACGCACATTTGCCATTAAGTAGCATTAATTGGAACCATGGAATTGAAACTGGAAGCTAACGCAACTTGAGTGATTATCCACTCTAGCAATCAGTGGTGCTAGCAATCAGTGGTGCGCTAGTGGTGCGCTAGCAATCAGTTGTGTGCGCGCGTATGTGATGTTTTTACTAACGAACCGGATACCCATGGCGCGGTATTTGTATACAAATGCATGCATGTGTGCGCGTTGAGCGTTGCGCGTTGCGCGTAGTGCATATTGTTCCCAAGAGAGTGCGCCACATAGTTAAATTCAAATATTTCGTGAAGGGTTGGTTTGGAAGAGGAAATACATTTCCCACCAATTAATACATTTCCCACCAATTTTGTATTGAAATTAAAGTTAAAGTTAAAGTCACGAGAAAGATATTTTGTTTAGGGCCATTGCAGATTTGTCCTTTGAAACATGTAGGTAGAATAACAAGCAATGACAGCCATTTTGAACATTTTGAAAATTGGTTGTATATTCTACCTTTATTTTTTTTCAAAGGACAAATCTGCGATGGCCCTATAGCCAAATATCTTTCGCAAGACATACTCTGTGTGCCAAATACCATGCTTGTATCATCAAAGGCACTATTCTCCGGAATATTTCCCCTATCTACCCCACTGTCGACTTTAAGGAACAAATTAAGACCCAAAACCGCAGAGATTTAAATTATAGCCAGACCCAAACACTTACCTAGCGTCCTGTCGAAATCTGGTCCGGTGTTGGAGGAAGGAGTTCGCCCCTGCTGCAGCAGCCAGTTGGACCCATCCTCATCGGACTGTCTCCAATCACAAAGCCCTTCCTCGAAGGTGCAGTTGAAGCCTACGCTTGGTGTGATTAATATTAACTTAACGCACCCAGCGGACAATTCCAGTTGAACCAGTTGAAATGTCAACTCATTTCAATTGGTTTCAACTGGAACTACATGTAGATATATATGTGGGTTTTTTATGTGACAAACACAGGGCTGTTTCGGGTGTTTCATGAGTTCATCGCTTTAATATGTGAAATTACTTCGACAAGTGACACGGCCGTTGTAGGCAAGGCGTGAAAATAAGCGAGAATTTGAAATTTGCACCTCTGATGTGACATCACGGTAAAATCGATGACGTTATCATGGCACACTCAAATGTTGATCTATAACAGATCCCCGTCTATGTACATACAAAGTGTAAAGCCAATGGGGCTTGTAAGTTTTGAGATGTAAAATTTTTAGAGTTTTTGAGAGATAATATTTCGAAAATTCCACATGTAATGAATCGTCACCAGACGCTCGATGACGTCATCAAGACCTCACTCCAAATTCCATCTATAACATCCCTACCGGTATCTAGGTACGTACCAAGTTACAAAACAATTGGGCATGCAGTTCTGTAGATAAAAGCCTTAGAAAATCACATGTAATGTGACGTCACATGACATGCTATAACGTTATCATGACGTCATTCATTGTTCATCTATAACACATTCGGTCTAAATGCATGCCAAGTTACATACAAATCGGACCAATAGGTCTATAGATATAAGCCTTACAATAATGCGTCTTTAATATGACGTCACGTGACATGTGATAACGTCATCATGACATTAGTTTAATTTCCATCGTTACAACGTTGTAACATGACACCTGATGACGTCATCACACTCCACATCAATTGTCATCTATAATACGTCCCTGTCTAAGTGCATGCCATCATCAACCCAATCAGACATGCAGCTCTGTACAGACAGGGTCGTATTATAGATGACAAGTGAAACGATGTCTGAATGACGTCATCACAAGTCATGTGACGTCACATGAAAGGGGCAATTTTCTAAGGCCTATAATCTAAAGAACAATAGGCCCGATCTGCTTGTAACTTGATATGTGCCTATACCGGGATGTGTTATAGATGAAAATTAAAGTGACGCCATCCTGACATTATCACATGTCATGTGATGTCACATTAAAGGGGCATTTTTCCACGGCCTGTATCGCAAGATGTCAATTTGTACTAAGCTGTGTGTCCCACATTTGGTTGTACCGTAACTTGGTTGATACATAGACCAGGATGTACATGTAGATGACAATATTGTGCCGTTTTGATAACGTCATCTCAGGTCATGTGACGTCACGTTAAAGGAGCTATATCTATAAAGGACCGATTCGGTTGTAACTTGGTGTTTGTTATAGAGTTATGTGTTATACATGAAATTTAGTGACATCGTGACGATGTCATCACAAGGCACAGATCATTTCAAACTGCCGAAACAGCTGTTTGTCAACGTCACAAACATATTTCTGTTTCATATTGGTGTCATTTTGGGACATTCCAGTATTGAAGTTATGTTATATTCTGTGTGTACGTATCATTTGTGAATTTTAGCTAATTTGCAATTGTATCAGGGTATTTTCACATGGGTGTGTGCCTACAGATTTGCACATGCTTTTAAGGTTTAGCAGTTGCAACATGGAGCCTACGCAATGTTCAGTGTCGTTACTGTGTGGTTGTATTTTCTGCACCAGAATGCCGTTGTGGACCCAGAAAACCCCTGTATACCTCAATCATTCGCATGAAAATCTGTAATGCTCATTCGTTGTGTGTATTTGACGGAAGTCAGTCCTGCATACGATGTGTAAGTAAATCGAAACGTTTGATTAACTGTTCATAATAAATGAGGATATTGTACCGGCAACCAATAATCGTTGATTTTGGGAAGCCCAGAGCTTATATTAGTCTCTAGATTTGTCCATGTATTTAAAGCATATTTTGTAAGTGTCTTTGGGGTGTGTAATTTCTTAATTTCTTCCATAGAATTAAATGGTTTTGTTTAATATTTATTTACGTTTCATTTGCTCTCCATGACCCTGTCATTTTTCTTCAAAATTTAGCAACAACAAGCGGTGACTAAAGAGAGGGCGCTGTTTTTGTCAGTTTTGGTTTTACATTAACTTGGTAAACCTGTTTGTCACACCTGCAAAGATGAGACAGTTACGCTTTAGAAAATTTCGCTCAATGGTATTAAAGGGGTTAAAATTGCATCTCACCTTTTACAGCGATTGATACAGTCATATTGTCGATCAGCTCACCGTCTGCGTCGAACGCTTCGCATTGTAGTGTCTTTCCATGTACTGGTATCTCTCCGTTAGGTGACACAATGATATTACTGCTAGCACTCAATCCGTCGATGGTGTCAACGCTTCTGCTACTGACTTGTTTCACTCGCTGACCAGCCAAGGTCCAGACAAATTCTACATCGCGGTTTACGTGTGGTACCATGCACGTAAATGCATGATCTTCTCCTTCTATAAGGACTGCTTCTCCATCATTAGCTGGAAAGTCTTCAGTTGAATCAAAGAGGAACATTCGAGGGATAACTGCGGGAAAAGGAAGAATCCCAGTATATAGGAAGGGCAATAGCTGGAGGAAAATTAATTTAAATTAATAGTTGTTCTTATCAACAGAATGTCACATCAAGATGACTCAGATTACTGGTTTTAATGGTTTAATCGACATGGACGACTTACATGTTGGGATAAATAACAGAAAAAACAATCACAATATTAACCCCCAAAAATGAATCTCTCATGTTTGACAAAGTTTGACAAATTAGTCTGTTATTCAGTGGAATAGCGGGGGAAGTTTATTTTCCAGATTTGGGGTAGCTATAAATTGTTATAAGTTTGAATAAAAAGGAAGAAAATCATACCAGTATTAATGTCATCGATTGCAGTGTACGACCGAAAGCTGTTACCATGGAGTGCCTCAAGAGCAATTTGAAATTCTGAAGTAGCATTTCTCACACAACTCCTGGCTTTGATCCAATCTCTTACATAGTGACCACTTGTAAAGATGATTTCACCCTCACTGATTGTCTGATTAACTGGAACATGGTACACATTGAGAGTCCCTGTGAAAACAATACAAATAAAACCAAGACAAAATCAATCATATATTTTCGACCGAGCTCACAATTGACCCCTGACCCCACAGGGTGGTTACTTAGGCATAGTTGGTCCTTGCTTGGTGACGTGCAGCACGCGTGCGCAGGCACATACGAGCTGGCCTGTTGGAGCCTGACGGACTTTAATTAATCTGTGTAGGATTGAGCTAAAGTCACCCGTGTCTAAGTCCCGATTAGTGCTCGTGTTACTAAGGAGCTCGGTAGGTTGGGTGACTATTTGGTGGTGCAGTATAAACGTTCCTTGAAGGAGCTTTTTATGGTCAATTATAAGGGTGGATACCGCGTGACACTAGGGGATGCTGTTTATTACACAGTTTTACATCTTGTACTAGCGCGCTTACAACCCTTTACTTTGCATCAAAACGGTTCAATTAAACATTTTTCACTGCATGTTCTCTGTTTTCATAAGTGCTTTAGCTAACCCTCCCCCGCTCTATTCTCCATTTGATACATCTGGACTGTTGGAAAGTTGACCGAAAGCTAAAACAATAGACATGATGATTTTGCTTACGAATACGGACATTATATGCCCCAAAACACCATTAAAGGTGCAAAAGGTGGATTGAACAGGTAAACGAGATACATTGGTTCATTTCCAGAATTATCATGATTAAATCATCGATGCACAGACCATAAATCATAAAAAGGTATTTAAAACAGTATTGTTCGAACCGTTTAAATCCTTACCCATGTCCCTTCCGTACATGTTGTACCAAAAACTGAAGCACCACTTCTGGTATAGCTGTTCTCTATTTGGTGAAACGACAGGACTGGTAAGTATGGCGTTAGTGCTTCCATGTCCGGACCCTTTATAGTATATGTAAAGGCCACTTGCATCTGAACAGGGTGATGTTTATTCAATAAAGAAAGAAGAGGAAGATATATTTCCAATGAAATTTTGCGTTGATGATGTTATTATTTTTTAAGCAAATTTATCCAGTGATGTGAGTTGGCTTCTTACTTTGTATGCAGCTTCAGTTCAATGTAAGGTCAGTATGAATCAAAACTATAGTCTAGCTTCGACCATTGGTTCTCGCCTAGACTTTGAAACAAACCAAAATATTTAAATAAAAACACACTGTCGCTCAAGGTCGACATTTAGGGAAAGATATTCAATTTTTAAGAACTGAAACTGCATCCTGATCCAAAATAATAATACTAACTGCCTAATGTCGTGTCGAAAAGTGGTCCGGGATTGAAGGAAGGAGTTTGTCCATTCTGCAGGATCCAGTTGGAACTGTCCTCGTTGGATTGTCTCCAGCCACAAAACCCTCTCTCGAAGGTGCAGTTGAAGTCTGCGCTTGCTGAAACAAGTAAATACAAAACGCTTTTGGCTGACAATCTCAGTTTAAACCTGTTAAAATGTCCACTGTTTTCAACAGGTTTCCACTGGAAACAACTGGTCTCTAAATAATACAATTTGGGCAGTTTCTTGAAAAAGCTAGTCGCATATTTAAGTGACATTATGAATTATAAGAATTATATGAAGCCCTTCATCTGTTTAATCACAAGTTGAAATTTGGTATTTACATAGCTAGGGGCGTGTTACAAAGTTGAAATCTGAAGTAACAAAAATTGAGATGACGTCGTGATTGACGCATCGGTTGTCATATAGCCTCATATTTAATGTTTGCCTACATTATTTGAAGCCTTTATTTTAATTTAAAAGAAAAACAATCAACACCCCAATTGAAACATGTATATTTGTTCGTATAAAGTAGCTTGTTGCTTGTTATTTGTACTTTAACGACTGACCTGTGTACTATGATAAACTTGTAAGTAAATTACACAAGGGGTCGAAAATCACTTATGAAACCACAATTATTGCATACCAAAATAATGGCATACAAACTTCAGAAAACCGTTTCATATGTCCTTTGTATTGAAGAAGATTTAAAACTGTAATTACCATTAGGCGGCATGCTGATAGCCCAAAGGCTAAATCCACTATACGTGACACTTCCATCAGTTGTGAACCTCAGCCACATTGCAGGTCCATCGAAGAGTGCATCAGGACCATCGTTCCCCATGGACTCAAATAGCACAGTTGAAAGGTCGGAGCTATTGGTGCCGTCACCACCCTTCAATCTGTCAAACCAACTCTCGGTGCGGAAAGTGGATGTAATTAATTGAATCCGCCAACCTTCAACTGTCTGGATAATCCATCTAACGTCCAATCCATTGGCATAGTTGTTTGGGTAGGAAGGCGACGTTATTTGTGCCGTCTCGCTCGGCTCTAAAAATAAGTTTGTCGTTGTGGAGGAACCATTGGTACCTGAAATTATTATGGAAGAAAGAGTACTGCCTTGTGAAGCCCTTCATTTATATATAAATGAGTTAAAACAAATTATGATACAGGAATGAAACCACAGGAATTATTATTCAGAAAGGGGTGTCTTTTCGAAATGCGTTCGTTATTATTTTACTGGCAACTGAATGAGTTGTGATTGACATGTGGTTGACTTTAATAAAGCCATGCGTGCAATTAAGGATTAAAGGGCCTATATGCCTGGCAAAAACATAGTAGAGATAGTGAAACCATGAACTACAGTATTTGTATTTGTAAATTCACTCGCATTTTAGTTTGAAATGCTGTAAAAAAAAAAGGGAAAAAAAACCGGAAACCCATGTTAAGTGCAAATTGTTCAAGAGTGAATGAATTTAACTCTATATAAATCGTCTGGACCATAGTATCAGTTGGTGGGAGTTAATCTTCACTTGAATGTTGAGTGAATTTTCCCTCTTCGGAAATAATACTCAAGGAATTGCTCATAACTGATGACGTACGGTAGTAGGTTACCACATACAAGGATTATTTAAAACTCATGAGTTACCACCTCCAGAAGAATGTAGCAAGGTTTACAAATGATTTAAATCTAGCCACATTTTATTCTTATGGGTCAGAAATCGTGGCGTGAAGTTTCATGCAATGTTTTAGTGGCAGCTTACTCCCCCCCCCCCCCAATAAACACAATGTTTGACATGATATTCCGCTTGTTGGCAATTGAAAATGCTGCACGTCGATAAGAAAATGAAGGTTGAAAATTACCAAAATAATATTAATTTGTTCTGTTGACATTTCTGGAATTGCCGATAGAGGGCAGTAGTTTAACCTGCTAAGGAAGGGGCTTGCGCTTGTACCTGGTTTTGAACAGTGCCCCCATGGGAAGATGGTGTCTTCCTTTCAGAACAGATCCTGTCTTCCTTTCAGAACAGATTAAATTTGTGGGCTCCCCCCCTCCCCACACGCCCCCCTAGTATAAGGTCCCTGGCTACGCCGCTGCCGAAAAATGATGATCAGCACGTCATCTTTCTTTTTCTTTTCACGGTGGGTTGACCATTGACTTTTTGAGAAATTTTCACCCAATGCAGACCACCCCTAAAACTAATGCTTCTCAAACTTGAAAAGTAACCTTTTTGAAAAAGGATTAAGGATCCCTCCACAACATGGCTAAATAGCGCCACTTTCGGACCCAATTGTATCACAAAAGCTCAGAATTGGAAGTCCCAAGTCCAGACCAGAGGTGTAGTGCCATATGTCTTCAATTTGCCCAACTCCATGGCTCTCAGAACTATCTAATAAAGAATTATTTGAGTGTATCACTTTTATTCATGAGCTCGGCAGTCGGATTTTTGCATTGTTGAGCCTGGGAACGACGAAGGAATTTACTGATTACCATGAACGTTCAGAACTGTCCATTTTCTCAAAGGCTACGCTCGATTGTTCCAACTTAAAAAGCTCCTATCAGAAATGTTGCGTATAGTGGTAGTATTAAACTTGCAAAATAGTATTGGAAGATCGGCCTACTTAAAGAGAGAACTTCTACATGTATAACAGGGGCTGTTTACAAAAAGTTTTTTTTTCCTCAAATTCAGAAATATGAATTGTTTTTATTTCACACTTTAAAAAAGATCGGTTACGAGTTTTGGCTAAAAAAAATTGTCGCTATCATTGTTGTACGTTCTGAACTTATTACACAAACTCATTTTGTTTTCGCTAGAGTTAAAGGGACACTGCGTCCGGGAATGCGCCCAATTCGGCTACAAAACGCGCTTTAAACGAAATGCTGTTAATCGGAAAAAGAACATTTAAAAGTAGGATATGAACATCCACACAACTATCCTTTAAAAGCTGGGCGTTTTGTGTTATTCTTGTGTTATGCGTGCGAGGACGACTTTCGGGTCCACTAGTTGCGACCCCAAAAAGTCGGGCTGTTCATTAGGGATGTAACTTGCTTGTGCGGTTCCGGCGGTTCCCCGGTTCTAACCGGTTCCAGTATGGGAACCGGAACCGTGAGTCCAATATTTTCAAGAACCGGGTACCCACTATCGTCGGTTCTGGGCCCAAAAGAATCGGTTCCAGATTAAATTACCTATTTTCTGTGCACAAAATCCAAAGCCGAGAATCGACTGCACAGGAAATCAATCGCGGAGGCGCGGCCCGGGACTTTCACTCGGGCCGGCTAGTCAAAACAATATTTCACGAGTCGGAGACAAACAGCTCAACAGAGCCCTTTTTTAGTTTGCGGTCGGCCATGAAGCGTGCATAATAGAGCATTAGCCCAATACTGGCCCTGTACGATGGATACTAAACGTGCATGGGGCGTGGCCACACCGCTCGGGGTTTACATGTACTTGGACACTAACAGTGAAGTGTTTTACTTTAAGGTTTTATAAAATACGGACATGTCATGCATGGATAATTAGGAAAGGGACCGATCGCGTGAGAGGGGTTAACAAATAAAACGAACAAGGAGTCCGATTGTCACAGGAGTCCCATTTTCATGCTCTGGAATCGGCTCTGGCAAGGAACAGAGAATAAAGTAATAAACGCTAAGCTTGCTTTCAAAAATAGTTTCACAGGAAAAAAATTCATGATTTGAAACCAAATACGTAGTTGAATATTCGTGTACTCCACATCAAAATCCACGGAACACGGACCTCACAAGGTGAAACTGCGTTATTCTTTACATGTAATTTCAAGAGTTTATGTTTTTCATTGAACTTTCGGGAGCCGGTTCCAACTCAGAACCGGTTGTTTTTTGAGAACCGGAACCGGCTCCAGAAAGATTGGAACCGCCCATCAAACCTACAGTGTTCATGCTAGTTGTGATTCCAGCCATAAAGTGTTCGCCTTCTGCGAACGTTTAAGAAAGCACATTTGTGCATTGGTGCTGTGTGTAATTTATGTGACACACAAAACGTGTATCGTACATTGATTGAAAACGACAGGAAAAACGTATGCATACTCCGTCGTGTCCGATGTAAACAACCGGTTTTTTCCCCATCTTTTCCCGGAAACGGTAAGACATAAGGTTGGTTTCCTTTCAACCAGATGTTTGAACTAGGATAAGTAAACAATCCAAAACATGAACATTTGACTTCGGGACGCCCCTTTAAATGTACAGTCATTCTAGACATTACTAAGCTTTAAATTCATGTATAAGAAATCTGAATGGGGATGTTCCGTACTTGTATGCAGTCTCCAAATAAAATCGCAAACAGGTCGTTTATGAGACTGCATGTGTTTTTACAATATGAGTACATGTATTGTGGTTTTGAACACTGTACATCGGCGTGTAAAATCACAAATCAGTCATAATCATTTAACATTACAATCATAAGTTTATCTCACACTAATTCTCTGTATTTAAATTATCAAAATTCCTCCATAAAATGAAACCCACCTGCAGTGCTTGAGAGTTTGATGCATTACAAGGCATGATTTACCATTGATTTGGCTCGGAAAAGTGTATTTACATACATGTAGCAATGTAATAAATACATATGGAATGGAAACATTGAAACTTATATAGCTTTAATAAAAAAAAGGCGTTGTTTTTCGTCTGAATCCTACCACAAATTCTCATAAATTGGCACGCATATGGTATTTGAGATGGCTTGACTAGATAGTGTGACATTCTTGAATCAATCCAGTATGGTAATGTAACCTACCATATACAAGGCTACCCATACTTTGATTTTTAACCCAAACATTAATTTGTCTGTATTTTTACTTGTCTTTAAATTACATACATGTACATGTATTAATTCGTTTATTTTGTGTGCCTAGCTATCTGGATTGAAATCGTTGTAACCGTTCCTGAGATTATGACCCCTAAATGGACGTTTTAGGAAAAAAACAGTCGGACAAAGATTGCACCTTAATGTGCAACTTGACAGAATAGCAACAGGCAGAATTGAATTAAGCATCCCGAATATTAGCAAAGAACAGCATTTTATTTATGTTGATACCAGAAACTTCTAACGGACTTCATTTTGTAGTTAAGATACATGTAGCTAGGGTTTCTGACCCACAGTCTATCAATATGTAGCCCTTCAAACAGTTCAAAATCTATTACATAATTAGAAGTTGGCCTATCGTAGTGCTACCCTGGTTAGGACGTAGCATCAAAACCTCGATAACTGTGAATTTAATTGTGAATTCGGCTTTTCACTGAACAAATATGCTAAGCGCAGAACTGAATAAAAGTCGATTTTTAAAAAAAATAAACTTAGGAGGATAGAAATCGGCATAGAAACCCCAAAAGGAACAAAAAGTTAGCCTACCTCGTAAAAGTAAAGCCAGCAATGACACAACAATCATGAAGTTTAGAGACGCCATTGTGCATTGGACGTACTTGTCATTGTGGTTGACAAGACAAGGATGTAGCCTCTTTATACCAGTACCGATAGCTTTGTTTCAACAGCTAACAAAAATGGTTCATTAAATAAAAATAAGTATTCAACTTCCTTGTTAGGTTTCAGTGATGTTGTATAAGCTGTCTCAAAAAGGGGGGGGGGGAAACCAATTTAAAAAAACCAGCTAAATAAAAACAAAAGCGCAAATGAAAGAACAAAAACAAGTGACTTTCACTGATAAATAATACAATTTACATCCCACTGTGTTGCTCTAACTATTGAAGAAAAAATATCGAAAGTTGCAGGAAGAATTCCTTCATAAAATAATTATGTTTCATTGTAGTCAACCACAGTATATGTAACCATGATTAGCACCACAATTGTTATGACAGGATGTTTAAAACAATGTCATGCGCATACATGTTTGTTTTACATACGCTATGTGGACATTCCTTTGTTTTTGTGTAGTTAAGGAAATTTGGTACAATAAATAAATTTACTTGAGCTATGAAAACTCTTTCAGCCCCCAATTTTTTTTTTTTTATTTCCTTGAATGTTTCTCTTTATTCTGCAACAGATAAGCCTAACCTAAAAATGCCTCTAAACATGTTTTCCAGAGAGGGCGAAACGTTACAGCTTAGTCCACATAACGTCAACACAACCTGCAGTATGTGGACATCTTTTGTTCACATGTCCACATAGTGACTGAAAGACAAACTCATTAATTAAAGCATTTTATAGCTGAATTTAATGTTTTCACCATGAAAAGGCAAGTGCATTCCAGTGTTTAAATATCCTTCAACAGGAAATGTTTCAAATAACACTTATAAATGAAAGATAAGGAAATAATTTAAAAGGCATATGGTGAAGCCATTATCTCATTGCTTTGCTTGAAATTAAAATGGGGAAGTTGTTGTATGAAATCAGAAAGGTTGCCCTATTGTGAGTTTTATGAAACTGTTAAAAAATATTACAAAATAAAATTTAAAATATCCTCTCGAATTGTGAAAGTGAGGGACCAACCCTGTTTCTCTCAGATGTGTGTCCCCGCACTATTTGATTTGATGGAGACCTGGTGTCTGTTGAACAAAACTGTCTACTTTGACCATGAATGAAATTGATTGTTCTTTAAAGGGAAGATACAACGTTTGCAAACAACAAACAACGAAATTAATCTAATTATCACGAAATACCTTACTGGATTGTTAGGGAATGGCAGTCTAAAGCATCCTGTAAAACCGTGGCTCCTGAATTTTCATATTTAGTTACTCCGCATTTTCTTTGCATTTGACACACCTGTGAAGAGTACAAGCCTGCTACACTGATTGTCTAACGTTACAATCCCAAAAGTCTATATATATTCATCTTACGTGGGGTCAGGGAACCAGACTACAAGAACATGATTGGTTTTCTTGGTTTTTCCAGCATCTACATGTACAAGCCCGAAACGTGAAACAAGTCAATTTAACAATATTTGCTATAACAAACTAATCCACTAAATCCACTTATTTCTCAAAATTGCAGCAAAGCAAATGTTGTACATTCCCTTTAACTTTGTAGATGCACCAAGGACAAAAGTCCCAAATTATTATTTAATATTACATGTAAATTTGACTACATGCAGGCCTACCCGGCCGTAGTCCGAAAATTTGGGACTCTCAGTACTGTGTATGAGAGTCAAACTTAAGGTATTGAAAACATGCAAAACAAGAAAATAAACTGGCACCTAAAACAACCAGTCCCAACACAGCTTCAGTACTGCATCAGTCAACCATGCCAAAAGAATTTAAGAAACATGAGGCATGAAGCGGAAACTAGTCTGAATTTACTTCACATTTCTTCATTAAGTCAAGCCACCAGACTATTGACACTACATGAACAGGTCAGTCTTTTCAAATAGTTGGACTATGGTCGGACATGCACCAGTCTAGTCTTTAGCCCCATTTCGAAATCACTTGACGTCCCTCTCTCCTTTTAAAAGTCTGCAAACTTGGTTGGTGAAATACTGAGGACATTTTCTTTGCCCCAGTGGAAATTTTGGAGAAATTTGCTGGCTAAACTGTGAGTAAAGTGGGCCTGCTTTAGTTTTGCATGTTTCAGAGCACTCCAGCGCCCTGTCTAGCCTACCCGGTACATCTCCCAAATCAACCTCTTTGTTCTTCTCTCAGATGCTTGCAGTGGACTAGGCCCAGACTATCCAAGCTCTGATACTAATGTACGCCCGTGTGGAGTTAGTTCCCCAATGCCGTCCGAGAAACCCCCGCCATTCAGAAGGGCTTCATAGCAAGTACACGCACAGCCACGGGGAAATGGATGAACATGACTACCAGGGTAGCTATTTATAGTTCGGATATTCTGACATTTACAAACACATTAAATACTTATTTCCTCATAATTATTTCCTCTAGGCATTTGGTCAGTTTTGTGTGCAAAGTCACTCCTTAAAATTTATTCCCCCCCCCCCACTTTTTTGGAAAAGACTGCCCTTTTCCATTCCAATGCCCTTTCAGTTTCACCAGCGTTTACCCCCCATAATTTGCAAAGAGTGCCCTTTTTTGTTAAGAAGTGCCCTTTTTTTCTGAACAAGTGGAATACAAGAGTTTTAAGGAAAGATAATTGGCATCTTTCATTTTCGTGAATAAAACACTTGAAACCTTACAGCTAGGTCTTTTTCTCGGCATTTTGCTTTTGTGATACATGTATGTAGATAAAAGCGAAGTTTAAAGTGAATCATAACTTGTCAACAGAATGTCTTATTGAAGTTAAACAGTATTGTAAGGAGAATTTTATTCTTTTTCCTAATACCTTGAGGTTACAATGGAGGGGTTCCCAAACATTTCTTCCTTCCATGCTGAAAGGTAGACAAGTTTTTTCACGGACACCTGCCCTCCATAAAATTAACAGTCGGCCTATCGTAGTAGTGCTACCCTGTTTAGAACGCAGCATCGAAACCGCTATAAATGTTAATTTTATTGTGAAATCCGCTTTTCATTGAACAAATGTTAAGCGTAGAAACTGAATTACAGTTGAATTAAAAAAAAATTAAGCTTTGGAAACTTTTGAGGATAGTTATCGGCAAAGAAACCCTACCTCAGCCTACCTCGTAAAAATAAAGCCAGCCATGCATGCCACGACAATCAACGAATACAATTGTCTTAACAGATATTCTACTACTGTTGTTGTTTTTTATGTATTTTCTTTTTTAGTTCAAACTTGAATGCTGTCAATCACATCAAACCAACCTGCGTATCATACATGTACATGTACATCAAATAACGGGCATGGGGAAAGTAGTATTTAAGCAGCATTGAAGCATTTTATGTAAAATCAAAAAGGCCCACAGGCGTCACTAGGATATTTTCCAGAGGGGGAGGGGGCAAAGTAAAAACTTGGGTATCTATAAAAGCAGGTCTAAATTATTAGGGGTCAAATTTCTCCTTTCCCTCTCCCACTTTCCCTCCCCCTTCCTCCCCCCCCCCTCCCCTTCCCTCCCCAAGCCCCCCCCCCCTTCTTTGGCCGCACCAGTGGACAGGTCTATAATCAAAGTTGAAAAATCAGCACAGGATTAGAACCAAAACTGTTAGTGCAAGAGGCTAAAAACAATGTCGTGCCCGAAGCCTGCTTAACTGAAGCATTTTATAGCTGAATTTGATGTTAGCACCACGGAAACGCAAGTGTCCCAATGGTTTCATATCATTAAACAGGGAAAACAATTCAAATAACAAAAATGATATAAATAAAAGATAAGCAAGGAAAGAATTTAAAAGGCACAAATAGCCTTCGCCTCAGTGCTTTGCTTGTAATTGATATGGGGAACTTGTATGTGTAAAATCAGAAAGGCTGCTTATTGTTATAAGTTTGTGGAACGGCAGGAAATAATTGTAATAATCTCTACGCGAATCTTGAAATTGAGGGACCAAGCCTGTTTCCCTCAAACTTGTGTTCCTGCTGGGATCGATCATCAGACAAACGAGACGCGTTTCTACGGAAGCGTTTAAGGGACATAATACAAACTAAAAAAATTAATTATGACTTATTATTAAGTCATTGTTATGACATATCTAATAATAATAACTTAGTATTAAGTCATAATTATGAAACATCCAAAGTCGTAATTACGACTTAACACTGAGTCGTAATTATAAGATAGACATGTAAGTCGAAATTATGACTTAATAATAAGTCATTATTATTAGATATCAATCATAACTATGACTTAATAATAAGTCATAAATATGAGATATAAGTGATAATTATGATTTAACAATTACCAAGTCGTAATTATGAGATATAAGTCATAATTATGACTTAATACTAAGTCATTATTATAAGATATAAGTTATAACTATGATCATAATTGTGACATTTTTTTATTTTTATTTTTTTTTAGTTTGTATTATGGCCTTTTAACGCTTCCGTACTTTTCAGACGCCGTGAACCCAATATGATTATTAGGCCTCTGGTCGACCCGCACGTGCCGATAGCATTTGGTTTAACTATCAGTTAACGAGCTTTATGTAGGCTAGGCACACTCGGGAAGTATAGAAGTTTGGCTAGGGGGATGTAGGCAGTAATGTGGGGTGTGTGCCAAATGCACTCGGCGGCTGACCTTGCGGTCACCGTGCTCGGCGCATGTGTGAAAGACGCGACCCTAGCCCTGCTGAGCCGGGTGAGGGAAGGAGGGCGGGGAGGGGGAAGCTGGATGAACTGTCAGTACGATTCAGCCATGGTGTTGTGTAGTGGAACATCCAGGGTTCCTTTGCCAGGGGTCGGGGGTTGCAACCAATTACCCAGTATCAGTGTAACAACACAGTGAGCTATTCGGCACATGTTCGAAGTCGTCTTTCAGTAACTACCAGGGCGAGCAGGGCGAAGTTCTGAAGGGCGTTACTTATTGAAAAGTGAGTACCGGAGCACCGGCAGCTTAAAATCGCTACACCGAACGATCGCTATTACGAACAATATCTGTGGATCCCGCAATGTTCGTTATAGCGGCGTTCAATTGTAATAGTCGAAGTGGAATAACAATACAGTTGTATCAAGGCATCATTTTTCTTATACATTTTTAGCTGAAGAAAAGAGCAACTACAAAGAACTACAAAAACAGTTTATGCTTTTTCCAGATAATTAATGAATAGATTTATTTTGAAGAGCGACTACAAAGAACTACAAAAACAGTTTATGCTTTTTCCAGATAATTAATGAATAGATTTATTTTTGCTCATTTGACAAACTTGAAAAGGCAAGGAAATTTCAAGAAGGCAGTCAGGCCAAAATCAAGGCAAAGGAATCCATAGCTTCTGAATTCAATACATTTAATTTAAAACGTTTGTCAAAATGTTTGCAACCTTTCACACTTGAAGAATTTGTTTACTGTTAAGGAAAAATATTACAATTTTTATCAATGTGTATAATCCCTTTTGACTATTATACACATATTTTCTCGGACAGGTAAACCAAATTAATAGGATAAGTATTTGTTGCTGTAATTTTTAATATCAGAAAATGTAATGTAGTGATAGCACATAAAAAGCACAATATACAATGAGTAGATGTGTTCTGTTAGGAACAAAATATACATAAAGGGAGTGTACAAAGTCAAGTGCATATACAGCAGTGTGCATTGTTAGACAATCTACTAAGATACAATAATAGTACTACAATAAGATTGATACTTGCCAACAAATGAATAATTTCTTGGCTGAAACCCAAACTTAAGTGATGATTTTTTTTTTTTCAAGTTTTCTGAAAAGGCGACCACAAACGCAAAACATTGAAAACAGGGCCCAATTTCTTGGCTCTGCTCGCTGCTAGCAAAACATCCCTGCTTACTATAGCAGCCAATTCCATGCAATACGGTAAGCATAGTTCATGGGTAAGCAAGGAATTTTAGCTTCTGCGCATGCCAAATCCCCGTAACTAAGGATTCTGTGCTTACAGGGTTAATGCTGTTAGTGCAAATGGTGATAATAAGCGCAGAATTATGTGGTTAGAGCCATGAAATTGGACCCATGTGTACACAGCGTTGTAACGAGTCACTGATTTTTGTGACGCGAGTCGAGTCGAGTCAATTTAAAGAAGTGACGAGTCGATTCGTTAGGTTAAGAAGGTCGAGTCGAGTTGAGTCAAAGTCTCAACTCGACTTCGTCGAGTCAAGTTGAGTTGCATCAAATATTAATAGCTTGAGTCAATTTGAGACAAATAGAGAGCAAGTAATTTGTACATGTATCACTAACAGTTAACAAGAAGTGAAACTTCGATCTTAAAAGCTATCTGGTTTGACTTCGGTTCTGGGTTGAGTTTTTTTTCGCTGATTGCTGATTGTACCAAACTGTTTCTGGTTATTTAGCGAAACAGAGGGCTTAAATATTGCCGGCGTTCCTTTCCAGAGCTTGGAATCACGGACCTCTGTTCAAGCCTTTTGACATGTGGGCTGTTTGTGGTGAAATCTGGAAAATTATCTTTCGGTGACTGACTGTATTTGAGAGTAGCCTCTCCACAGTCAATGATGCGATGGTTTGGCTGACGATGATCTATAACAGTGCAAGCTTTGCATATTAACTCTTCACACGTCTCACAATAAAACCAGTTCACTTCCCCCTTGTGTTTCTGGCATTTAGTCTGGTCTGTTGTGTGGTCCGCTGAACAAGACACCTTTTCTTGAAGAGTGATCTCCTGAACTATTTCCATTAAATGGAAATTTTTTTTCAGGCCTTGAATGCCTGTCGTTGGAAGTACTGTCTCCCTTTGACATACAGGGCAAGGAATCTCTGGTTGACTGCCATGCTTGCCAGTGTGGTATTTCTCCAGGCATACTTCACAAAAGCTGTGCAGGCAATCAAGTATCTTGGGCTGTTTATATCTGATGTGACATATGCCACACTCCAGGGAGCTGAAAGGTGTAGCCATTTTGCCTGTATACAAATTAATAATAGATACATGTACAAAGAAATTGGAATGGTTATAGTACAGATATGTATTAGGCCTAAACTTGTTTTTATTATGCTGTCCACGTTCGTTTCAGTCGCTGGCCAAAAACATCATTTTGTATGCATGTATCCACTTTTGATTAAGACATCGAATACATTTTTTTTTTAATTGTCAACTTTTAAAGAGCTCTGATGTTTTGAAGGGCTCTTATGGTTTGTGCCCACTCTTGTTATAACCAAATATAGGTTTTGTTGGAAGTTTCCTACTGGAGGCCCCTACGTACTCTTCACATTTTATGTGAGTGAACTGTGATTCCTAGTGATTAAGCTAGCATTTAATCTCATTCAAAATAACTGACAATATTTCTTACCTCTTTTAAATTCCCACTAAATCACTTAAAAACAAGTTTTTTTTCCGATTTGATGTAAAGAACACAAATAGTTGAGGCGGATCTGGTAAAGATGGCGCTTGACAAACATAGCATCGTCATCAAGTCACATGACATGGTACATGTACATGTATACGTAGCTTGGGATGCTGCATTGCTGTGTATACGTACATGTACATGTACAGTCTGTATATCTGTGTACATATTTACTTGCCACTTGAGTTTTGGACCTTAGACATGTTAGATAGGTTCGTGTATTATATGCACTTTGTTATGTATTGAATCTTTTTTTTCCCCAACCATTATAACTCACCTTTATAATATAACAATAGTTCATCAAATATCTTTTGATCCTTAACAAAATATAGGCTTCTTTTCCCTTGTGTTTAATATTTTTTGTAAAAACTCAGGCATGCAACTTTTCCTCGGATCAGCTGATTTCCTCGTTTTTCATTTCACACTTATGCCATTGAAAATTGAAAAGACACTGTACAAAGTCTTGTAAAGATTGGAGTTTCCTCGTTTTTTGTTTCTTCCAAGTTGCATGCCTGAAAAACTGATGAACACATTTTAAATTGATTTGAAGTTTATCAATTTGATCATCCACAAAATCAAATGAGAGGAGTTGCCAACAAAAGCCATCAGAAGGACAGTGGGAAGTCCTAAAACTACATATACCGGCACAAGTACCTTTGTAGAAGTTTGAAAGTACAGAGTTTTAGAGTTTTCCTCCAATTTTCAAATATATCTAAATCAATTTCCAGTGTCACATGACATTTGGACTCGTATCAAAATCCAGCTGCTTAAATTTTACTGATTTATTGGTTGAACCTTCAGAATCCTCATGTTGGCATGCACAGAACAACTGTATGATTGAGTCAGTTTTTCATAGTCCCAAATTCATAATACACCAGCACAGCTGTGTTCTGTGCCAATGGGGACTACGCACGATGCGCTCTCCAATCTCCACATTAGGAGTTGTTTATGAAGGACATAATTTGTACCGTAATTAAGCTAGAGAGGTGTCCTGAAAAACATGAAGTAAAATTGAGAAAACAAATTGTCGGAAATTTTTAATTGTTTAACTCTTTTTGATTTTGTACTGAAAAGATTTGATTTTGACCAAAAAGGCTTAGGTAATTATCAGCATCCAGACTCAAACTGGTCTTACAAATATTGTTTATGACAGGCTAAGCACACATTTATTTCCATATTAATGCTGATATTTTGTTTAATGCTGTAACCATGGTAACATAAACCTGTCATCCTGTCTGGCTTGTTTCCAGGGTGTGAAGGGCATGATCCCAAACTCCCTTGACAACAAGATGAGACAACTCAAGGAACATGGTCAGGTTCTTGGCAGGATTCATCCTGGGTTCTATGACATCAGGAAGAGATTGAAGGAAGATCTTGAGAGAATGTTGGCTGAGAGACGATGAGGAGTCAAGAAGATGATGGCCGGTAAACGTCTCGAGTCAACATGGTCAAGTAAGAATGAAAGTTGTCTGAAAATAATAACTGCATCAGCTAGATTTGATGACTAGTGATCCTACATGTACTTAATGTCTTGGAACCTTCATCTTGCTACCCTAGGACTGTCTGGTTTGAATCTGATAGAGCAGTAGATATAGCATGTAAACCAGTGAATGCCTGAAAGTCAGCTGTTTACAAATTTGACGGGGCCAATTCATGACGTAAGGTTTTTCTTATACATTTATATATATTTTCAATTACTTTCAAGGCACATGACATCACAGGCCTGGACACCACATGACACAAGGGGGTGCTATTTATGATACAGAAGTATGTCTTGTAAATAACCAGTACCTTCTTACACACCTCCAACAAATAAACGGTGCATTAGAAACTTTAATACTTGAACTCCCTTTTCCAGTACTACTTAGTACATTTTGGTAGTTGAAAAGTGTCAAAAAACTTCCAATGTACCCTGAATCTGCATTTTATTCTGGTTTCGCATGAAAAAGTGGGAGTTGATAAAATAGGTCCCGCCCCCACCCTGACATTTATAGCCCTGGTTGTGTAAAAAAAACTATCAAAAAAATGGAAGAAACCAAAGGCTTATTCTGAAGTATGTTTGTGTAAACATTTTCAAAAGGTAACAGTGATGTTCCTCTGAAATTAAAATTATATAAAAAGTAACAAATACCGGAACAGCTAATACAAGTCTTTATTCTGTAAATTCAGACGGAGAAACCATAAGTATTGTGACTGATCTTTACCAAGCGCTTTGAAGATAAAATTATCATCAACATTATAGGTGTTCCATTGATATAAATGTTAATGTACAAAGCTTGTACAAAGCTCGTTGGATCTCGTAACTGGATTCTGTAGGCAGCCCATTTTGAAACCTTATTTTAGGCCCAAAAAAAAACAATTCTGCTTCCGATTACATGGCATTTGAAAAGAGGATAGGTAGGTAGGTAGGTAGGTAGGGAAGTTTGTTTGTTGCAAATTTTTTTGAACAATCTTATGGAGGTGTGAAACAGAAACAGGTAGTAATTGATGATTTTCGATTTTTTTCCTCATTTTTTGCCCCCCAAAAATAGGGTAGGGGCTGTCAAATAGGGTGGGGGGGGGGGGGGGGGGGGAGGGCGGCTGGTACCCATCTTCCCAAATGGGGGCGCTCTTTAAAACTTATCTTTATTATGCATACTACATATTAAATTGACATTTTCACGGCGCATTGTAATGGTTATTACATGTAAATCGACATTTTCACGGCGCATTGTTATGGTTGTTGACGGAGCGGGTTTTCTTTTGTAGGATTGATAGATGAACTCTATCAACATCAAAAATCAGTCACAAAAATCCAGCACCCCCCCCCCCCCCCCACCCCCGGATATGCCACTGGTTGGCCATAGCTTTCTAAAATTCAATAACTTGACACAGATTTAAACTTTGGACTAAATAATTTCAAATTTTTCAAGCTGAAAAGATATGCAACAGTCCAAGAAAAATATGGCAATTCAAATTGACATATTACATTCGTAAACAGTCTTCATAATTTTCCATTCTGTGAATTAAGAAAGGAAACCAAATGCATATTGCCACTCTTCTTTAGCATATATTTCAATGATCAAATTATCTTCAATGTATGTGTACCATAGATTTAAATAATTTGTTAATGAAAAATGCAAAAAGTAACATAAAAATCTAGTAAATAAAAACTTATATCGAAGAGTATTCTGAGTACTACCTTTCATAGTGATGCATATACTTAAAATGATTATTCAGTCAAAAATTAGTTGTAGTATGCTTACATCTCAAGGATGAAGTTTTGAAACTGTCTCAAAATTGCCATTAACATAAGTACAATATATAATAGGTAGTTTCCATTAGGAGCAAATTTCTGAATCTGCGTTTTAGAATCTTGGCTTTGACTCCATCTTTGGCTTCTACTATCAAAAGCCTCTGACATTGTCTGATGAGGTCAAGATATAAACCTCATGAACACTGTCAGCACAACTCTCCATGCTGTGAATGAAGATCTGAAACCACATTAATATAGAATGAGCTTTGTCACTTATCTTTAAGATACATTGGGACAAGTCCATTTACTTGAAGAGTAGTGTTTTATTAACTGCATATGTAAATGCAAACTGCAAAAAAAGTAACCAAAAAATAACTGAGTATTTAAAGGCGTTTATTGAACACTAATCATAACACCAACTGGAAGTAATTGTAAAGTTACATGGACATGTACATGTACATGTAAAACTATTCAAATCAAATTTTAAGAATGTTGCCCAAGAATGAAATGATCCTGAAAGTTTCTCAAATCTTTGTTATAAGAGATTGCAGCATACATATATACAGCAAGTTTCATAGGGAGCAATTTAACAATCTTAGTTGCGTTTTATGCATTCTTGGCTTTGTCCGGGCTCTGGCTCCAGGCTGCTTGATTTTTTTTCCCTGATGTAACTTTTGTTCAATACTGCGCCATATTTTTCATTCGAGACCCCAAACCCTGTCACACAAGGCCAATGGATGCTTGGTGTATTTTCACTGAGTTTGAATGTGGTAGAATTCGGACAATGAAGGATGAGCAATACCAATTCAACCTTGGTGATGCCATGACTGCTAGCCAGACCACCGGCTGGAGACCAGATTGAAAAAGGGAGCCAATTCAAAGAGATGGTGATAGAATCTACTGGACGAAAATTCAGGAAGTGTAGAGCTTTCATTAACTGGCAACACAACCCCTCCCCCATCTCTAAGAAAGCCCGCTTCAAGCACCTCCAGAGCATGACCCAAAAAGTAATGATTACTAATTCAAAAATTCTGGGTTTTTTTACACCTCAGATTGATTAGTATTGAACAGATATATGGCAGTTAAACCCATACTGAGTATAGGAGGGGTGTTAATTTCAAATTTACCAGTTTATTAAGACAAACATTTAGTTTCCATGCAGTCATCATAAACTTAAACAACTTTGTTTTGAAGAATATGTACAATATGTTTAGAAAGTTTCTCATTAGAGGGATTGGCAGTTTGTGTTTGTGTTTGGATTTGTGAGGAGAGATGTGGAATAAGTGGACATATGAATGTTAATTGGTGCTGTAATGACTGGACAATGTCTTGCTCAACATTGGCTGTCGAGATGACGATTGCTAGTCAAAGTCATGTTGGATGACATCACACCTTGCGATACATCTCGATTGCAAAGGTGTCAGCCACTGCCAGCTCCCCATCAGAAGTGAATGTGATTCCACATGGGTCAAGGATACCATGAGCCAGGCAATCAAGAAACCTGCCATCTATATCATAGTGGTGAATATGACCAGTGTTACAATGATCAAAATGGCTCACTGCAAGGTAGATGCCTGAGCTGTCACAGCATACACCCTTGCAATGCAAGCAGACCTCTGCTGGTTCACCAGCAATTGATGGTTTGATCGTGGATAGTACAGTACCTGTGCTATCAACAACATCCACTCGCCCATAGTAATATCCACTGATCACAACTCTATCAGTGTCATCATGGACAGCCAGGTAGTAAGGTGGAGTCCGCACTGGTATGGTGCGTAGGATCTCACCATCAGTGGGTCTGTGCTCAGTCCACATCTTGCTCTTGACATCACCTACTAACAATGCTCCTCCCTTCTTCACGGCTGCACTCCATAGGTTAGGTTGTGTCATATCAACCTCACTCGGTGATGCCTTTGGGAATTGAAAGTCAAGAGTGTAGTCCTTCATGTTGAACACCTTGACATACTTGCTTCCACCTTCCAACACGAGCAAGCGCCGCTCAGGACTGTGGATGGCTGCAACTGCCTCTGGACCTGTGGGTAAAGAAGAACCCAAATGTAGCATATGCACTGTACAGGGTGTTAAAAAAAAGGAAACCGAGCTTGTTTTGCTGATTTCTCGGGTATGACGTATTATTTAGGAAAATGGTAACCACCATCTGTTACATAACCATGTCTTCTTTTTTTGACACCACGAACTCCATTTTACCATGACTGAGCACCAAGTGATGTAACTGACATACCAAAAATGGCCTTGTTCCACATGCACCATAAGACCAATTGACAGTTTCATTTGTTGACAATTACAAAATCCAAAATGTACATTATCAAAGTCATTTATTCAATTGCTAAAACATATCGAGATTTATCACTGTCCTCTTTATGACCACTGTCCTTCTTCTTCTTCTGTCGTATGTCCTTAGACCTTCAGCTCCGTTGCAGCAAGCCATAGTCCAGTGTGTCATTGTCTAAGTCAATTAGGCCACGATCACCATTCGGTGGCCGGTATATGGGACAGCTGGTCATCACATGTTCCACAGTCTGTGATGGGTCACCACATTCGCATTGGGCACTGTCTGTGAGACCCCACTTCTGCATTGCAGCCCCGAAGCGTCCCACACCTGTCCTCAGGCGATTGAGTGTTGTCCACTCCTTACGGCGGAGGTGCTGGCCCGGAACTTCTGCTGGATCCTCGATGTAGTGGTGAAGCCTGGATGGTTCTGCTGCCTTCCACTGGTCCATCCATCTTGCCTTCACCCAGGAATCCTTGGAGGTGTCCGCTGGTGTTGTGTGGAGCAGTTCCTGGGCTTGTATGGCAAAGGGACGCCGGGACTTGAGGCGTGTGCGCTGTGGTGTCTCCGTGACTACCTTGTGGAGGAGGTGAGATTCACTCAGCTGTGCCTTCCGAGCAAGGGCCAGCGTGGCTGCTTCTCGTTTGATCTCTGCTGGAGCAATTCCAGCAAGGACCACTGTCCTTCAAAATGCCCCCATTCCTTTGAACGCACATCTCTGTCCAGGTTCTCATCGCTGTGAACGAATTACTGATTGCTTCTCTCTCTCTGATAATTGTCAATTGGTCTTATGGTGCATGTGGTACAAGGCCATTTTTTGGCATGTCAGTTACATCACTTGGTGCTCAGTCATCCGGGACGTTAAAATGGAGTTTATGGTGTCAAGAAAAAGAAGACATGGTTATGTAACAGAAGGTGGTTACCATGTTCCTAAATAATTAGTCACACCTGAGAAATCAACAAAATAAGCTCAGTTCCATTTTTATTTTAAAACACTCTGTATATAAATATACTGTCAATATAAATAGCCCGCCTTTAAGACGTCATGATGAAGTCGCACATTTTTCGAAATTTTGTGCATATATCTACATGTATAACCTAACAAACCTATTACTGTACAAAAAGAATTTTGAAAATACTAATTTCCGTTCATGAGATATGACTTACAGGTCCAAAAATGGAATAATTCATATAAAATCACATGATGCAGGGAGTTGTCATGATATGTCAATTCCTGCGTTTTTACCAGTATACACATCCCTGTTTAAAGGGAAAATACAACATTTGCAAACATCAAAAAATAAAACTACCAAATCATTTGAAATACCTTGCTGGACTGTTAGTGAATGACAGTGTAAAGCATCCTGTAAAATCATGGCACCTGGTACATGTATACTGTCATTTTCAAGAAAAGTGGTATTTTTGTATCAATTTCCAACGCTGATCGGCTGACCAGCGTTGGGAAAAACTGGCTTTTTTTTCAAATACTGGCCCCAGTTGACCATCGCGCACTTGTTTGCAATCGATTAAACACCTATGAACGGGTACAAGCCAGCTAGACTGGTTCCCTGACCTTACAATTCCCCAATGTATGTAAACTGCTCTGTTTCTTTTTAAATGGAGTCAGGGAACCAGACTACAGGAAAATGATTGTTTTTCTTGGTTTTTGTAGCATTTTCGAACCCAAAACCTCAAAAAAGTCAGTGTAACTATATTTGCTATATATTTCCAACCCCCCAATTCCATCCATTCCTGAAAATTACAGCAAAAGCAAATGATGTATACTCCCTTTAAGTACATACCAATGCCAACCCAGACATTTTTTTTTTTGACACGTATTATGTATTTCCAACCATAAATAAGTCTCCTTCATGCCCCAAATTGCATGCGCTCATGCAAGACTTATATTTTCAAAATTATTATGGCAGTTTGCTTTGAGAACATGCATATGTACTGCATGCAAGAAACTTACGTAATGGTAGGGGAATGGTTCCCTTATGTTGTCCCTCATTGCTGCAGATGATCACTCGGTAGTCGAAACTGTCTGCCACCGCGATCTCATGACCACTTGCAGTAATACCTAGAAGCCCATTGAACCCTTCTGGACCACCTGCCTCATTAGAAAACGTGCGACACATTTCCCACTTGACTGCTTGCACCTCAGGCTTGCCTAGATTGATGTTGCCAGTCCTCTGTTCAAGTCTCTTGATGTCTTTCAGTGGCTCTCCGTATTTGAGAGAAGCCTCTCCACAGTCAATGATGTGATGTTTTGGCTCACGATGATCTATAACAGTACAGGCTGGGCAGATAAACTCTTTACATGTCTCACAATAAAACCAGTTCACTTCCCCCTTGTGTTTCTGGCATTTAGACTGATCTGATGTTTGCTCTGCTGAACAGGACACCTTTCCTTGAGAAGGAGCTGTAGCCATTTTATCTGTATACAAATAGTATTTAAAAAGAAATTGCAATGGTTAAAATACAGCGATGGGGACTTCTTTCTTTATCATGGGCATCGCAAGGTCAGGGGGGCAAGTGGGGTGCGCATGCCCCCCCCCCCCCTTCTGGAAAGAAAAAAAAAGAAGAAAAAGAGAGGGAGAAATTGAAGAAAATGAAGCGTGACGTCGTATTGCTATTAATTTCATGGGTTGGGGGGATGTCCCTGGCCCCCCCCCCCCCTCGAAAAATTGAAAAAAACCAAAACAATTGAGAATACGCTAGTGCTTTGCCCCTCTAGCAAAAATCCTGGCGATGCTCGTGTTCATTATACATTTATACTGCACTTTCCACTTAAGGTTCACACTGGCGAACAAAGACAAATTCATGTATCCACTTTTGAACAAGACATCAAATACAGTGGTTTTTTATTCCTGTCAAATTCTTTTATTGCTCTGGCATTTTGAAGAACTCTGATAGTTAGCACCATCTCCAGTTGTTACTAAATAGGTTTTGTTGGAACATTACAATACACAATCTTCACACTTTGTTGTTTAAGCCATACACTTGTACCTGTAATAAGCTAGCATTTAATCTCATTCAAACAACTGACAATATTTTCTTACCTCTTATAAATTCCCACCAAATCACTTTTAAAACAAAATTGTTCCAATTTGACGTAAAGCGCACAAACAGTTCAGTCGTTTGGGGCGGATAAAAGATGGCGCTGGACAAACACAGAATTGTCACATGACAGTTTATATATACAGAGCTGAGGATTTTTGTTTTCCTTCATATATGTCACACACAGACTCTGCTTACATGGCTTAGGCAAAATAAAAAATAGTTCTACTTCCGGCTACCTATACCTACCCTATTTTTGTTTTGGTATAAATAAAGGAAAACCCCCCGAAAACCATCAGTTACTATTTTTTACTCTTTACTACATGCAGACACCATGTGATCTTTCAAAAAAAAATCCCCCCCAAAAAATAAAAATTCTTCCCTATAATCGGAAACAGAACTTTTTTTGCCTTAGGCCTATCTGTGTTCATATTTACTTGACACTTGAGTTTTGGACCTTAGATAGGTCTGTGCATTTTATCTACATGTACATACATGTATATGCTGCACTTTGTTGAATTTCAATCGCTTACACCCTCAGCATGCATTTAAGTAGTATCTTAAGAAATTTAAGAACTTTGTAATAGAACACTAATTTCATCCAATATCTTTTGATATTGCACAAAATAAAGGTTTCATTTCCCTTGTGTTATAAATACTGATGAAGAATTTTAATTGATTTGAAGTTATCATTTTGATTGTCCAAAAACATTTTCCGTCAGTTTTAAATGTCAAGATAAAAACTACATGTGCATAAGAGGACACTATGTCCTCAGTTGGAAACCATTTTAATCAAATGAGAGGAGTTGCCAAAAGTTACCCAAACAAAAGCCATCAGAAGGACAGTGGGAAGTCCTCAATCTACTCAAATCTTTGTGGGAACAGCCGAGTTTTAGAGTTTTCTTTCGATATTCACAATGAAGCCAATTTACAAATGTACCCATTGACCAATCAGCCCAGAGACCGTCTTGTCATGCTTGTAGCCGGTTTTAATCACTTAGTGTCGCATAAAATTTGGAGTCCTGGGTCATTCCGTGGCAAATCACCCCCCCAAAATTTAAAGTTTAAACCCCACCCCCTTCAAATTGGTTCATATTTAGTTTATGGTGTAATTTAGGCTGAAAATGCTGAAATATTAAGTTTTAGAGCCGTCGGACAAACGGTTTTTGCGCTACAGCCCGTCATTGTTTGGCAATTTTTGTCAAAATAGCAGTGGCTGCCAATTTTCAAATGACCACATCTCCATAACCTGTGGGCCAATTTTAATAGTCTTGGTTGCTTTGCAAAGTTAACATCATAAGGAATCCAAATTTACTATTACTTTTCATGTCAGGGATATTTGAAGTAAAATGACCTTTTGACATTTTTCAGTCAGGTTGTCATAGCGATACTTTCCACGCCTTCCACTGCTGTGACCTGCATGACCTGGGTTTGAATCCCGCCCAGGCCAATATGTGGATTGGGTTTTCAGTCCCTACCTGGTTCTATGGGTTTTCCTCAAAATTTTCCTCTGGGTTTTCCTCCCACCTCTAAAACTGTAACTTCTTCGCATTGTCTTCTCTCTACAAGTTTCTTCAGGCTTTCGAGCTACAGTGCTTATGGTACTTTTGAGGAATCCTTGGTTTCATTACCAGAAAGAAATAAAATAAAATAAATAAATAGACAGCTCCCCCAGTCTTTCCCTTGGCCCCTCCCCCAGCATCTACCTTGGCCCATCCCCAGCCTCTCCTTTGGCCCCTCCCCAGCCTCTCCCTTGGCCCCTTCCCAGCCTCTCCCTTGGCCCCTCCCCAGCATCTCCCTTGTCCCCTCCCCCAGCATCTCCATTGGCCCCTCCCCCAGCATCTCCATTGGCCCCTGCCCAGCAATTCTCTCAGCTCCTCCCCCAGCCTTTCCCTTGGCCCCTCCCCAGCCTCTCCCTTGACCCCTTCCCCAGCCTCTCTCTTGGCCCCTCCCCAGCATCTCCCTTGGCCCCGCCTCCCAGCCTCTCCCTTGGCCCCTCCCCAGCCTCTCCCTTGGCCCCTCCCCAGCCTCTCCCTTGGCCCCTCCCCAGCCTCTCCCTTGGCCCCGCCCCAGCGTCTCCCTTGGCCCCTCCCCAGCATCTCCCTTGGCCCCTCCCCAGCATCTCCTTGGCCTCCTCACCCCCCCCCCCCCCCCCCCCCCCGAGCATCTCCCTCAGCTCCTCCCCAACCTCTCCCCTGGTGCCTAACGACAGAGAAAAAGAAAGTCGCTATCTGATGCAGTACCAGTTATTTGTGGACAGAGTGCGATATGGGTTTAATTAGTAAAAATGTTGTTATTCGTCAGTCACATCACTTTGTATCTTTAGATCTCTTCAGTTGCACTTGCAACTACGGAAAGCCTAAACAAATACAAAAGCCTACATAATTGTGAAGAAAAAAAAGACTACAGCTGTACACATGTCCTTCTCATTAAGTTTCATTTTATTTTTTATATGTTCTATTTCATTGTAGACGGCTCATTCATATCCAGCGATATCATGCTCATCTTCATTCAGCAACCACTGTGCTCAGTCTGGTCACCATGGCAACTGACCAGCCTCAGGCCCAGCCTCCAGCAGCCATTGGTCAAGATCGCCGCTTACCAATTCCAATCAGCAATGAGCGTAGTCGAGGGCAACTCAAGACACCTGTCAGCTTTGTTGTTGTACCTGTCAGTGATCTGGGTTACCCTGTTGGTTCACCAGGGAGTAGCATCTGGGCTTATACACCAGGTAAGCACAGTTTTATAATTAAAGGGAAGATACAACATTTGGAAACATCAAAAAACGAAATGATCAAATTGTCACAAAATATCTTACTGGATTGTTTGGGAATGACAGTCTAAAGCATCCTGTAAAGTTGTGGCTCCTGATGTGCTGACATTTTCAAGAAAAACTGCATTTTTCGGCCGACCAGCGTTGGAGAAAACTGGCTTTTTTCAAAAAGTGCTCCTTCCTTTTTATATTTAGTTCATCTGCATTTTCTTTGCAATTGATTACACACCTGTGAAGACTACAACGCTGCTAGACTGATTCTTTGATCTTACAATTCCCCAAAGTCTATAAATTGCTCCGTTTCATCTTAAGTGGGGTCGGGGAACCAAACTTCAAGAGTATAATTGGTTTCTTGGTTTTTCCAGCATATACGAACCCAAAACATGAAACAAGTTAGTGTAACAATATTGGCTATAACATACTATTCCTCCAAATCCAATTATTTCTGAAAATTGCAGCAAAAGCAAATGACGTACATTCCCTTTAAATGTACATCGCACACTTTCAATTCAATTTCATGATTTATTTATTCTTATCATGTAAAAATATGAAACTTGTCTCCTCATTCTGCACACATATACTGGTAGTCGTATACACATTTTCATCGGATGCATAAAAACTGACTATATTTGGAGCATCAAGATAAGAGCAATGTGAAATAGTCCCAGATTTTCTTGGCTCAGTATACTGGTACTTAAAAATCCTAATTGAAGGAATTATAGCCAAAGCATCCTTCTTGATTAAAACATGCTATAAAAATCAACTCAGGGATATGATTACATTTACGTTCAGGCCAGAAAAATGAATTTAAAAAGAAACTAATGAGATTTCTCAACCCAAATGACATACAGCACATGCGGATTAGCAAAATATTAGTTGTCATCCATCCAAGAGAATGTTTTCCTTTAACATTTTCTTTGTCTTCTGAATCCCCCCCCCCCAGGAAGCTGCGGTGACAGGATCCTAAGTAGCAACTAAGAAGACATACCAGGTTAACTTCCTCCATCTAGACACTGTCAAGAGAGGATGGCTTCCAAATACCTGGTAAGCATCTCCCCCCTCCCCCCCCCCCCCCCCCCACTTCATCCATTGCAATCAGCATGAGTTCAGGACTTGGAAACAGTTTTTAAAAAAAACACACACATTTTGGGTCCAGAGTACACACAGTCCTATTCAATTGATTTAGTCCATTAATTGGTGTTACAGGGTAATCCTATACAACAGCACTGCCCAGCTCACAAGTGACAGTGAGTCGAGCCGTGAGGTACAAAGAGGACTGTAGGCTGGCCCTCTGGGACCAGCACAAACTGAACAGCGATCATTGAGAAAATCAAATAGAGAAATCAAAACCTCATCAAGATGTACCTTTTGTATCTCAAGACATTACTGAAATGTCATCATGCTTGCAAGCTCTAACTTTATTGCCCTGGTTATTTCCTACAGACACCTGTCAGCTGGTTTGGTGAGCAACATGAGCCAATGTCTGGCATGCATCATAACATGGCCATGGGAGATGGGGGAGGGGTGACAGCTCATGGAATGGCAGGAGTGGTCTGGAACCCTGTAGCCACCATGCAACTTCATGGCACTAGTCCAAAGGTGGGTCCTGTCTCAAAGCTTAAGTCCGTGTCAATATTATCAGGCTATATATGTGAGGCATTCTGGCAAAATGAGACGCAACTGGGCACAGGCCGTAGTGGAGGGAAAATGCACGAAAAAATGATAGGGGGGATTTTTTGGTTGTTTTGCTGATTTTCAGAGTGATATTCGTATAAGTAAGCAAAACAGGTAGTCTAAAAATCATGGAATTCAAGAGTTTTTAAGATAAGATAATTGGCATCGTTCATTTTCGTGAATACAAAACTCGAATTTTTACAGCCAGGCCTTTTTCTCAGTATTTTGCTATTTTTACATGTCGATAAAAGCAAAGTTTAAAGTGAGCCATAACTTGTCAACGGAATTTCTTATTGAAAGTAAACAGTATTGTAAGGAGAATTTTATTCTCTTTCCTAATACCTGCAAACCCTCATTTCAACCTCTGCCCAGTTCTGTCTCATTTTGCCAGAACGCCTCACATATATGGTCGTCAGTAACACGTGTCTATCAGCCGCTTTCATATATATGCGCATTATTACTAGCTGCAGCAATTGGGAGACTTTTTAAAACCTGTCATTATTTCTAAACTTAAATTCCTTGAATAGTTACTGCAAAATCCTTCTTTAGGCCAGGCGCAATATATTCCTGATGTAGTGAATGCCCAAGTTTTGAAGTTGTTAAACGTTAAGAGGTCTAAAGTACCTGCTCAGAAATATACAAATATTGAGTGGCTCAGAGTGGAATGGGAGGTATATTAACGCCAGGTAAAATCTGGACGTTTAAGTCCAGATTTACCGAGCGATAATATTCCTCCCATTTTACAATTTGAAGCAAATCAACATTTGTTTTCTTTAACTAACATACAGATCCTTGTCATTTGATTACTGTTAAAAATTTGTGGGAAATGTATTTCTCTCTTCCAAACCACCCTTTCACAAAACGTTTGAACCCAACTCTGAAGCTACTGGCTCTTACGAACAACACACGCTTTTCGCAACGTTTAACACACACACCGGCATTTGCAAGCTAAATCCGCGGAATGGAACGAAAACGATCCTTACTGTTCAATAGTATTTTCCATTCCCATTTCCCCCCGGGGGGGGGGGGGGGGGGGGGGGGGGGGGAGGGCCTAAAATAGTTGGACACAAACTACGCGTTCTGAAATAATATTTTCACATCATTTGCATGTAGTTGGTATCAGAACTACACCCCCAGTCACCCAACAAAACAATCCTCATGTTTTTAACATAAATTTATTAATTTGCAATTTTGTCTTCCATTTTCCCAGGTTTGGGGAGCATAAAGCCAGCCGGTCATGTGACATGACGACACCTCTCCTTCCATTCCTATAGAGGGCGCTGTTCATCACAGCCGCAGCATCCACAAAGAGATAGTTAAGTTAATAATTTTTCTTAGATGTCCAGCAGCCATAGAGGGCGCCATAATGCTATCTGGGGTTTTTTCACAGACAAATAGACGCATAGACCGCCAGTCAGGCACTTGAAAGTGTGATTTGGTTATATGGCAAATTGTTTGTTGACAGCGTGCATAACTACGCAGTGCTGGTTCAATGCGCCAAAATGCTTAATATGGTACATACATTGAAATACAATTTATAAATTATTTTGGTAAGGGCTGTATTACGCAAAAGTTGTAAACTCGTATTTAGTTCACAATGGATTTGTTTACAATCAAAAACTAACTTCATAATTTCTTGTTACATGTTTGACTGGAACTCTTCAAGTGTATGCAAAAACCCTATATATCAAGAGGTGAATTTGTTCGTTTTGATTTTAGTCGGGCGCTTGGTATAAAATCACTAAATGCTACTGTAGTTCTGAATAGGACCCAGCGGTCTATGCGTGTATTTGTCTGTGGGTTTGTTGCCTTACTTGCCCGAAAGAATTTGTTAATGGTATAATTACGAGAAAAGAATAATTTAACAAAATAATTAAGCCTTGGTTAAAATAAAAAGGAACAATTCTGTGAAATGGAAGATGATTGTAAACAGCAATTCATTTTTATTTGACTTCATTTACGTTAGGCCAAAAACGGCTCCTGTTTCTGGTCTGCACACGCATCGCCATAGCCATGCGCATCGGCAAAATAAAAAGTTTCTTTTTTCAAAGATGTCTCAAAATCGCCACACTCACTTGTTTGACTGGAATCTTGCTGCTGCACAATTTTAACATGTGTTTTACAGTTTAGATGGGGTTACGATGGAGTATAAGTTTTAAGTGGCCTCTCTGGGCTCCCATACCTTTTGCACTGAATTTAGTAGGTCACCATTTGCCAGTCATCAGCCGATATTTGACTAGTTAAAGAAAAGAAAAAAAACGCGTCGCCGCACCACTTTTGGGGCAAGCTCCATACCAGAAACCGAAGACTTTTTTTTTTGGCCTAACTGTAAACAAATTGAATTTGCTTTTTTGCTTGATTTTGTATGTTAATAGATGATAAGCTACCCTGGTTGAAAATATGTTTTTGTTGACATGTACATTACAACATCAAGGTCAGTTAACCTGGGTGACCTTTGACCTCTGTTATCTCAATCATAGTAGTGTATCATTTAGAATTTCATTTCCATAGAGCTGTAGTAAACTATGAGAGCATTTACTCCTCATTGCCTTGCACACTTCGAAGTTGTCCGAGCTTAACACAGTATGAAGAATGTACATGTAGCGAGATCAATGTGCAAGTCCTGTCGCCAATATGAAATCCATATTTTTGGGTTTTGTGCACTTCTGTACATGTAGCTAAAATATATTTCTGATGCAGGCATGTGGTCTAAATCCCAAGTGAAAAAAAATCCCAAAAAAGTGATAAACAGTGAGAAAAATCCCAAATCTGTGCAGCGCAAAGCACTGACGAATGAAATTAAAGTTACACTAACAGCTTTGAAATGTTTTAGAATATACATGTACAGGTACAACATTTTGAGCTAATTTCTTTTGATTTTTGCACAAACATGGATGCATGCGCCCAGCAAGCTTCATCCTATTCATATATGAAAAAGCTCTCTAATAATTTACTATAGCTCTATGGCATGATTAAGTGCACATGTGCAGATACAAATCTAGAATAAAAGGGAGTGCGTAACAATTCCCATAGTTTTTCTTGCAACAATAAAATATAACACAATGGAGTGTGTTTAGTGGAAAAAGTACAGTCAGAATGCAAGTCAATTGAAATTTTGTTTGTTGATTGGTTGTGGTAACGAGGCCCGGATTCTCCAAAAGATCTCTCTCATAGGACGCAATCTTTGTTAAAAAATCACAACTGAGTGTCAGGTACATGTGCGCATAGTGCGCCAAATGTTTTTAACACGCGCTCGTTTGCTCGGAATGTCTTCGTAATATGGCGCAGCCGATGCGTATCACGAAGAATTGACAGCCAAAACGCTGATGCGCATGGCAATCTGTAGGAAGTGACGTCATTTGAGAGAGAGACCTATAAGCAGAGTAGGAACTATGTCTATAGGCCTACGAAAAATTAGTGGCCTATGAAAATACCACAGTGTGGCCTGGCTTGCTTCGTACAGCTTAACATCAACATGAAATTAGTGCTGTTACCTAGTGCAGAGGTGTAAGGAACACTTATCCTGCTGTGGTCATGACAGAATACATGCATAAAAAAAATGAAAAAAAATAAAATAAAAAAAAATAAAAATAAAAATAAAAAAACTATAAAAAGCCCAAATTCGAAGAGGAAGTGTCAAATTTAACATCAAAGAGTGTTAATTCAGTAAAAAAAGTACAATGACAACTCAGTCAATCTTTAATAAAACAAACCACACTCATCCGGATGATAACTTGAGAAATAGCCATTATATTCAAATAAAAATTCCACAATTGATTAATTATGACTTTTTTGTGAAGTCTGTAAACTTTTACAGGATTTATCAAACAATACAGTTAATGTAGCGAAAAAAATCGTGAGCAAAGTAAAATCAGAATTAAAATCAGCCCTATGCAAAAAAAAGCCAAAAAACCTACACATTTATTTGCTGTGATGTCTTTAAAAACCTACTTAATTTCAACAGCAATTGACCAAAAAAAAAAAAAAAAAAAAAAGAGTATGTTCGGTGTGAAAATTTCAATCGAAACTAAAAATATTCCAAATGCGTTACAAGAATGACACACAAGTATGATGACGCTGGAAATACCTGTTGAGTTTAATTAAAATTGTATCCATTGATTGTTCATAAAGTCTTTAAGAACCCCATAAAATTTCAAGAGAAATTGTGTAACTATAAAAAACGATTAAACGTGTACAAATGCAAAATATAGTCAAAAGCCGTAGAAAATTTAACGTTGCATTTATCATGCATTGTACCAAAAAGTCTTGCACAATTCCTTAATGAGTACATTTCTTCACTTTTCTACGCTCTTTGAAATTGCTGCTTCAAGCGCGACAATGGATTTTTTAGAAAATGTATGAGAAACAAATCTAATAATTGCAAAAGTTATGGCCTACATGTACCTCAGAAAAATTGAAAAGTTGAACCGTTACTTCTAAAAAAAAAGAAAAAAATTCTTATATTTTCACCGGCACCAGACTATCATGTGACCTCTAAAAAACCTCGACAAGGGAGGGCGATGAGCCATACAAAATCACTGAAGCATGAAAACTTATTCTGACGGCACGCTACACGGTCAAGTGAGGAAGGCCCTTCAACCAGGTTGTATCAAGACCCTCATGCTAAGAAGTCTACATCCACCTCACACACCACTAATAACCAGCATTCCAGCAATCATATACACGTATGGTCTTTATCAGGCATCAACAAGTGCAGCAGTCTCCAAAAAGGAAAAGGCTAACAACCAGTCTGACTGATGATTGGCTGCGAAGACTGATCTGAACTTTCAGGACAGGGCAGAACTTCAAAAAAGAAGTCCGGGTATACAATCCAAAATTTAGTCCAAGTAATAAGAAATGATATTCCCAAATCTAAGTCCAGCCCAATAACTCCAAGTCCTGCAAGCCCAAAGACACTTATCCTAAGCAGCAATAATATTGCGAACTCCAAGTCTAGCCCCATTACCATGATTACCTCTAAAAAGTCTAAGTCAGCCCCATTACCTCTAAAAAGTCTAAGTCCAACAAGCCCAAAACTTATATAAATTCCCAACCCCTCAACTTGCAGAAATTTGGAAGCCCATCAACTAATAGTCCAGTTCCCTCTCAACCATCAACCAGTCAGCCCAAAGTCCCAAAGCCTACCCTCCAGCTCCAAACCCCTTCAGCTCCCAACTTCTCAACCTCCCAGCCAGACCCTCAGATCTGAAAAAATTTCAAGGGGTACCCCTTGATTTCTGAAATTCTGGCCAAAGCTGAAAAATTGTCTAAGTCCAACAACCTAAGGGTTTTAATTACGAAAACCGGATAAATTTTCAAGAAAGTGCCATGGCAGAGCGGAAAAAGAGAGAGCTGGCATGCAGAAGGTACGCGGTTCAACCCTGCTCCATGCTACTATTTTATATATTTTTTTAAATTTATCACTGCTGTGAAGAAAAATTCTCCTCCCGGGTCCCCGGCTGGATTTGAACCGGGGACCCGGCGCCTGGCGGTCAGCGAGCTAGACCGCCAGGCCACTGGCCTCTTCGAAAATTTGTTCTCGGAACTTATATTTAAAGGTTAGATTGCGCAATTTAAAAAAAAAAGAAAAAAAATGGCCGCCTTCATTTGAATAAATGAATAATAAAAAGCAGAAAACTGAATATTCAGAAGGAACCACCACAGGTCCATAATTCTGGTTCTCAAATTTACATATTTATTCCATACACTTATTGTAGCTTGTACACTATTTTGAAACGCATTTCACCGGTTTTTTTTTAAAATTAATATTACAGTTGTTTTTAAACTTAACTTCATGTACATGTATTTACAAATAAACACCATTCTGTTTAATATGATGAATGTAAACATTAGTTACTTCCCTTTACAAGATTCTAAATTTCTTAATGCTTAAGTAGCCAGTCCTACTTTAAAATGTTTACTAATATTGGGAGGCACACAATTTGTTTCTATAAAAGGGCAAACTTTTGATTGAATGTGAAAATGGAGTATTTTAAGTTCACACCTGCATTTTACTTGAGGGCCATCCTTAAATTGTCAGTGATTTTTGCCTACAGCATCTTATACAATATTTGCTTTTCTAATTCCTAAAGTTATAACCACTTCACAATTTAATACAGAGAGACACCTTATTTCAGGAATACGTTCTAGTACAACTAAATTTAAATGAGTTTAACTCTGATTACAACACGTTACATATAGTATATGCATACTGCCCTCTGTAGACCGTCTAACAGTTTTAACTGTCTATCTGGCTAGATATTCATGCCAATTAATTTTAGAACGCTCAAATTACTTCATGAA